TTACCGGGTCACGAGCCGGTAAATGTGTCCGGGGGACACACTTACCAGGGGGACAGAATTACCTGTCACACCGGCATAACCTAGCTTGTTATAGCTTGCCACAATGCTGCAAAAAAACTTGGAAATCTAAACTATATACAAAAATCGTGTAAAGTTATTTCAAATCACATGGTATATTAATACAATCACGGGATATGAATTATGCATGCGTATACTGACTTTACTAGAGTCAGGTTGTACTTTGCTCGCCTTCCACCGCTGTGACCCGGGTTCGAATCCCGCCTGGGCCAATATGTGGATTGGGTTTTCAGTCCCTGCCTGATTCTGTAGGTTTTCCTCAGAATATTCTTCTGGGCTTTTCCTCCCACCTCTGAAACTGTAATTTCTTCTCATTGTCTTCTCTCCACAGGTTTCTTCAGGCTTGCGAGCTACTGAAAACAGTGCCTAGGGCGCTTTTGAGGAATCCTTGGTTTCATTACCAGAAATGATTAATAATAATAATAATAATAGTCTGTAGAAGAGAATAAGACTTCTTGCTCTGCAGAAGAAACGTGTGTTGCCAGCCAGGCCATCGCGTACAAAGAGCACACAAATAGTGACGTCATCATTGTCTCAGTTCTATCGCTTTTCAAGCACGGGGTGTAAAAAAAAACGGCATGCTCTGGCGAAAAATGCGACGCCGATGGCACATTATGGAACACCATACTTTTGTTCAATTCCGGGGACATTTCCTCCTTCTGGATACCGTCCAACCGCTTATTACACAAATGGCGTCTTTGCTCGTACCCCCGCCCTGCAAACAGGACGCTGGGATACTCTGATGAATTCACGCTCTGATTGGTTGGATTTTACGTCACAAGTGACCTGCGCGTCATCAAGGTCATGACTCTGCAATGTTTGAAACGGCCGTTAAGACTGATTCATTACTCTTGTATTCCAGTTTTATAGAGATGTTTTTCTCGTTGAAAAGCGTAATAATGTAGGAAATTCTGTAAAACTTATCTGTGTTGTAAATTTACAATTCCCGTCACTTGCTCAGGCTCCGTTTCGAATCACGAACGGTCGGATTGCTTTATGCGACGCTCAAAATGTTGTACACATGGTCTGCAATGAAACAGAAATCACATCCGGTATGGAATGTGCGCAATTCTATAGGACGTTTTCGGATAGCATTTGCGCACATTGTCTAACTGCGGTCTTGAACAGCTGCAGCCAGATGCTTTATACATAGGTCATAGGCCACTTCCTTCACAAGATTCTGTGAAGCTCATCAGAGTATCCCAGCGTCCTGTTTGCTGGGCGGGGGGCACCGGAGCGAAAAATGGCGTCCACCTTCAAGGAGGAAGATGTTGTACAGCCCAAATGCGAACTGCACAATAAGCTCTGGCCGTGTTGCAAGACGTCTTGCACGACAGTCTTGCATGAAATCGATCAAAATGATCCCTGCCATGGCTGAAAAAATGCGACGCCGATGGCCGGTGTGGACGGTAATTCTGTCCCCCGGTAAAAGTGTCCGGGGGGACAGAATTACCTAGGTAAAAGTGTCCCCCTGTCCGGTAATTCTGTCCCCCTCCAGGTAATTCTGTACCCTCCAGTTAATTCTGTCCCCCCTGGTTTTGCACGCATAAGTTGTTATATTGTGCTAGACTTGTGACGTTGCACGGGGACACATTTACCGTGGGGGTGGGACACATTTAACGTCGTGCAGGGGGACAGATTTACCTAGAGGGGGACAGGTTAACCTAGGTAAAAGTGTCCCCCCGGACAGATTTACCGGGTCACGACCCGGTAAATGTGTCCGGGGGGGACACATTTACCAGGGGGGACAGAATTACCTGCCACACCGGCACATTATGGAACACCATTCTTTCGGTCAATTTTTCGGAGACAGCAGACAGACCGAGCGACCACCAAGTGATAGTAGCTCCCGCCAGAACTGTACAAACTACTGCATAATCATGGCGTTAGGTCTATTGGTTCGTGTGGGGGTAGGCAATCGGATGGGGCGTGGTACAATTTCTGGAGGGCACTAAAAGATGCATTATCTGTGGTATTAAACATTTTTATTTAATTTTTTTCATTTTCTTCTTAAATAATATAGAGACACAAAGTGGATTTTCCTGTGACCCAAATCGATGATTGAAAATCTCCTGACCATCCGGCAGAACCGTCGCCGGGGCAGTGCGGGGGCGGGGGGGGGGGGGCTGAGCAATTGAACCCCCCCCCCCCTCCCCTCCCCATCGGCCGCGTGTTATGTTTGTATTTTTTGTGCCCCCCAGTCATGGGCGTCGCCAGGATGGGACAAGGGGTCGGGGTGCTCCCCCCCCCCCCCCGGAAAGCACACCCCCCCCCCCCAAAAAAAAATGAAGAAAAAAAGGGGGAACAGAAAAGGTGTGAAAAAGGTGTGAAGTCATATTTGCTATTAATTTGATACACAATTTTAAGCAAATTGGGCGTCTGCAACTAGGGGTGTCGATGGGGTACCGGTGGGGTTGGGCGCGCCACTCAATTTATTTTTTTTTCCAAAAACAAAAGGATAAATTGAGAATTGGGACCGCAATGGAAACATTTTTTTTCCCCCGCTTTTTCCACTGCATGGGGATTTTTTAGGTTTTGTTTCTAATTTTTTATACGATTTTTGATGTGTTTTGTTAAATCTAAGCTTAGATTCAAACTGTATCATCATTGTGTGGAAATTGCAAATAAATCAAATCAAAAGAACGGAATTTCTTAGGGGAAATGTGCCTCCCCCCCCCCGAAAAAAATCCTGGCGACGCCCATGCCCCCAGTTGGTAGTATGCCACTATGCCCCCCCCCCATGCCCAGCCACGAACTTTAAGTCCAAAACGTTCTAGTGTACTACAACCCATGTGGATGTCCGAGGGGGGGGGGGGGGTCGCTGCCCGACCGGCGCTGCCGGTGTAGCCTGAATTTAGGTTTTATGAAATACAGATTCATTGGTGGTATTGCGCATGCTCAATGCTCATGCATGTCATGTGAGAGGGTTTAACCAATAAAAGGGTCACAAAGGAGTGCGATTTTCATACGAGTCCGATTTTCATATCACACTTGGCCATCCGGACCATCGATCTCCATATACACAGACTGGATAGGACATCGCGCCGTGTTTGTGCACGAATGCGCGGCCGAACAATGGCGGCGCGTTTACTGTCAGACGGGTAAACGCGCATTGTGCTTTCACTTTGTTTACTTTGGAAAATGGATTGTTTAGTGAAATTTTTCTTACAGGAGGGAGTTCAAGCGCTCCTCCAAAACAATCTTAAAAAAAACCCTGAACGATGAAGAGTTACCCTCCAAACAGCTTTTCCACACTTTCTTGATATACACTTTCTTATTATGCATTTTCGAAATTCAAGAACCCCCCATTTCCTTTTCCCTTATTTTTTTAAATCCCTTCTCCTCCCAAAAATGATTGTAAGTAAATTGCCATTTCATTTTTGGCACATTGGTCATTAGAGCACACTGAATTACTCCATCAACGAAATGAATAATTGTATTAATAATATGCTGAAATGACATCATATTTTTTAACTGAACACTCACACGAGAAATTGTATGGAGATTCATTCAAATGATTGATATATTTATTAAAAAACCTGAACATGAACCAATTACAATCTAAAAGGTAAAAAAACTTTAATTTTACAAAGTAATCAGTAAAAACTTCTTCCCGTCCCTAGATTAGTACTATACTAATTTTGTCAGAGAATAATTCAAGCTACGCACGGTCTTGCAATTAAATGTTAAGCTATACTTCTGAAAATAAATATAATTACTTGTAAGTGTAATGGGAATCGTTTTTGTGAGCGAATATGACGGTGTTTATGGCTATAGCTAGTAATCTTATATAACGGCGTACACAACATAATTTCAAACCGTAAAAGTACTCATTGCTTTCTTCACCATACAAACTGTCAATAATGTGACAGTCATCTTGGGAGCTTATAAAAATACTTGCGTTGAACTCCACAACTTCTTTCCAAAACCAAAACCAATCAATGTTAACAGTTCCACATCGTAAAAATTTATTAAGTCAAACGCTCAGATGCCTATCACATCGCATGTTCCATTCAGTGGATGATACAGTCGATTCCATCCCTGGCCCTCCGTGAAGTTCTCCATTTTCGTCCGGCTCGGTCCTGCAGCTGGTGGTTTTTGCTATATGGCTTTGCTGAAGTTCTTTGTTTGATATGAAGGTCAATCGGCCAGTTGTGCAGTAAGTTAGCATAAACCATCTCCTCGGTTTCTCTTTATAAAGAAAAGAATAGAAACATTTCGGTAGGCGTTAAGCCAAGGCAGACATAATTCAATCAGATTTTGCATATAAAAGTTATTCGAATAAACTATCTTAAACAAGTCAACTTTTGTTCATTGCCATTGCCGGGTCAATCATACATGCACGTTTAGGCCTGTGTCTTTTAAAGAAAAATGATGCCGACCACTGAGCACTCATGACAGGCCTAGATCGCATGGAATTTGAACAGAATATCTCGCTAGCTACCACACAGGCCCGTCCCCTCAAACTCAGAGCGACATAATTTGCTTTGTCATTCCCATGTTCATATTCCTCCATGCCATGTTGACTTGTATAGGCCTCGTTAAAAAAACAACTTACTTGCGAATAATTGTCCTATTCTTCAACGCTCCTTACTTGCCGACTCCAGCAATCCAATGCTGCGCACACCTTGATTATACTCCTCGTCGATTTTGATCAATTTAGATCTCTGTTTCTTTTATTCTTTCAAAAATGACAAAGAAACCGAAGAAAACCCAACTTCTTTTTTTAATCCTCCGTTCGAAAGTGTACACAACTCGAATGCGAAATTGTGTTCTTTACCCTTTTCAAAAAACGCGCGCGCGGACGCACGTTCGTACGCGATGTCCTATCCAGTCTGTGTATATGGAGATCAATGATCCGGACAGACAACGAAAAATACGCCTAATGAAAAGCGCCCCCTTGTGGTGCCCCATACGTTTTGCCAACGTCAAAGAAGCAGCATCAAACGTGTACAGACATCCAGTCCATACAGTATGCAATGTACATGTACATGTACATCATATAGCTAGCTAACGTAACGTACATGTACATGGACGAGTGGTGCATGCATTGTGTGCACATATATCCATACGTGATATACACACGTACCGCGTTCTCAGAGCCTAAGTGGTGAACGGAGCAACGCACATTTTTCGGTCTGTTAGAAGCGTTAAATCTCATAATCATCTTCACAAAGTAAACTAGCTGCTAGCATATGTGCTGGGTTATGATATGGTCTCTCGCATTGTGCATTAACGTACAATCCAAGAGTGTATTTTTGGACGTGAATATCTCGATGTCGGCCGCGCGCTATGTGGGAAGTTCGTGTGAAACCATTCCCTGCACAAGCACCATGTTTATGTAGCTCTTCCTATTATGCAAATGAGCATCGTCAGATTCTCGATGGCCTCTGACCCCTGTGTGGTTGTACACAAAAGCACGTGGTTTTGAGGTCTCTCTTGCTCGTGTTGTTGGTCGTGTTGTTCATCAGCATGACAAGCAAGGCAGAAGCTTTGCCAGTGAGTACTGGCCACCCAGAATCCTGGAATTTAAGGCCAGATTCTGTGGAAGATGGCAGCACTTTTGAGATTTCTGAAAATCAAAATTGGATGGCCTCAGCCAAGACTGACACTCATCATCAGGAAAGTGTTAACTGTCCCAGTGCCAGTTTGTCTGAAACAAACAATGCCCACTCACAAACAAAACTTGAGGACACTTGTCTTCGGGAAGTTCCTAATCAGAAGCAGACATCGGAATCTGATGTTGATGGCGTGGATACAAATGCTAAGAAGAAGCGACATGCTTCGATGTCCCATCCTGGGAACCACAAACCGATGGGACGGAAGCGTCGAAAGACCACGGACCGTGGTGCCACACATCCAAAGTTCCTGATGGGAGGGAGCATTACGGATCCATTAAATCTAAACAGTCTCTGCAACGAGGAAGTCTCGCGCTGCTTGAACGCTGTCACGCCCATCTCTTCTCCTCTCCCTATGCTCAATAAGGACCCCAATCCTGTCCTTGTTCCGATCGACGTGAGTGACCCACTCAAACTGAACACGGTTTGCGGTGAAGCAGATGACACCACCAGTCTGACAAGGACCCTGACTCCAAAATCGACGGGCAAGAAACGCAAAAAACGTGGGGACAAGCTGAACGAGTCACACAGTGCTGACGAAGCCACGATCGTCAAGAGCAAACCGGCTAATTTGAATCTGGAGGGTATCCAAAGACCTCCGCACCATGGCAGCATGTCAAAGGTCCCTGATAAGATTGTCTCACCGGTCATCCCAGACAACTGTCAAAGTTATCGCAAGCGAAAAAAACAGGAGCCTACGACAAAAATTGCCAGGGCTCTGCTTGTCGAAAAAGCAGACTCTGATCCAAAGGAGGTCAGTCCGGACAAAAAAGCGCCCCCACACAACAGAGACAGATCGACACCAGAGAAGCGCAAGTACAAACGCCAAACGAGCAAAGATGCCAAACCACAACCGCCAAAGTTTAAGGAGCAGAACAAGAAGTTTCAGTATGGAAATTACCACCGTTACTACGGTTACCGGAACCCCGATCAGGAGGACGATTCGAGAATCCCTTTCCTTAAAAGGAAGTGGTTTGAAGGGCAAACCTGCTTGGACATTGGCTGCAACTCGGGTCATGTGACCCTTTACGTAGCCAAAAACTTTGCCCCCGATAGGATCACTGGGATCGACATTGACGGAGCTCTGATTGGAATTGCCCGAAAGAATATCCGCCATTGCCTGGAAATGGACAAGAATCCCGAGCAGCGGAAGTTCCCTGTTTCCATGGAAAAAACGTACGGTCCGGTTTTATCCATGGGACAGCCAGTCAAGTCTGCAGCAACCACAGCGAAGTTTCCCGGGAATATCTTGTTCAGATGTGTAAGCTTTCTGGCCAAGTTTTTTTCTTATAGAACTAGTGGGGATGCTCCTTTCAATTTGTTCCCAAAAGTTAGATCAAACATGCAAGGAGATAAGGCCAAAACCAAAAAATAGTTCTGCTTCCGATTACATGGCATTTGAAAATAGGGTAGGTAGGTAAGGAATTAATTTTTTTGGCAATTTTTCTGTGTGTTCGATCTTTGGAGCTGTCTACGTGCAGTCAAGGGTAAAAGGTAGTAATTGATGGTTTGGAAAAAAGGCCTCCTTCCTTGTTTTTCAAAAAGGCAGGATGCTAAACATGTTTTTTTTGGGGGGGGGCCTTTGCAAGCAGCCAAGAAACAATCTTTGTATTTCAAAATTTGCAAATTTCAAAAGTTGCAACTTTGTTTTCATTCAACAAAAAGATAATTTGCTTTCACTGTTCATATCACAAACTTCGAAGAAAAAAAAAACATTAGATGAATATTTACAAACTTGACACCTTTTTTTATAAATATACCCGTGTTTACTTGACCTCAGGCCAACTTTGTTCCCGAGAACGACGACATCCTGGAACTGCAGAGGCCAGAATACGACACTGTTCTGTGCTTGAGTGTCACTAAGTGGATCCACCTGAACTGGGGGGACGTGGGCCTCAAGCGTCTGTTCCGTCGAATCTTCCTGTGTCTGCGACCTGGAGGCCGGCTGATCTTGGAGTCACAGGCCTGGCCATCCTACACCAAGAAGAAAAAGCTCACGGTATGTGGTCATCGGAACAAACCACAAGTGTTTAAAGGCAATATACATCATTTGCTTTTACTGTAATTTTCAGAAATGGAAGGAATTGGGGGGTTGGAAATATATAGCAAATATAGTTACACTGACTTTTTTGAGGTTTTGGGTTCGAAAATGCTATAAAAACCAAGAAAAACAATCATTTTCCTGTAGTCTGGTTCCCTGACTCCATATAAGAAGAAACAGAGCAGTTTACATACATTGGGGACTTGTAAGGTCAGGGAACCAGTCTAGCTGGCTCGTACCCGTTCATAGGTTTGTAATCGATTGCAAACTAGTGCGATGGTCAATTGGGGCCAGTATTTGAAAAAAAGCCAGTTTTTTCCAACGCTGATCGGCCGATCAGCGTTGGAAATTGATACAAAAATACCACTTTTCTTGAAAATGACAGTATACCAGGTGCCATGATTTTACAGGATGCTTTAAGCCCGGTTCATACTTCAAGCGAAAGCGAAAGCGAAGCGAAATTCGTGACGTCAACAATACATTCGAAGCGCGTCCACCATTGTTGACGACATGAATTTCGCTTCGCACATGCTTTCGTGTGAAGTATGAACCGGGCTTTACACTGTCATTCACTAACAGTCCAGCAAGGTATTTCAAAATGATTTGGTAGTTTTATTTTTGGATGTTTGCAAATGTTGTATTTTCCCTTTAAAAATAAAGGCATAAACCAGATCGGGCTGACTTGATGTTGTCGTCTTTCTGCATCAATTTGCAAGTTTTTACGTGTAGTCATTTGTAGTCGGAGGTCTGACTAGATTTGACCAAAGCTTATTGGGTCACGTGGTCATTGAGTCATTAGGTCAAAGGTCATTGATGTGGTTGTCAATGGTCGTGGTATGTTGTAAGTCTTATTCTGCCTGTATGGTAATAAATAGGTTGACATTTTTCATACACTAAGTGAAGCAGGCGTGAACAAGATTTGACTGAACTTTGAAATGCTTTCTGAATCCAACAGGAGACAATCTACAAGAACTTCAAGCAGATCCAGCTGAAACCCGACAAGTTCAAGGACTACCTGTTGTCCAGTCACGTGGGGTTCTCTAGCTGTGAGACCATCGGCACGCCACTCAATAAATCCAAAGGTAGGAATGCGTTATCTATCATGTTGCACTGCCCAAAGTTGCGAGGGACGCAATCCTTTACCAGAAAGTGTGAGCAGATATTTGCCAACTAAGCACTGCAAGTATTTGGTAGCATAAATGGGTTACCAGCCAAAATGCCATGCCATTTCATTCGCTTGTTACTGGTACCCCGCTGATTTCTGCCTAACTCATAAGTTTGCTTAGTAATGTATCCTGCAAAGAAGGTCTGTGAAATTTGGCGAAGGATGTAAACATGTCGCTCTTCATTAAATACCAGAGACAATTTAGCAATTCCTATTGGTCGAGAGCCCGTTTCGTGGGTGGTTTTAAACCGCCGGTAAAACTCTGCTGCGTTCTGCACAATATCGTGCAGTACACGCCACGCGCGCGCCAACTTCCAAGGCAATTTTTGGCACTATGCTTGCAAGGCAAATACCATAGACATGACCAGATGGGTGTTTCACAAAACATGCAGTAAAATTGTTGAATTAACTCATTGGAAAATTGTGAAGTTTTGACTTGTTTTCATTTTTTTGGCTGAAAGATATTTATGAGTGGAAATAAATATGGGCTTGTCTGGTATTAAACAGGTATGTTTAAAACCGGAAAGGGGCCTGGACACGAATAATAACCCTCATCTTCGTCTCGGCCATTATCAACATCCAGGCCACTAGCCTGTTTTCAACGTACTTGTTCGGCCAAGCACATATTGAACTTAATTAATAATTGATGTGTTTGTTTATTTTGATACATTTCAGGTTTCAGACGCCCTATTTTGATGTTTACAAAGCTAATCACATCGAGAGCCAGCTCAGCCAAGCCTAAGACCATCCTCAAGTCAGACCATGGGGCGTCATCAACTCACAAAATGGAGGAGTTCGCGGAACCTTCCAAACGTGAAGCGCCCTCTACTGGTGACCCCACACACCCTGCTGCTTCCCAGGGCATGACCTGTGACCCAAAGCCAGTCAGCACTGAGCGTGAGCAGGCTGCACAAGACATCGAAGAGAAAGATTTAAAGGTCGTAATATCCGAAGAGCCTGAGACGAAAGAGGCCGCGGGCGAAAGCGAGAACAAAAATGAAGAAGTTGAGGTGGACGCTAAATGCAGCTTGAAAGCGGAGAAGTCGCATGATGACAGTGAGAACATTTGTTTGGAAAGCCCTCCGGCTAAGAAACTCAAAATGGAACCCCCGGCAGATTAGCCGCTGGAGGTATATTGGGTGGAGCTGAAAATGTAAAGCAAAAAAACTCATATGTTCAAAGGCCAGTTCTTGTTTACTCAGTTATTTTTTTTTTCCCATTTTTGACTTTGATAAAATGTTAACGAGTGTATGACTGTGGATTATTCAACAGTCTTCAACTTGCATCAAGACACATATCTGAATTAGTGCCGGCATGGCATGTTAAATGATTATTTTCAATTTTTGCTTTTAGCAAATTGTTTTTGGAATGGATAAAACTTGTGGAAAAAGTATTAAAGTGTATTGAAGGCATAGTATATGACTGCTCTGTTGACAGATAGCTTTAAACTATGATTTCAAACTCCGTTCAACTGAGTAATTTGCAGACAGGTCTGTGAAGATTTCATTGAAGGGCAAAACCTAATTTGAAGTTTTCATTTATAAATTTCTGCCTTCTACCTTAAATAGTAATCTGGAAACATAAAACAATTCTCAATTTTTTGTGTGATTTGCACGACATGGTTTCAGTGGTGCAAAGCGCACACTTTTTTTTTATCAAGAACCATTCAGGATCGAGTTCATGTGAAGTTGAACTTGCAGGGTTGAACTTGTTAACGCAACCAACACATTTCATGTTGTAAGGGATTAAGGTTTCACCTTCTTGAAGGAAGTCCTTATGCCAAGATAATTTATCTCAATCAAACCATTTATGTGGTTTCCTGTTTCGGAGGTAGTAGAGTTTAAGGAGCGGTTTTGTGTCGTCCTAAGTTACATTTACTAGGTTTCCTGTTTTGGGGAAATCGCATAATTTCTTCTGCTAGTCTTTTGAAGCGTGATGGTAATCTTGGTTCCTCATTTGCTGATAACGCCGCCAGCATTTCATTTCTGTAAAATGGGGTTCATCTCTTTGTAACCCCCCCCCCCCCAAAAAAAATCATCTGTGTGTGTGTATTCTAAACAAACCCATCCATTTCCAGCATTTTCAAGACTTTAGGACCATCACATTTCCAATCTCTTTTTCTTGTTTGAACCCGAAATTTCCACATTTTTAGGAGAAGTCTCACGAGGCAATTTTGTCAAGCAACTTTAAGAGGCAGCCAAATGCACTGCAAGCGAAGAAACCAACAAGAATTCATATTTCAGACATTTTATTACAGTTCTGATGATGGTAACAGAGAGAAAAAAATGCGTTTTCTTCTTTGAGGTTGCTTGAAACATGGTGCCTGTAACTTTCCCTTTGTGACAGTTGACTTATCGCGTTAGAATCGCGTCAACGCAGCTTGTGAAATATTGTCCAATTACATGATATACAAATGGACGCGGAACACGCAAAATCCGAGACAAAACTTAGTGTACAAAAACTCCATAGGGTTGTCTACGGGGCGTGACTAACTCGCAAATGGCAATAGGTCAATTTCCTTACCCCTCCCTTTCAACATTAATTCAGCTACTGGTTTTGCTTGATTCAGGGAGGAGATTTGTCAGGTTTTTTCCAGATTTCAAGATTACCCTTAACCCTAACAGAACTCAACCCATCAAACCCCAACGGCATGTTTTGTTGGAATCTGTCAGGATGGGTACAGTACCCCTAAACTGACAGTCTTTTACATTGGGTTGGCACACCTCCAGAAACAAAGTCAGAAATATGTGTGTTCAGTTTCCCATATGGTGTTGGAATTTGCCAGGATGGGTATGGTTTCTAGTAAATCATGCTAGGGAGTTAGGGTTAATCCCTTTAGTGATTTACTAGGAACCTTCCTCACTCTTGCAAAATCCAAGGCCATATGGTAAACTCGCCAAACTGTCTGATTATGGCGGTATGCCTAACCCCATGTAAAGCATAATCAATTAATACTAGTGCAGTACTCACTCCAACAGAATCCAACAAAACATGCAGTTATTAGATTTTGAAGGGTTGGAGTGGTAAGGATAAAAACAAAAATCCTTTGAAAATCTGGAATTTGTAAGATTTTATCAAAACGGTTGGTGTACCAGAAGCTTTATATATAACAAAAGAAATAGGTATTTTAAGTGATGCCTTTAGGGAAATTCACACATGTACCATAGACCATACATTGCTCAGTGGCCCCCTGAACTCTCTGCCGATTATTTTGTGAATTTTCATTCCTCCCCCCCCCCCCCCAAAAAAAACCCTGTTGATTTGTAACAAAAAAAATATTTGAAATTTGACAATTCAAATAGATATGAATCAATATTTTTCATTAGCAATAATTTTGTTGCATCTTATCAGGACACTTTTAAATGGATAAGTAGACATATGTACCTCCAATTTCGGAGTTGTGAATTTCAAGAATGACCATTCACTCAATTAATTTTTTTAATGTGTTTCCATTGAACATTCATAAAATGTACATTTTCATGAATTGCGATGAATCGGAGCCCGGAATAAAACCATTGTGATGTGTTGCTTGCAAACGGACTTTACTGTTCAAACAAAAATTTGTCTCATTTTAATTTAATTTAAAAATAGTCCAAGCCACTAATACATGTTTTCTTTAATCTTTTAATCCACATGATTGTGAGCACCCTGCATTCAAATGATATTTCTTGTAACAAACCACAAGTACATTAAATAATTTGTACCATAATTAAATTTGCATACGATTAATTTCACAATCAGATGAGTTAGTTTTGCTTGTAAAGTGTACTTTGGTACTAGTTCATATTTTAAAAGGGGAGAGAGAGACAGAAATATGAATTATGCCGATGTTAAATTATCACTCCAATTTACATGTGAAGTCTACTTCAAATATTTCTGAGACACGCGAAAGAATACTAGGCTTCTGTTAGACATGACACTTTCAATCTGACAATTCACGGTGCTGTCGTGGGCATCGCCAGGATTTTTTTTTTAAGAGGGGGGAAAAGAACATTATTTCCCCAAATCCTTGTACTTTCTCTAGCATATTCTCAATTTATCCTTTTTTCGAGGGTGAGTGGGGGGACATTTCGTCACAGTTTTGACGAAGTGACGGATCCATCATGGCTGGATTGCTAAGGAATTTTTGTACTGATTAGTCGTTATTTGAGCGAGGGGTGCTCAGTAGTTTTTGAATTAGACAAAAAGTATTGGAAGGGAGGACTTTCTTTCTTTTTGGGTCGAGTGTATGTCCTTGACCAATATTAAACATAAGTATGTTTAAAACTGGGGGAGTGTGTGGCCTAGTGGTTAGGGTTCGTGACTCATGATCAGAGGGTCCGGGGTTCAAATCCAGCCGCTGGTCATATATTGTGTCCTTGGGCAAGGCACTTCACCCCCACTTGCCCCTCTCCACCCAGGAGTATAAATGGGTACCGGCATTAGCTGGGAGTAACCTGCGATGGACTAGCATCCCATCCAGGGGGAGTAGAAATATTCTGTCGTTTCATGCTACTGAAACCGGAGATAAACGCCGGCCTGGTGAGCCACATTGGCTCGGGACAGACTTTACTACTATGTTTAAAACTGGCTGGGGTATGATCGGGGATAACGACCCTCACCTTCGGCTTGGGCTATTATCTGCGTCCAGACTCCTAGCCGGTTTTCAATGAACTTGCTTCAAACTGGCCAAGCACATGTTTATGCACTTAATAACAAACCTAGACATGGGGAAACTTTTTTTTTTGGACATCCCAATTTTAGGAATTTAAATACATTTGATTCTTAGCGTCAAATTTAAGATTATTCGTACATGTACACATCATAATGAGATTTCTTGTGTGCTGCTACAACAATATTAATTATACTAATATATCACACAGAAAATAAGTTAACACAATATGACAAAATTTACACAGTAAAATGTGTTCTCACTATTACAGCCGATTAATATTTAAATATATTGCAACACATTAATAAATATACCACGTTGAAATCTTGCTTACAGATGAACATTGTATACCTCAATGCACATTGCTTGTTTATTCAGAAAAAGTCTCTACATTATATTTGAGAATTAGTATTTCTTGAAAATTACATTTTTCCCAATTTTCTTTTAATGTCCTCTGTTTCTTCAAAATGACAAGTTTCCCACTTTTCTATTGTTGTCCTCTGATGAAGATTTATTTTGAACACACGTGAGTGTTAACAAGTTGACCTGAGTCCGTCTGAGTGCCCATAGTACACCTCTACTGATTTCAGTTGCGTCTTCGGGACGACAAGGAAAAAAGAAAAGTATATCTACGGACATTCTTTGGCCAGAGGGCAGATATCCAAGTTCTTAGTCTTGTGTAAAATGTGTGGCCACTAATTGGCATTTGAAAATGGCAAGTTTACCAATACAGCCTCCGCAAGCACAGCAGAATGTAGCCAAAAAAAAGCAACATTTGCCAATTTATAAATTACATAATGCACATTTCAGATTGTACAAAAAAGTGGGACAAAAAAGACCTGCAACCTGCAACCTCATCCCCATGGTGTCGAGAAGTACGCGCCCACCACTACCTGCTCTCTCACCCTGGTATTGGATCATTTGCATGTGCAAAATGTTTTAACACGTATGTCGTGAGTAACGAAAACAAGATTTTTTTCGAAGTAAAAATGTAACAGTCTTATCCTGCCAATATGCAGTATCACATTTTATATTAGTATGAGCAAATTGGAAACAAAAAGAGTATTTTTGAGAAGGCGTGGACGTTATAATTACAATGTTTTGAAAACACGTAATGCACGTTGGAAATAACAACACCAACTACACGATATAAATCCATTAGTAGCCAATTGCGGTATCGAATCAGGATACAGGAAGAAAGTTTCCTATCCAGGGCTTACTATTGGAAACGAGGTTGGAAATAAAGTAAGCACTGAGGACGAGGTTGAGGGACCTGCTCTTTGCTGGAGATGAAACAGCAGCTTTCACATCAGCATTTACTCTGCACAGTCAGTCACTGTAGACTTCTTTCAAGACGCTGACCCATCTATTCCAGTGATGGCCACGAGTTCACGGTGACCTTTGGTAGACTCCCATCCAGCAGTCGATCCAGCCACATGCCTAGTCTATCCAACGACATGCATTCTGAAAACTCGTCCGATTCACTGTCGGAACTGTCCATGAGACCAACAAAACTGATATCTATTTCGCCCCGCCGTCTCCTTGACCTCTGACCTTGTCTGGGCTTGAAGACAAAGTAGTAACTTTTGGATGGACGGATCGCTAACACTGTGCCTGTGAAGAGAAACATAGCAATCACTGTACCAGCTGAAACCACCCTGATGATTATTCCCTGTAGGGCCCGAAACTGCCCCAGCACGCTATGGTTGTATGGATTCATCAGTGAATCAACACAATAAATACAATGTAGTACAATGTAGTACAATGTAGTACAATGTAATACAATGTAGTACAATGTAATACAATGTAGTACAATGTAATACAATGTAGTACAATGTAATACAACGTAGTACAATGTAATACAACGTAGTACAGTGTAATACAATGTAATACAATGTAATACAATGTAGTACAATGTAGTACAATGTAATACAATGTTGTACAATGTAGTACAATGTAATACAATGTAGTACAATGTAGTACAATGTAGTACAATGTAGTACAATGTAGTACAATGTAATACAATGTAATACACTGTAATACACTATAATACACTGTAATACAATGTGATACAATGTAATACAATATAATACAATGTAGTGCAATGTAGTACAATGTAGTACAATGTAATACAATGTAATGCAATGTAATACACTGTAATACAATAAAATACAATAAAATACACTGTAATTCAATGTAATACAATGTTATACAATGTAATACAATGTCATACAATGTCATACAATGTAGTATAGGTTAAAGGGTTAAGATCTGCAGTACATTTTGAGCACTCTGTTTATTGCAATGTAGACTAGTTCCAAGGCCTCGTGGTCTGGGGCATTGAATTCATGGTCTGCAGGTAATTCTGCAGGTTGTGGGTTCACGTCCAGCCTGGGGTCATGGTGCGTGTGCCCTTGGGCAAGGCACTTTGTCATTCATTGCTTCTCTCCACCCAGGAGAAAATGGGTACCTGCGAGGGCAGAGATGGTTATTGTAATTGATAGTAGTAAGCTGCCTTGCGCCGAAATAGTAGCATCGAGCTGTATACTCCCCTGGGAGCTGAGATGGTATTTGGAATGTTTTATTGGCCCAAAGATCAGGGGTAATAATAATGTACATGTAACGCGCTTTCATTAAAGCATAGTTAAAAGCGCTTTATAAGATCTATTATTACTAGTTATTACTATTATTTTTATTAACAGGTGTGGGCGGGATTACATCAGCCACTGAAAACCTGTATTCATTTGCACACCAGTTTTAATCGGTCGCTATGTGTTACCAATTCAGCACTCCAGACTCAAGAACCTTTGAGTTTCAAGAACATAGGTCTGGGAGCTAGATAAACCAATGTAACAAATTCCTGAGTGTCAGCGCTGGCCTATTAGAGGGAAAAAGGAATGGGAATAAACCCACAGGCTTTACAAATTCAAACCAAGATTTTTATCAAGCACTTACCCACGCCATTGGGCGAAGCGAATGGTGAAGGATTTTCGCTTTGTGAGCGGAGGTTTGCCAGCCAGTGCTTGTACTTATCCAGCATTAGGAACACTGGTACCAGGAACGGCTGACTGTGGATAAAAATCAATATCTCATCATGATCTAGAGCAGGCATGTAACTGGGAAGTCACACAAAAAAGAGGAAATTCAAAGCTTTCCAAGACTTTGTACAGCTTTTTCTGTTTTTAATGGCACACATGAGAAGTTAAAAAAAAGAGCAAATCAGCTGATTTGAGGAAAAGTTGCATGCGTGCTAGAGTCAACAGGCCTTTTTCGATGACATTGTGGGTATAAACAGACGTGAATCGAAGGATATTGTCATCATATTGCGCATATCCCCAAAACAACATTTTACAATCTTTAATGTATTTTTTTTGTAAAGTTACTGAATTTTATAAACAGTAATATCAACATTTTTCAATCCGTCTACACTTCAATAATTGATTATTGATAATAATTGATAAAAAAATAGAAAATTTCTTTTTCAATGTGAAAGTCGGCATCCATAACATCCATTTTCAAAACTGTGTGTGGCAAGGTAACTTCCATTTAGAAGTTTCGAAAGACACAGATGTAGCCAAAGCTGTAAACGGAACCCAGGTTTCGAAAATTCACACACAAAGTCCCGTACCTTGCTATATGCATGTGTGCTTCTTGTTTGAAAAGCTGGCATAGTGTGTCTTTGCTGTTCTGGTCCGTTAAGAGAAGCAACAATATGTGACCTTGTCGACCGCTGGCCAGGAATTTCTCATATGTTGACTCATTCAACTCCTGCATGTGGATTCTTCTATAGAAAAAAAATGATTAACCTCCTGCTATTTAAACAGTCACAGACAGTCAAAATTTCCATCCACTTCCCCTGCTATACTTTTAACACAGGCTAGTCACCAGCAGTCAGATCATATGTCAAGCAAGCACTGTGACAAGTCGAACTCAGTCAACAGACCATGAACAGACGAAGCAGGCAAGTTGTGGGCACAGCTGGCGTATCAATTACCCACAGCCAAAGCTAAGCTGTATCAAGTTACATAAACAATCGCGGCCAGTCAATCTAGCTTTATGTAAGCTGGGAATTATTAATTGTTGAAAACAGTCACTTGATTGATTTTGACTGAAAGGACAACTTGGCACACAATGTATGTTTGCAAAGGAGAGTTAAAGGGTCATGAATGCAATTGACTACATCGTGTTTTGTGATCGAAAGGTTGTTCATGGTTTTTCAGTTTTCTCGAAAAGTGTAATATCCACTGAGCTGAAACTTCAACAGGTTAGGTTTTGAACATTTTTCTTTGGATTTTGAGTGGTGCTATTATTGGAAATGAACAAAACGCATGTAAAGCCAATGATCCTATATGCCATTACTGCATACCCTTGTTTTGCGATTTTCAGTCCTTTTGATTGTTATTCTTATATCTTTCCATGTATTTTCTTGTCTGTTGCATTCATAAGTTGTTGTGTATTGTTGGTTTTTTCTTTAGGTAACATGAATTATAACTTTAATAATCATAGCAAACAGGATTAGAGTTGTACAGCCACTTTTAACTGAAGCTGTACCTGAGTCGAAGATTGGAGCTGTCTGGTTGTGAGCGACCTCTGACCTCCGTAGCATAACTGGTGAAGCAAAGGATAAACAGATGTAATCAGTCCCAACAAAATGCAACAGCGGACGGGGCAAACATTTTGGAGGAAAAAAAATATATTAAAAGATACCTTCTTAAGGTTGGTAGCCATTTAACCACTTTGCGCCCGGATTATTTTTGCCAAAAATTTAGATTTTTGCAAAAGGCAAAATGTTCCAGCCGACTTCGCAAGAGTCAGTTCAACAGTGTTTGTACGATATTTCTTGCCGAAATTTTCTAACAGATCTGGAATTTTGGGGGATTGGGAAAGCTTCCTGGCTAAAATAAAATTACCCAGAAAGTTTAAGTTTAAGAAAGTAGAGACAAGAATTTCTTGGTTTTTACCCTTCTCCTTGTGGCATGCTACCGTTGGCTCGGTGATCCATGGCCTCCTTGCTGTGTGCAGTAGGAACACTGAAACAATTAGCCATGCATGACGTAATATTTATGTATTTAGTTACTTATTCCATTTCTTTATGGGCTCATTTCCGTCCAATGGGCTCTTGAAAGTGGTCGAACAGCGCCCTCTCTGTTCGTGCACGGTGCCTATTCTTCAGTTCACACAAAGTTTTTAATTCTTGTTAGGATAAAAACATATCCTGGCACCTATCAAAACACGAATTCACTGTTCAGTTTGTCAGATTTATATTTCTTTCACTTTTTGGGGATAAAGAAGAAAGTTTACTAAAGTGAGTTTTTTGACAATTTCCTTCAATGCTGAAATTCGTAAGCGATAAGACCTACGTGTACGTGTGCCAAAACTTGTCGTACTTTCCCCATTCGAACTCCAAAACGCTACATTCTAACTGTTTAAAGTCAACAAATAATGGGAAAGAATGTAGTATCCTGACGCCACTTCTGTGGTTGTGTACAAAGTCTTTGAAAAGTTGAGTGCATTTTCAAAGTATTTTCCAACAAAAATGGAAATGTTTCTCAGTCCCAGATTCAAGTTTTTTCAACATTTTTGCAATGACTGACCTTTATTGAGATAATATATGATGAAAAAACTGGCGTCAGGATGCAACATTCTTTCCAAATAATGTAAAAAATACAATCTCAGTTTTGATTTTCAAAGGACTGATTTTTAGAAACGTCTCCGAACTTCTTACCCCGCATTTAGAAGCCCTGCAAACGCTAAGAAAAATGCCACGAGATATGCCAGGACTACCAGGACGGCAATGGAAGACTCACTCCTGTAAAACAAAAACAAAAAAACAGAATCGTTAAAAGCGTGAGAAAATAGCGCCCCCTAGGAGCAGGTGCATGCGATCTGTGGGAATCTGTAGAGGGCGGTATGTGGAGTGGGTTGCTTACATGTGCATATTGGTTCCACATTAAGACTCTCACTACTTTCACAAGATTATGTATTGTTGTTGATGGCTCAATGCAGCAAGGTCCCACAGACTTTGACACCTGATGTACTGTGTTGCAACCCGATTCATGAAACTCATCGTATCCAGGCTACGATGCATAGGGATAGGTTTTAAAACATAAAACAAACTGGCATACGTATGATGCAGTTTTAAACTCGCGGTGAACCATAAGCTATTTTGAAATTCCAATTTTAATATTCCAGGCAAATTCATATTTACTTCGTTGCATATTCAATTTACAGCTCCACACACATTGTCTCGGTATTATAGTCTGGTTTATTTAATTATGGCATAAAACTGGCTAAGAAAATTATGCTTTCTATTTTGCGACGACCACAAGACACGACAGATTCAACCAACATAAGTTTTGTGAAATGGATCCTACGACGCATTGTAAGTTGCGACGTGTTACGCATTGCAACTCGAGTTGCAAAGCGTCGCAGTGCTTCATGAAATCGGGTGCGGGTTAATTATCCACTTACCATGCACTGAGCAGGGCTTGCTTTACGTAGCTCCCAGGCTTCGAAAACAGATTCAGGAAACTGTAGATCCGCTCCAGGATCCAGTGCTAAATGAATGCAACAACTCACAATCAACGACGACAATGTCAAATCTTTGGATGTAATTTCTCAATAAAAATTTCCAGTTTGTGACTCCTCACCAGAAAATAATCAACTAGGACCCTGGAAATGTGACTGCACGGTTTTGAGAAATGGACTCCAGTTCCTCATTGCTTTTGGTTCTCGGATCTTGAAATGGATTTGATGTGTTAAATATCACCTTTAAGAGAGTGACTACCTTTTTATGATCTCATATTGATAATTCAACACTTCAGCTCACTTTATTATGGAGGTTTTTCAAAAATGACAGTGGAATTTTAAGGGGGAAAACTGATTCAACATTTAAATTGACTTAACAAAATAATTGGAGTATCACTTGCTTATTGTGTCAAAACGTTATGATTACAATTATGCTGGTGTCAATTTCGTGGTGCCGCTGAACAGTAGGCAGAAAAGTTGTAGCAGAAAATTGTGCTAACCTTAAGCACTATTTCATAATTTGGATGTGTTAACGCTTGAACGCACATGGAGATTTCTATTGTTACGTCACAAGTTTCAGCAACTTCTTTTCTCTGAGGTAAGCATGCCTTTTGCTGTGCTTACTGCTTAGGCCAAAAAAAAAAGTCTCCGGTTTCTGGTATGGAGCTTGTCCAAAAAGTGGTGCGGCGACGCGGCTTTTTTTTTTTTTACCTGACTTTTTTGCTTCAAATGTCGGCTGATGACTGCAAATGGTGCCCAACTAAACTTAGTGAAAATATATGGGAGTCCAGAGAGGCCACATAAAGCTTATTCTCGATCATAACCCCATCTAAAAACACGTTGTGTCTAAAATTGTGCAGCAGCAGGATTCCAGTCAAACCAGTGAGTTTGGCGGTTTTGAGACATCATCTTTCATTGAAAAAAAACTTTTTCATTTTGCCTACGCGCATGGCTACGGCGACGCGCGCATACCAGAAACCGGAGACCTTTTTTTTTGGCCTTACGGTCTCATTGAAATAGACCGAGGCTCTGTAAGAGTAAAACCGTGTGCTTAGCAGCAAAAATTAATACAAATTTGTCTCACTGGTGCATTTTCATCTTTCAGTTCCGGCAGAGTGGTCACGAAGCCCAACTTGAACTTCTTGTCCACGATTTGCTGGAGGAAAAAGCTCAATCCTATCTTGTCTTTTTCAGGCTCGTTGCCATGCCAACCCTCGGGCAGCCAATCGTAAGCCACCTTTCTGCCGCTCTGCCGCCAAAGGACAGCAACCTATGAAAGAGCAAAAGAAAAAATGGTTAAAAACAGAGTAACCCTTGAGTTTCGTTCCCAGACAGAAAATAAAATTAATTTATAAAATCAAAGTACTTACGGGAACCGCGCCGTCGGAATCGAAGCGGGCCAAGTCGCCCAGCGCCCGGACAAACTCCTGCTGTGTCTCCTGGTACAGGTGAACCAGTCTAGCTTCCCCTGGGAAGGAGTCTGTTGTCTTGGCAACCAGGCGGAAGAAATCTCGGTGCTCCTTGTGGACAGACGGGTTCTTGGTGATGAGGATGACACAAAACCTTCAAGACAAAAATGAAGTTACACACATGGTGGTTTTTGTGTTTGGTCAAACAGCGCTGAGGGTGTGCAGTGCTTATAAAAGTACTTGGCGATGGACAAAACCCAATATTAACCTGAAACCTCCACAGTATTTTGGCTAGAAACCCTGCTGAAGACAACAACATACGACACTTGTCCAAATGACAAGCCTGCCCAGTGCAGCAAGATCCATCAGGTCTCAAGGCCAAACTGCCTCAGAGTCCGTGGTCACCAACTGCCGTAGGATACAACTATGGCATGTTCAATGGGACTAGCTCTCATTGTCTCAAAATTGGTCGTTTATGCACTGGCGTTGATGGCTCAATGCAGCAAGGTCCCACAGACTTTTACACCAGATGCACTGTGTTGCGTCTGGCAGGGTTAGAGTTAAAGCAAACCAACTAGACAAAATCTAGACAGGGTTTCTTGCCACAGGAGGGTTAGGGTTAATATTTGGTTTGCCCAATTTGGTCTCATTCCTCTCCTGTTAAAATACAATACAAAGATGGGCTGGGAACCAGCCTGGCCCACTTTTGTCTTCTTTTTTTGGTATAAAACATAGGGAACTCACTTTTGGCAAATATTGAAGTGAATTGGAGGGTGTGGTAGATCAAGGGTTAAAATGGTTATCATAGTTTTCCAGCGTGATGTACAATATTCATGACCACTGATTAGCTGCCTACCTTCGTCTGTACGTCCCTGGTGATTCTGGGCACAGGTCCTCGTACACCTGCTGAGACGTTAACCGGGGAACAAAGAGGTACTGATTCCTGGTGACGGCATCCTCTAGAAGGGAAGTGTCAATCTTGGAAGACTGAAGGTCAAAAACAGAAAGAGATGGAAAGTTTCTTTGTTGTGGTTGAGACTATGCAAAGATAAACACCTTTTATTTACAGTAAATAGTCAGTCTTTGTAATTCCAAAAAAATGGTACAAAATTTCACAGCTTATTGGGTTAGGAACCAGATTTTTTAAAGAAATATTTATATGTTCTCTTCACAGATATCCTCCTAAATGAGAAGAAAATATTTCAAAGGCAAGTTTGAGGAATGCTTTATTTCATATCAGTAATAATATATTTTAAAAAAGGACAAGTCTGCTTCCACAAAATGAGACGTCATTTGCCGATACTTTTTGTTCGAGCTGCAATTCTCTTCAAAAAACTCTTTTGACGGTTCACGATTTGTCGGAAATGTTCAAACATTTTATAAACCCTACACCAGCAAAGTTACATATCATTAGAATTCTCTCTCTCTATCTTTGCTCTCTCCAATAACAGTAAAAGCTACACCTTAAATTCCTGTGACCAGCCCATACTTTCTTGCAGCAGGCCACCAAAACCATACAAATTAAAGCTTAACTTTCTACCTGAATCTTGTCCACATATTCCTCGTCGTCCTCCTTAAAAATGAGCAAGGTGGGTTCGTGGGCCGAGACGTCAAACTTCCAGACGAGTTCTATCGTGTCTTCGCCCTGGTTCTGGGCAAAACCAAAGGTGTGCAGACGCCGATACTTGAAGGCCAGGAGGTGGTAGAGGAGCGAAGGGGCGGAGCGACGCGAGAAGAGGAGAGAGCGGGGACGATTGTCGTCATGCCAACCAGAGAAGAACGTCTCCTGGTTTGCGTCGGTCACCTGGGCAATAGAGAAAAGGCAGTCATTTCAAAATCAGAAATCAAGTTTTGAATTCATCATGAGTTGTTGCTCAGATGAATCTTTATGATTAACATGGTTGCAGTGGTAGGGCTAACATCGTGGTTTAGTACTGTGCACAAAAATGTCTGATTTCGTCCCACGTCCTTCGATTTGTGATTAACAAGCTTCTTTGCTAGGTACTCTATAGATCAGAGGGTCTGATGATGAGCAGAGCATACTGTACAAAATGTTGAGATTCCACAAGTTCTGTTTAGAACCACACAAACTCAGAAAAGAGGTTTTATGACTCACAGTGTAAACGCAAAGCGTATAAGAACGTTCCGAGATTGGAGCGGTTCCCTTATATTCAAGACCACATCTGACAGCAGGTGATCTCATGCAACCTTAATTTCAAGATTATGTACTTCAGCTGGCCTTGCGTAACCTTTACTTTCAATATCACATTTTAATGTATGTATTTTTATTAAACTGACCTTCATGACCACATCTGACAGCAGGAGATCTTATTGTACAGTCAAGATCACATCTGACAGGAGGAGGTCTTATTGTACAGTCAAGATCACATCTGACAACAGGAGGTCTTACTGTACAACAAGAGGTCTAATGCATCCCGACTTTCAAGATTCTATCTGTCAGCTGGCCTGGTAACCTTACTTTCAAGATCACATTTTCAAGCAGGTCTTGTCAACTTACCTTCAAGACCACATCTGACAGCAGGAGGTCTTGTGTCAGGTTATCCACAAGACCACATCTGAGAGCAGGAGGTCTTGTGTCAAGTTATCTACAAGACCACATCTGACAGCAGGACATCTTATGTCATCTTACCTTCAAGATCACATATGATGGCAGGAGGTCATGCGCAAACTCCTTCAGCTTCTCGGTGTTGACGTGATTCTTGTCGAAGATGACAACCCTGCCTTCAATAATACCAACTATAGAGGGCCACTGGTGGACTCCAAGCTTCCTCAGCAAGTTTCGACTGTAGTCTCCATACACCGTTCCCATGCCGATGCCTGAAAATGACCCCAAAAAAATCAAACGGAACACATAAGAAATATGAAGTCAGATTCAAACATGAGGCACCTTCTCAATCGGTTGTCTTCCTTCACATATCTTCCAGATATTTTATCCAAACCAAAAATACATTCAGATGCCTCATAAATACATGAAGTCGATCATGTCAAAAAATGTGTAAAGTTGTATTCCCCATACTCTTCAACAGATTCAATTATTTTCACTGGGCATTTTTGCTAGGATGCAACCTCAATCTTGCTAAGTCATCCGTTATTTCTTGAATGTGGTCCTTGGAGGGATGACCACTGCCTCAATCCTGCAAAATCTTCCAGCAATCACTGTCAATATGTTGAGGCAGAGCCAGTGACATCCTGAAGCAGTGCGGAGCATTCCAAGTACAGTCGACTCTCGTTAGTACAAACTCTGTTAATACAAAATTCTGGTTATAACAAACATAAAGCCTTGGTCCCCACTGTGCATTTATGTGCACAATGAATGGGACTGATGTTCGTCTTAATACAAAATTCTGATATAACAAACAATTTGGCTTGGTCCGAACGAGTTTGTTATAACGAGACTCGACTGTATAATCTAGGCCTAAATCAATGCACTGCTGAGCATAAACAACCAAAGGTCCAGCCTAAGACCTTGACACAGTGCATCCTCCAAAATCGGCTATACATTTTTGCCAAGTAGCCTCAATCCTGCAAAAAGAGGATTTTGGAGGATTTGGGAATAAAATTTCATTTTGTTTGTTTTATTCCAACAAAAAACCTCCTTTATTCCTTTTTTTTTTTTTGGATTTCTTCAACCCTCTGAAAAAAAATTTGGTTTTGGGCACAAACAGATCCACTTTGCGAGCAGACTGGCTCCCGGTCCATATATTATCGATACTGATTGTGGGGCCGGAACCAGCCTACCCCACAAGAACATGAATTATTGTCTGGCAGCCAATAATTCGAAATTATAAAGTAATAATTCAAGAAGTAAGCAAGGGCCGATCTTTTCGATCAATGTCTTATTCTAAAGTAAATAACCTTGGTATTGCTAGAAAAACAGCAATTTAGGGAAAAAAGGAATACATTTTTGGAGGATGAAAATCGAAAATAGCACGGAAAATGCCACTTGAAATGTGGAGGGAAAAGAATGTTGCAACTTGATCTAATGATGACCTGAAAATGATGATAAAACATGAATCTGGAACTGAGAAAACATTTCCAATTTTGTTAGGAAATACTTAGACAATTTTCTTGGTTCTCCGTAGATTTTGTACACAACCGCTGAAGTCGCGTCTGGTTGCAACATTCTTTCCTATGGAGACAACACTAACCCAGTTTCTCAAGTTCAGGCAAGGCCTCGTTCCACATCTCTTCTACCCTGACGCAGCTGAAGCACCAGTCACCCGTCACAAACAGCAAGAACGGCTTGCGATGGCTCTCCGGCAAGATTCCGTTCTCGAACTTCTCCAGCGTGACCCGGCGGGGATCCGAGCCGGCCGACGAGCCCTGATTGGTGTAGCGGAACTGGAATCCGTCAAACCGGCTCCCGGCAAAGTGGAAACCGGCGAAGGGGTCGTGTCGGTTCTGGCGGCGAGGCTGGTTCCCGGTGTCCACATGACCATACAGATCGTACTCCGCCCTCTTCTCCTCATTGGACAGAATCTACGCATATATTACCAAGAAGTCTGATTTAACAGCTGATTTAACAATGGCATTATAAGTGTTGTTTCCGGATTGAATCTTTTCTCATTAAACACATAGGCCTTTACACCCCAAGTTGAACTTCAAGAAATACTCTTCTACAGTACATCTTTATGGAGAAAGTGAGGAATCAGAGAGAATATTGATTTGGATTTTTAATGCACCTTTAGACGGTTCAGGAACGCCTACATCAGCAAAGATGATTCACATTATTACTGCAGACAGATGATTAAAGCAAAAGTGAGTGTGCTGTGACCCGCCTGTCTGAACAATTTACTACTGAAAAACATTGCGACTCAGATCTTGACTTTAAAAATCAAAGCAAAGATTTTGGGTAATTGTGCAAAACCTATATTTGACTTGAGTTGATGCTGATGCAGTACATGTACATGTAGGACTGTTTTAATGTGTTTACAACATCTTACAATTTGTTATTATAAGGTGGAATCAGTTGATTTAAATGATTAAAATGACCCTCAAGCAATTTAGTTTGTTAAGTTTTTGGAAAGATTTCCATATACGAAGTTCACTCAACACCCTGTGTACAAACCCTATGAGGTTGGACTGAAAAATTCTAAGTGTTTTCTAAGAAAATGCTTGTATTTTCTCACTGCTCAAATTGACTTTGATGACGTGAATTTGCTATCTGGGGGCTTGTTAGTCAATACAGAGGAAAATTTGTGAACTTCGTATATGGAAATCTTTCCAAGTTTTTGAGCATTCATCAATACCGAATTCAAATTACAAAAGATGCCTTCTAAGATGGCCGCCATGCACAAGGTCTATAGCCAGCACAATGTTTTCACTATTGAAGAGGGCCTTCATGATAGTATCGATACTGGCAGTGTGCCCAGGTGGGTCTATATGTTCATGCAGTGTTGTAGTACTCGTACTCGGTACTCGTACTCGAGTACTTCTCAAGTACTTTTTTTGGAGTACTCGTACTTGTACTCGAATGTCAAAGTACTCGTACTCGAAATGACGGTACTCGTACTCGGGCAGCAAAGTACTCTTACTCGACATGTCAAAATTATACTCGATCATCAAAGTACTCATACTCGAATAGCAGTACTCGAAGAAAAAAAATGGTATAGCTTGACTTTATACCACGGCCTTATTTTATTATCAATACTTTCAGTTGAACTTGGAAATGGTTGATTGGCTTGCAGAGAAATCAAAGTTTCCTGATTTTTCTCTGTGCAAGACACTGCATGTCCGGACAAACACATTTAACAGCTAGCCATGAGTGGATCTGTATACTGTCTGACTGGGCCTGTGCCAATTACGCACAATGAACCATTTGCCGTATGGCCGTATTCGGAAATAGAAGTAGTTGTACTCGTACTCGGAAGTACAAGTACTCGTACTCGTACTCAGAAGTACAAGTACTCGTACTCGGAGACCTGTACTTGTACTCAGAAGTACAAGTACTCCTACTCGTACTCGTACTTGGCAACCTAAGTACTCGGCAGTACTCGGTACTCGGAAAAAAGTACTCGACTACAACACTGTGTACATGTTATGTACACTTTCACATTCAAGCTCTTCAATCAGTAGTTGGGCGCAGACATCCAGGAGCTTCTAGCATCGCCTTTTCTGTTTCCCAGACATAAATTTCAAACTCAATGGTTCTTGAGTCTGGAGTGTTGAATGATAACTGAGCATCATATCCAGTGAATAATGACATAATCCCACCCACACATATTTAATTTGCTTTGCCTTCACAGCGCCCTCATAGGTTTGCGCAGTGAGCCAATATTTACCTCGTAGGCCTGTTGGATCTGAATGAACTTTTCTTGAGCACCTTCCTCCCTGTTTTTGTCCGGATGCCTGAAAGCATAGAATGATCATGTGAGGATGAAAGTAAACAAACAAACAAAACTGTCACTGCTAGCTGATCTACAAAAATGATAAATATCGATAATGACAGACGTAATTTACAAATTGAAATGCAATGTACATTTAATATTACATTAATTATGACGTAAACAGTTATATTTATGGACTGGACACGTGGCCATTCTAGACCAATGAAATTATAGTACATACTATCAACACAGTGGCGTAACTATGGGGGGTATCCCTCCCAACAGATGTTCGGATCCTTATTTGTTAATTTGGAAAGATTCCCATATCTGGCCATCACTTGACACCCTGTGCACAAACCCAATGAGACTGGTAAATGTTTAAGTGTTTTCTAAGTAGGCCTAAATATTATTTTCCCTGCTAAATTTGACACTTTATTATCACTTTCTGATGGCTGATACTAGGTCACTGAAGGGAAAATGAATGATGGCCAGATAAGGGAATCTTTGCCTTAATTTCCCCTACCACCCCTCTACCCCCCCCCCCCACCCCCCTAGACCCGTGAACGTGGCTTGTAAACTACGCCACGTTCTTATGTCATTTCGAACCTGGCGAACGTGTCCCTCTGACTCCCTCCGTTACACACACTGGACGTTATTTTGCCCATGTAATAAGTACTCACATATGAAGCTGTCTTGAATTCTATTTGTACGTCAAAACTTGCATTTGACGAAAATTGAGGAAAATTCTGGCCCCGGTTCATGAAGTCCGTCCGCTACTGCTAGCTGCCATTTTCTCCCAACTGACGCATGCGCATTGCGTTTTATTTTCGTATGATTCGACGGCTGTTTACTGTCGCAGCTAAAACAGACATCGTTTTCGACAAGTTTCAAGTCCTTTCCTCTCTCACCGCACCGCACGCGGTTGCACGTGCGCCCGCGTGTGTGTGCACACACGTACTGTACACGAGATGAGCCGAGCAGCCAATCGTCTGCGGGGGTTTTTTTTCGGGGTTGCGACATGAAACAGCCGTCAATCTGTCCAAGCGACTCAGACGCGTCCGGGGTTATTTGTCAGGGTCAGGTTAAAATCTAATTTCTACACGTTCCGTAAAAACTATGGGTCTTTCCTGATGGGCAAATTTCGTCGAAATTACACAGCCGAAACAATCGGACGGGCAAATTTAGATTTCTGGGGGAGTACTCAACACCCATACGGAATTATGTATGTCGGATCGATTTCGCCAGGTTCGAAATGAAACAAGAACGTGGCGTTGTATACAACGCCACGTTCACGGGTCTACCACCCCCCCAAACCCGGAAAAATTTAGTCGCCGTAATTTTTAGTATGAATACTGAACATACTCCTAGAACTATGAGGCTCCACTACGTGGAGCCTCATAGTTCTAGGAGTATACTGAACATGCTGAATAGCCAGCAAAAGCAATGCGAAGGTCATGCTTACCACTGCCGAGCGAGATTTTTGTAGGCTTTTTTAATCTCCTTTTGACTGGCCGTTCTACTCACTCCAATTAACGAATAAGGATCAGAAATGTTGGATGAAGCCCATGGGAGGGCAAAACTAAAGAATACAATCGCTAAAATTAACTGATTGCTCAATTTTTTCCCCATTTTGCACTCGATAAATTAGCAATAGCATAGCACTTATCGAAACAAGACTCAAGAGATGAGATTTTAGCAAAAGGCTGGCGAAAATCTAGTGTGTTGTTTTGTGTCGCGTATTTGAGTCTGGGTGCCAAACAGGCAGTATAGCCGCATCTTAATAAATGATTTGGCTATGACTTCTAGTTACACAAGTGTCTATGGGAAGTGGCTTCAGCCGCTTCCATTTTTCATGGAAAGCCCTAGCCAAGGCTACGGCTATCCGATCGCAATTTTCTGAAAACTTTAGGAGAAAGTATATTGTAAATCAAATTTTCGGAAATTAAGGATAAAAATGCGTCCATTTAAGTGCTATACGTCGACATTTACACAGACACTTTTAATCTATTCCGACCAGGAAAAACTGCATTTAATATCCAAATGCGATCAAGATTTTGAAAAAAAAATCTAGCGAAAATTTACTGATGATAAACACATCTTGAAAAGGTCTGAAAAGTATTTAACGAATGTGTTTTGGCGCAAAAAGGCAGCCAAAACAAAGTTTTTCATGGAATAATTTCTCCTGGGTATTTCATATCATTCAATGTATGGTAATTAAATTTCAGAAGACATTGGCATTGAATTAATTTTTGAAGAGTTGGAAGCTCATTCCTTTCAGCAAATTAAGTTTTTGAAGAAAAAGAAAAAAAACACTGGAAAACAAGGCAAGTTCACAAAGAGCAAAGTTATAGTTATATATACAGGTGTACTTTTAATAATAACAGGAATATAAAAACAATATTACAATATAAAGTCTAAGGGGACTTGTGAGCTGTATAGTCTTCACAATTATTTCCTAAATAACAACCAAAAACAAAATGTTAAGGCCCAAAAAAAAAAAGTCTCCGGTTTCTGGTATGGAGCTGATGACTGCAAATAGTGCCCGACTAAACTTAGTGCAAATATATGGGAGTCCAGAGAGGCCACATAAAGCTTATTCTCGACCATAACCCAATCTAAAAACACGTTAAAATTGTGCAGCAGCAGGATTCCAGTCAAACGAGTGAGTTTGGTGGTTTTGAGAAATTACCTTTCATTGAAATTTTTTTTTTTGATTTTGCCGACGCACATGGCTACAGCGACGCACGCACATACCAGAAACCGGAGACTTTTTTGGGGGGCCTAATGTAATTGACAGCAGTTATTTCTTCAGTTTATACTTCAATCTTTTAATTCTATATATGCATGTTTAATAGCCTGATTGTCTGCAGCTGAAATAAGCAAAACTAATATTTGACTTTTTATTGGGGGGGGGGGAATAGATTAAATGAGGATAAATTTAGTATGAAGAAAACAAATTTGCTGAGGGAATAGTGATTACAGAAAATGCAGAAAAAATCCAACCAAAAGTCAGGCATTTGTGAGGCGTTCTGGCAAAAATGAGACAGAACTGGGCAGAGGCCGAAATGCAGGATTAATAGAAAACAGAATAAAATTCTCTAGACATATACTGTTTGTTACACTCACACTTGGACATTCCGTTGACAAGTTATTGCTGTTTAAAGTTGCATTTTTGTCATGTCAAAAAAAGTAAAATACTGAGGAAAAAAGTCATTTAAGTTTCAAGTTTTGTATTCTTAAAAATGAAAAATGCCAATTCTTTTTCCTTAACAATATTATTCCACATATTTTACACTACCAGTATACCTTTAATATACATGTAGTAAACATATCAAAGGTTACAAATATAAATAAATCTGAAAATAAAAAATAAAAAAGACCCAATCATTTTTTTTTTTTTTCCACTATGGTCTGTGCCCCGTTCTGTCACATTTTGCCAGAACGCTTCACATTTTTGCTTGGCATCAGCAGAAATCCTCCAAAATCCACTTTCCAGGGCTTCCATGCAGCAGGTGCTGAGCTGCACCTCCCAAATCCTGGAAAATCCTCCAAAAACCTGGTTGAGGTTATTGAGTATAAATTACTTACACACTGATTAGAAAACAATTTTATTTTGGATAATAAAAAATAAATATCTCTAAAACAAGTCTCCTCGGGCAGTTCCTTGTTTTGACTAAATCTTAGTCCCGATGGAAAAGTCAACGATGCCTTCATAACTTCCTGAGAAAACTTCCAATGTTAGTTATGACTTCCTTGTGCCAATATTCAGGTTTCCTGAGAACTTCCATAGGAAATGCCTTTTCCATCGCAGTACTCCAAGGCTTTTTCTCTGCATTGGAAAATGCCACTACGACCTCATTGTGCCAATGTTCAGGTTTCCCGTGAACTTCCGTGGGAATTCCTACTTGGAAACTTCTCATTAAGGCTTTCCGCTCCATGGAAAACGTCACAGTTATAGTTCTGACCTCCTCGTGCCAACTGATGCTCCAGTTTCCTGAAAACTTCCGTAGGAATTGATAATTCCATCAGGCCACTCCTCATGTTTTTCCTCTGCAAAAGGGAAACGTCACTGTCTGGTACTTGATTCAGCCTGGAACTTCCATGGCCGAATCCCGTTCCTGTTGGAATGAATTTCATGGATTGGGAAGCCTTTTGGGCTTAGTTCTGAGGAGCGCGGGAAAATCCGAGTCATCATAAGAACTTGTCCAAAGTGGGAAGCTTTGGGAGGGTTTTGTTTACGGAGGGTCGCCTTGTTGATGAGTGTGTTCTCCTCTTTATACCCCTAACACTGATTCCGGAGGGCTTGATGAATGATCCCTGTGTGCCAACAAGTTAAGGTTGACACAGTATGCGTAATCAATGATGTCATGCTAACATTTCTCTAGGGCTGTCCCAATGACACAACTATTTTTGCCCCCCCCCCCCCACCCCGACAAAAAAAACTAGATATGCCACTAGTTGAGGTTATTAACACAAGAATGGATAAGGACGTTGGATTTTCATTTTATTTTTTTTGTTTATCTAATTCTTCTTTCTGAGAATTCATTTTCATAAGCCTTTGCAAAAATCTCTTTTTTAACAAGATCATGTAAAACTTTTCAAGGCTACAAAATGTTTGTCTTAAATACACTTTAAACAAACTTTGTATAGTCAAAGACAATGACTTTTTGTATCTCAGGAACAAAATACTGTAAGAAAGGTCCATAATTTATGCAAATATGATAAGGATACATGGCCACCAAGGCCGTCATAGCCCTTGCGGAAGTTACTCCCAGAATCTTGAAGGGGTCGTCGATTGCCAAACAGACCCGAGTTGGCAATGGCCGACATCACCATGGCATCTGATTCCTCTGAGCTCTGACTCTTGAACTGCAAAAAGCAAACAAACAAAATTAGGCTTACCGATGGAGTCGAGCCGGACCAAAAACTCTCAGATTAGGACATTATTTATACTTAGTGACACTGTCAGTCAGTGACTCGGTCAGTCAGTGACTCAGTTAGTCAGTGACTCAATCGGGGAGTGGGGGCGTCAGTCAGTGACTCTTTTAGTCAGTTGGGGAGGCAGTCAGTCAGTGACTCAGTCAGTGACTATTTAGTGACTCATTCATTGACTCAGTCTGTGACGCAGTCAGTCAGTAACTCTTTTAGTGACTCAGTCAGTTACTCATTCCGTCAGTGATGCAGTCAGTCAATGACTCAGTCGGTCAGTGATGACTTGGGGAGTAAGTTAGTCGGGGAGTCAGTCATTCATTGACTCATTCGGTGACTCAGCCAATCACTCAGTGACTCAGCCAGTCAGTCGGTCAGGGCAACCATCATGAAGCAGTTGTGTTGAATAACAGCATCCAGGATGCTTCCGCCATTACTAGGTCCGATGTGTGAACAGTGGCTCTTTAGATAGATCGAGTGTGTTCTTGGGGGGTCAATTTTTGTCGTAGTTCATCTTCTTCTAGTCCTCCCAACCATCCCCCCTTCTCACCTTTTTGTTCTTGTGTGCCAGCGACGTCGTCTTCACAAACGGCAGACCAAACTCTCGGCACTCCTTCTTGGCCAGCACGCTGGGGCTGGGCTCGTCAAACAAGCTGGGTGTGCTTGGGTTGCCGGGGTTGGATGGGATGCCGTCATCTAGACTGATATCCGTGCCGTTGTCTGGGGTACTCAGCTTGGGAGTTTTGAACTGGCAAGGTGCAGGGCTGAAGGAGGGGTGGTGTAAAAGGGAAAATGTTCAAATTAAGTAAACCTCCAGCCAACCAGTTGCCTTAAAATTGAAAAGTTAGAATGTTATCGCGGAAGATCTTATAAGTTGTTCATCTTGTTCTCTTCAACAAATCATATCATTGTATCCCCTAACAAATTTGTAATTTGTACGTTTTGTTTTAATAACCAAACATCTTTTTTTCCCTTTTATTTTGGGGGTCAGCAACCCTCTAAACATAAATGATTATATCTTGAGCTGCTTTTAGGATCTGTCTCATTCAAATGTGAACATGTTGATTGATAGAAAAATTGCAAACCAAATGTATTGTTTTGGAAAAAAAATCATATTTATCAAAATAATTATAAGTCTGGGATTCCCCCCTCCCACCTCTCCATGATGAGCCTGGTGAGGGCGCTCTTGCTGGCTCCGCTGGGGGATTCCATTGTTGTCTGCAGGCTGGCCAGTCGGTCCTTCAGGGTTTGTTTCTCCTTGAGGGCGCACTGTAGATCTTCCTCGGCACCCCTCAGCTGATTGTGGGCCCGTTCCAACTCCTGGCTCGTCTTCATTAACTGCAGGAAAAAATAAGACAAAACCACCACCTAAATAATGCACCTATCAATTGTCAGACATCATGACCCCTCAGGAGTGGTGTGCTAGTAATAGTCGGTCATCCTGTGCAATTTACACACCCGCTATAGTGACATACCAAATGTATACTGTTGACGTGGTTTAGGCCAAAAAAAAAAGTCTCCGGTTTCTGGTATGGAGCTTGCCCAAAAAGTGGTGCGGCGACGCAGCTTTTTTTTTTTTTACACCTGATTTTTTTGCTTCAAATGTCGGCTGATGACTGCAAATGGTCCCCGACTAAACTTAGTGCAAATATATGGGAGTCTAGAGAGGCCACATGAAGCTTATTCTCGACCATAACCCAATCTAGAAACACGTTAAAATTGTGCAGCAGCAGAATTCCAGTCAAACCAGTGAGTTTGGCGGTTTTGAGACATCATCTTTCATTGAAAAAAAAACTTTTTCATTTTGCCGAGGCGCATGGCTACGGCGACGCGTGCGCATACCAGAAACCGGAGACTTTTTTTTTTTGGCCTTATCAGTTTTTCTTGCATATATTTTGCAGCTTATAACGAACCTAAAATAGGACGCACGAATGAAGCACCCTATCGACTGTTTGACACCCCAAATTATGACTTGACGCACCCCGTACGTCACAGCGGTAAAAGACATGAAGCACCCTCAACACACCATTCCTGGGGCGTGGTATGGATCATTCCTGGATCATTCTTATAATTATTAACACCAAGCCGTAAACCAAACCTACATTCTTTGTGCTCGTTGATAATTTCCTCCTGGCTTCGTCCAGCTCGTTCTTCAACTGGCTCCTTCTCAATTTGTTGTTTTCAAACTCCCTGCAAGACAGAAAAGAAGAAACACTTGCTGACAGAAAACAGAGCCATAGGTGAGACTGCAGGTTCACTCAGCCATTTCAAAGCCTTCCGAGGCAGAAAAAAATCTACAATCTGATCAGTCTCATGAGCCAATATGGCCTATCAGGCCGGCGTTTATCTCCAGTTTCCTTGGCCTGAGACATTCTGAGCATTCCTCATGCGCACTTGATTCAAGCAAACAAAGAGAATGGTCTAAGTGATAGCGCCCTCTACCACTGTGGCAACTTGACTGCGCTTGTCATTAATCCAGTCTGGGACCCAGACTACCGTTTCCATACCTCTTGAGTGTCACGCAGTAGGTTGCCAGCTCTTTAGCTGCTCTGGGGCCGTCCCCGTACTCACTGAGTAGAGATTCTGTCGCCTCGGCATTGTCGGTCAGAACACGCTGTAGTCTGTGGTTGAAAAAAGGACCAAGAAGCGTCATAACAACTTGAGAACCTGGGTAAATTTTGCTGGAAAGAAAGTCTGAGGATGCTCCACATGGAGTTTTTAAGATGGGGGCAAGAGCCCCACTCTCCTTTGGTTGGTGTACATTTCTCACTTTGTCTGTGACCGAGTTTGACTGAGCTACTCAGAGATGCCACAGGGTCTGCTTGAAAAAAACGGAACTGGGTCTGCTTGAAAAAAACCGGAACGGCTGCTTGAAAAAACCAGACTTTTTTGTGTGTGAAAAAGCCACTCCGTATCCGACACAAAGTCCCCGTTGTCATCTTTATCTTAATTGTAGCCAAGCCAAGTTCTGTTTATTTTTTAATTTTGCTTCTATGGCCTTTGAAGCTGTCGGTTCGTTCAATCACTTTGACTTTTTCCATATTCCTAATATTTATTCTGCCTACCCGAATTTCCAACGTAATATTCGACACAAAACATGCATGATTCCACAATACTGCTGTCGGTGTACATGATCCTTGCACTACGTGATGCGCTCAACGAAAAAAAAAACATGGTTGGTACCCGCATTTTTTGTATTCACATATATCACTGCGATCAGAAACCACCGATAGCTGAAATGATAGACTTGATTTCCAGGCTGAATGCTGTGTGTGCTTAGCACACAACACGCCCACACGCGGTGAAGCACGCGCGAGGCGCCGTTGTATACTGCTTCCATTTATTTACGTTGGCCGCTTGTATCGCATGCAGGCTCGGCAACAACATACACAAAGACTGGTTTTAAGACTACTTCAACGAACAACGTTGTGCCATGCGTGCGCCTAAATGTACTAAATCGAGGTAAAAATCAACGCATTTCCACAGTTTTTTTTCTCTTTTTTTCTTCGGAATTTTGTGAGATTTTTTTTAAAACCGGAATTCCGGTTAAAACCAAAAAAGTGGCATCTCTGGCTACTACCATGGTCACCAGCCCAGAAGTCATGCTGTAATTGGCCAATGCGCACCGTGTGATTGACAGACATGAAGCGTTTGTATGCGCAAGATCCCTGGCTTGGCTCTATGCCAAACAGGGTCCTTTTATCAAAACGCAATAAAAACAAAATGAAGCCTCGAAATATGGCTTAACTATGAATTGACAGATTTGCTTTTTTTCTCCAACCTTTCAAGAAACTGAAGTTTTTCTCGGAGTCTCTTGGTTTCTTTCTTGGCCTGTTTCGCCTCGTCTATCTGGTACGACAACAACGACAACTGCTTCTGTAAAGTCAAATTCAAAGAGATATACATGTAACTCTGTAATATGCATTAACAAACCCTCCAAAACACTAAAAAAAAATTGCCATAAAACCACACTTTAAAACACAATGAAAAACGAAACCTTAAAATATGAATTGATAATGTAACAATGGACTTAAAGGGAATGTACATCATTGGCTTTTGCTGTAATTTTCAGAAATGAACTATTTGAGGAGTTAGTATAATAGATCAAATATTGTTACACTGACATTTTTGAAGTTTGGTGTTCGAAAAATGCTGGAAAAACCAAGAAAAACAAAATGTTCAAGAAGTCTGGTTCCTTGACTCCACTAAAGATAAAATGGATCAATTTATAGATGCCGGAAAATTGTAAGGTATGGGAACCAGTCTAGCTGGCCTGCACCCGTTCATGAACATGTAACCAATAGCAAACAAAATTTGGACCGAAAAAAGTGTAAAGTTGGAGCAGTAGTTGAAAAATAGTTAGGTTTTTCCAACGGTGGTCGGCCGACCACCGTTGGAAATGTATAAAAAAATACCATTTTCTTGTGAATGACTTCACTTCAGGTGCCATTATTTTACAGGATGCTTTAGACTGTCATTTACCAACATCCTAGTAAGGTATTTCGTAAAAACTTGGTAGTTTTATTTTCGATGTTTGCAACTGTTGTATATTCCCTTTAATGCTTAAGAAGATATAGTGGAATCCGGCAACCAGAATTAGAAGCTTTTACTGCGGTGGTGTCACGCTCACGCGCATGCTGCACGCGTTCTTAAAGACGAGGCGCACGCGCATTTCAGTATTCCTATTGGTCGAAGGAGCCCGGAGTACGCCCCTACTCCCCGGGCGCGACTCACGCGAGCCTTGCGCCACCGCAGAAAATGGCTGCCGCCGGATTTGCCTATAACCCTGTTCAGCCACAAATAAAATCACAAATAGATTTAGCCCATTAGTCATTGTACCGCTTGAAACTGCCCAGCTTTTTACTTTTTCTCAAACCCCCCCCCCCCCCCCCCCCGAGGTTTTTATAGATTTATCAAGGAATAAATACAATTTTTTTGCAAATGCTAGTGGATTAACCCTTGCATTACGAAACACCCAAAGACACTTCAATGTCGTGCCAAATGAAATGCCCTGTGTTTATTGCATGGACCTTCAAAGTCTGACGCAGTATCATCAGGGTTGAGCCACGATAACGAATGCAATCTTCCGATAGGCAAATGAGTACCCACTTGCTATCATTTGATGCACCCCCATACCCCATATTTAGCCTAAGCTGATCAGTTTTAGCATCCTGCTATGCACTCCATTCGGCGGGTATAAGCATGTCTGGCTGACTGACAAGAAACTACAACCAAAAAGTGAGGATTTATGTTCCAAGACTAAAGAACAGCAAATAGGAAATGGCATTGTTGTCACTTTACCTTCAGAGCGTCGGATGTAGTTTGCTCAGCTTGGAGGTTGTGCAAGAGGTCTTTGACTTTCTTGTTCAACCCTCGGATCGTGTTAGAGTGCCGCTCATTTTCCTGCGCCAGGTTCTTTTTCGTCGAATCACGTTTTTTAAGTTCAGCTTGCAAGGCACTCAACTCATTCTGGCAGAAAAACAAAAGAGAACAGACTTTGTTTAAAAAGTTCCGAGTGAAGAATGGTCGATGGAAAGACTTAACAAGGCACAGCGATACTATCAATATCCGATTGTTTGCTCTGGACGACCAACCAACGTTGACAAATTTTATTTTTGGTAGGCTGTAGGGCTGAGCCAAATAACCAAATGTCCAAATATTTGATTGTCAACCGAATATCCAAATAGAATTTTTGCGATTCAAATATTCAAAAAAGTTTGAAGACTCGAGGACATGATGAAAAATGGATAACTTTTGTGGTTTTATTGCTTGTCAAATGCCACACTTTTGTTGAAAGCCACTATCACACATGATTTGACAGATCCACGACGAACGTTAGCTCAAATTTCTGCTTTAAAATCAGTTAAATATCAGCCACCGCTACCTGTCCTTTGTATTATTTTGATGAGCTCTTTGTCAACTTTTGACAAGCGTAGATGCACACAAGTACCAATCAGCGGCCACATTAGGCTGGCGCATGTTGAACTTGCTCAGCGCATTTTGAAATCGCAATACAGTGAATCTCGATAAGTCAAAACCTGCTAACTCGAAAACCCTTCTAACTGAAAGTAAGACCTCATTCCCGCCAATTGTTGTTGAAAAGAAAATCCATTGGATAACTCAAAACTCTTCCTAACTCAAAATTTGAGCCCATTCCCCTGAGTTTTGACTTTTCGAGATTTCCCTGTGCAAAAATTCGATGAAGTCCAAGTTTGAATAATCGAATACTAAATTATTCAAAAATGCACGATTCTAAACTAGCTGTTGGTGCAAAATAGCATGAGGCTGCTAGGCAGATATGACAACTTTTCTTCTGTGAATTAAAACATGACCTTTGACCCCACAAATGTCACTGACCTTTAGCTTGCTGGGGTCATCCTCGCTAGTGTCAGATCCGGCCTCGAAAAACAGCTTAATGACGGTCCTGCCTGTGGCTCTCTGTCGACACTGGGGACACGTTAAGGAGGTGGACAGCCACTTCAGCAAACTTGGAGAGGAACAAGTTTAAAATTCATCAAAGCTTCAATCCTTAGGAACTTTCTGATTCTCCAAAAATCCACGAATGTTAGGAAAACCAAATGGTACATTTCTTAAACCCTATCTCCCTACAGGCATTTTACATGTATGTATCAACCTCAATCCTGCAAAATCCTCCAACTGCCTTCATTAGAAAATAAAATACAGCCTCAATCCTGCAAAATCCTCTTCCATGTCTTGAATGTGGTCCTTGGATGGGTGACCACTGCCTGAATCCTGCAAAATCCTGCACCAATCACTGTCAATATGTTGAGGCTTGGCCAGTGACATCCTGGAGCAGTACGGAGGATTTCAAGCATAATCCAGGCCTATATTTATGCATGGTTGAGCAAAAACAGCATAGGTCCGGCCCAAGAACTTGACAAAGTGCATCCTGCGAAATCAGTAACGTATTTTTGCCATGTAAGCTCAATCCTTCAAATTCCTCCACATTGGCAAAGAGGACTTTGAAGGATTCCGTGCAGTTAGGGTTTTAACTCTAATTTTCAGGGGACATTAGTGTTGTGCGGATTATACCAACTGTTCGATCATCAACATATCCGAATAGAGTACCGAGATGTGACGTCATTTGGAACAAAGAAGTGTAGTGCAAATGAATGGAGTATGCGCACGTGTTGGTTCTCGGGCTGAATCACGCGCTAATGTCTTTCACACACATAATTGTGCGCGTGATGTATTCATTCCGGTACTGAAAATGTGAGAGGTCTCTAGGAAATGGTGAAAAAACGTCCATGATGTTTTTCTAATCATACAAGTTGTGTGGTTTTGTATGTTAAATGCCACACTTTTGTTCGAATACCTACATCGCGCATAATTTGCGAGCTTCCTTATTAGCTCAATTTTCTTCTTTAAAATCAGTGACAGGGGTGTGAGCGACCACTGATAAAAATAGCTGAAAAAAGGTGTAAAAAAGCTGAACTTTGACAATCTTATATACTTTTGTACACAGCATGTGAGGAAAAAAAGCTGAAATCCAAAACAAAAAAGCTGAAATCAGCTTTAAAGCTGAGACTAATCACACCCCTGGTTATCTTCAAACATATATTTACATGTACATGTACATAAAATACGCTACATGCTATAGTATTAGAGACAGAACATAACTGAAAGACAAAAACGAAGCCACAAACAAAGAAAAAGGTTTGAAAAATGTTTATTGATTTGACTCACCAGTCTTCGTGGAAAGTATGACCACAGGGGCACGCCGAGACCACCACGTCTCCCTCAAAATGGTCGTGGCAAATAGTACAGCAGGCGTTTATCATCCTCAGATGTTACTCGTGTAGGAACCACAAATGTGGACCTACTGCGATCCTGATGAAAATGCTGACGACAGACATCCAAATCTGGAACAAAAAAAATTGTAATTTTTAATGATAGGTAACCCTCCTAATGTTTAAATAGTAATAAATAAATAATATAACGGCGGCACCAAAATCACTTAATTAGTCATTCCTATTTATTAATCAGTCACTTACTTCATCGAGATTTGAACCTCAGACTCTTGCTTGCAACACAACACTTTTTACGGCTAGGCCGCGCACGATCACTTTGCAATAATCAATCTTTGGATGTATTTGAAGTAGGCCTAGGCCTATCCATTGAAATAAACTAAATATTCATGTCATGAGAAATTAAATATTCGTAATGATCTATTGCACTGTCATTGGCCGGCTCATGCGTTGTCATGGTTGTCGATGTCATGCGTATAACGTACTGCTGTCTTCCAGACACTTCAATCAATTTGACCGGCTGCCTCCAACTTAATTCTGCACGACGTGTGCATCCAAAATGAAATGTGCTCTAAAATAAAAACACATTTTTCCTAAAAAAGTCGCATTGCCGAGGCTTCCTGGATTCATCTTGGGGGTTGGGTGAACATGGTGAAATCCCAAGGTGAGATGAAATTGATGTGTTTGCCGGCAGGTAGGTGGTGGCCCAGTATGGAATTCTTTCCAACTATTTGGCCACACACTACACTAACGTTCATGACGTTTAATAGTGGGGCTAGGGGCGAGTTGACAATTGGACAGTTTTTCTACCACCGCCACCCTTAGTCATACTTCCTCGAGGAGTTCTGAAGAGAAAAACCACCAAGTACCAAGTACCCGACTTCAGGCCACATGCACAGCAGCGATTTGACCCGTGAACGTGGCTTAACTAAGCAGCGATGTGCACGACAAGCACAAGGCAAACGAAGTCAAACTTCAAGTCTTCATCAACAAATATCGCATTCGCAAATTACTCATTTCGCCTACTTAACAAATTGTTTTACTGCAATGATTACGGGGGAAAGGACAGAACAACTTACGATTTAATTGAAGTTAAACTTGCGTTCCAAAATGTTTACGAGTCGGAGAATGATTGAGCCTACTTCGAATATGGCGCCGCGCCGACGTCAACCGTACCGATGGGGGCGCTATTTGTCTTCTGTAGCAGCTTTCGTAATGTGTACGCGCGCGTGCATATCGGCAGAAGTTTGGCATAATTATATGGGCATGATGTGTTTTTGCTTGTTTTTCGTCTTGGGTTCCCCCCCCCCCCCTTCCCCCGCCCTCCCTCAATCAACCGATGGGGCGCTAATTGTCGTCTGTAGGTGTACGTTGCAGAGAAACCAAATTTGGCATAAGCTGCACTTTTCACTTTTTTATTCGTCTTGGCCCCCCCCCCCAAGCCGAGTCCCTTATTGACGTAAACGGAATTCCCTTGGGGCCGTGGTTATAGACTCATCCCATTGTGCTGCTTCATTTTGTGAAACTTCATCAGGCTGTTTTCGAACTAAATTCACGTGCAATTTCAGAATCTCAGCCTTATAATAGCTTAATAATCCTGCTACGATGCATGGTAATTGGTTCTTTATTCGCTTCTTTTCTAGCAGCACACAATTTTCGAACGTCGGTAAGCGAAAATCCATCATGGCATTAAGACCTTCAAACTGGCTCTGGACAATGATCAACATCCAGATAGACTTGGCTTCTAAAACCGAAGCAGGTAGTTGCAGCACGCCTGCCCCGACCAACGTACGTCGACAACCTTCTAGAAGGTTGTACATCTTGTAACTGAAACCGAAACTCCAAATTATTGAACCCAATCTAAATATTTCTGTACAATGTTCTTTTTTCACAATATTTTTACATCTGTGGACCTACATGTACCTTCAACTGTTTCATGACCCGTCTGCATTCTAATAAAGAGGATGCCCAATGTTGAAAAAAAAGGTCATAACCTGACTGATATTTTGCTGGTCTGCATGATATTTTCTTTCTCTGTTTGTAAAAGAAACGCTATTCACTTTTGAAACTATTCATTTTTGTATCTACCGGTACTAATTCGGGTGCGTTCGACTTTGTAACGTGCAACAGAAGTAATAAACTGCATTGTGTCTTGTATTGTGATGGTAAACAGAAAGTCGACTGATTTTGAGAAATGGGAGTTAACAAAACGGGGTTGGGGAAAAGTACATGTTTTCTCATGCCAAATTAGGCAATAGGCCCACCTGAGTTTCTGTGACGTTCATCCTTTCCTTTTTCCCCTTTTTTGTTATTATTTTTTTTTCTTTAAGATTCTTTCCGTTTGGTAATGATGATTTCGCAGTGAGATCAGGTGTGTTCTCTTCAAGTTGGAGGTATTTATTTGTGATATAATCACCAATTAAATATAATCACTAATTAAATTCACCCTGGATGGTGGCAGAAGGGACCCGTAGGCGTCACAGGATGTCCAGATTGTTGACGCTTTAGTGCGCCTATCAAATGTTTTTCTGGAAATAATGTGCCGTCTACGGAACTCTCAAACGTGGTAAAAACGCGCCCTGTTGTTGGCGCACGGAGCACACTGCATCGCAAGAACTGCATACCAAAATCGCATCCATCGCGGTGTGCACGGTGCGGCGCCTCCAGTCACATTATTCGTTCGACCATGGGGGGGAGCAGGCTTAACAAGAGTTGTGCTGCGATCATTCTTCAAGTCTGCTATGTGTGCTGTTTCTTGCAAGCTGGTAAGGTGTCTTATGCTTTCTTTACATCTCATTCACATCCCAAAATTTCACAAATTTGCCCGGTATATACCTCCTGAAGTAACGGGACACTAACATGCTTATGGCTTATTCCGTAAATTAGGGTACCAACTTGTGACATTTTGACCCAACTGGAGAAATTGACTGAAAGGGGATTCAGTAAGAATTTTCAGTATTACTTAAAGATAATAGATTGTTATTCCACGTAGGCAAAAACAGACATTATTTTTTAGTCCAGAACTGATGCCAATTTGAAAATACCATGTCAAAACCCATTCACGGTTTCACGACATGTAAAGGGGTTTTGTGATAATTCATGCTCCATGTGGTATGTTTTATTTCAAAATGTTTTTTTTTTGTCTTATCCAGGATAACACATCACTTATTCATTGTGAAAATAACTTGATTAGACTTTTACAAAAATATTCTGCGCATGATTGCGTATTGGGAACAACATTTGGTGTCCCATTTACAGGTGAAACCTTGTACATGGCCTAACAAAAAAAATTTAAATTAAGCATGCGATCTTTTTATATGATTTCACACTTATCAAGTATTGTAATTAATGGAAATACATTTGGATATGCTAGTGAACCCAATAATCCTTTTATTTCTCAGAAACATTACTCACATTTCCTGTGTAAAAAAGGGACACCAAAAGAAAGTGGATTTTGACTGAAAACCGCTTTTTTGTTTAACCTTGATCAGGGAGGTTTCGCAAACGAACGGATAAGCGTACACTTACGCTTAGCTATCCGTATCCGTTTTTTACTTACGTGTAGCGAGCGAGATATGCGTGTCGTCTGCACGTTTAGCGGATAGTGAGTGGCGTATGACGTCATACGTGCAGACGACACGCATTTCTCGCTCGCTACACGTAAGTAAAAAACGGATACGGATAGCTAAGGCCAAAAAAACAGTCTCCGGTTTCTGGTATGGAGCTTGTCCAAAAAGTGGTGCGGCGACGCGGCTTTTTTTTTTTTTTACCCGACTTTTTTGCTTCAAATGTGCTTCAAATGTCGGCTGATGACTGCAAATGGTGCCCGACTAAACTTAGTGCAAATATATGGGAGTCCAGAGAGGCCACATAAAGCTTATTCTCGATCATAACCCCATCTAAAAACACGTTGAAATTGCGCAGCAGCAGAATTCCAGTCAAGCCAGTGAGTTTGGCGGTTTTGAGACATCATCTTTCATTGAAAAAAAAACTTTTTCATTTTGCCGACGCGCATGGCTACGGCGACGCGCGCGCATACCAGAAACCGGAGACTTTTTTTTGGCCTAAACGTGATTGTAAGCGTATCCGTTCGCTTGCAAAACCTCCCTAATAATTATCTTGGATTGTGAGGATTAGGTGACACAAGACTAGTGTTTGATTGTGCATATTTAAGTTGTTAAAAAGGGTACTGAAAATTTACCACAAGCATTAATAATTGCAGGTACATGTACAACCTGACAATTCATTTTCGATGATTGCAAAACATACATGTACCCAAGGGCGGATCCAGGGGGGCCAAAGGGGGCCATGGCCCCCCCAAAACCGAAACCAATTTTGTTTTTATGTGACATCGCAATAAAGGCAAGCAATGAGTACACCACCATCTTTTCCTCAAAAAAAACATTGGTTAAAGTGGTCAGAAATTGCCTCAGATCGCACCACAGAGCATCTAGAATCCAAAAAAAATTCGGGGCCCTTAAGCGGGCCCCGAACCCCACGCCGTAATTTAATTTGTTGACACAAATGTTTTTTGCCCCCCCCCCCAAAAAAAAATTTCGTTCTGGATCCGCCCTTGCATGTACCTGGATTTTGTATCCTGTGCAAGTTAAAATGATCAGCTTTAATATAATAGATGGACTGGTGAAACAAGCTTTTCGAACCATCACTTTATAAAACAGAAAAACATCTGTATTCTGGAAACCAAAGAAAGTGGATTTTGTTTACACGTGAAACATTTGGGCTTACGCATGAATCACGCTCAATTAGTTACTAAATCATTTAACTATAGTGCCATTCTTAAGCAGTACAATGTATTAACTTGCTTTAACACAGTGAAGATCAATATTTCATATGCGCACATGTGCACGTGGTAGTATTTGATTAAGTCATGTAAGAACCACACAACACATTTCAAAAGCAGTTTTTATAATGTCGCAGCTTTGGTGTCTCTTTGAAACGTGAAACCGTGAACTATTTAGCCCAATTAGTTAGATGTTTCATCCTTTGCTACCAGATATTAATAAGGTACAAGTAATTTGAGAAACTAAAATCATTTGTTTATAGGCCTATTTCACTGTTGGTAATACTAGGGCAACAAATATCACAATGTAGAGAGAGACACCAAAATCCATTGGCCCCCACATTTACGGAAGATGCTTTATATCGCACGAGGTAGTTTTTACAGGCAACTTTAAGTATCCTTTGAGGATACCAAAATGTACCGAAGAGCAAAAGTTTTAGTGGTCTACCGATTTTCATTTTCGCAAAGATACAACACTGTTACGGAAATACACTTTGGATACAACAGTTTTAAAACGTTTGACAGGAATGTAATTAATCCGTACTTTTGTTGGATTACAGAAAAAAGTAATAAAAGCCTTTAGACTGGTGAATTAAAGATGGGTGTTACTTCGTGAAAAACGAAAATGTACCGAGTGAGCGCATAGTTACGGAAGACGGATAGTGCCACTCAATGAGTGTGAATTTATTTTTTTGGTGCGTGTGAAAATATTTTTTTGTACAGCGGCCGCCACTTATTATGTGGCGGCCGCCAGATAATAAGTGGCGGCCGCCACATAAGTCGTCATAATAAGTGGCGGCCGCTGTACAAAAAAATATATTCACACTTTTTTATGTGGCGGCCGCCAGATAATAAGTGGCGGCCGCCACATAAAAAAGTGTGAATACATATTTTTTGTACGTGTGAAAATATTTTTTTTTGTACAGCGGCCGCCACTTATTATGACGACTTATGTGGCGGCCGCCAATTATTATCAGGCGGCCGCCACATAATAAGTGGCGGCCGCTGTACAAAAAAATATTTTCACACTTTATTATCTGGCGGCCGCCACATAAAAAAGTGTGAAAATATTTTTTTGTACAGCGGCCACCACTTATTATGACGACTTATGTGGCGGCCGCCACTTATTATCTGGCGGCCGCCACATAATAAGTGGCGGCCGTTGTACAAAAAAAATATTTTCACACGCACGAAAAAAATATATTCACACTCATTGAGTGGCACTATCCGTCTTCCGTACATAGTGCACTCGAGTGTTACTTCGTGAAAACGAAAATCACTCGGTTCTGTAAAATACGCGTACGGTAGCGTGAACTCGAGTCCACTCGGGTGTTACTTCGTGGTGTCGTTGATTATGCTGAAATGCATGCTGGTCCGTGTCCACGCACATCCATTTCGTACAAAAGTGACTCGGACTAGTGACTCAGTCTCGACAGTCGGGCTCGAACCGAGGGAGTATTCGGCCCCATTCTCGTGTTGAATGACGGAGAACGGGGTTTTGGATGCCGAGAACCGGCACGCGAACGGTGTTCACGAACAGGATGTTCACTCCCCACGTGTACTTATCGGGGAGTAGATGAAGAACGTCAAGAACAAAGATGGCGGACTTGGGCCCCTACCACGAACGGTTAATCTTATGGATAAACCTGAAAGCACTCACCCAATGGGGCAGTTTAAATGGAAAACAAATTGTACGTAATCATTGAGGGGGTTTGCCATCGCCAATTTGTATAGCTGTTGAAATTATTTTCGTAAGATCATTTATTTAATTACTTTCATTTAATTCGGAGTTTTCTATACGACAACTGCCAAAGTTGAATTTGGGCGTTCGTAATCAGACACCCGAACACACTGTTTGCGGGTCACTCGAAAATGCAGGACTCGATGAGTCGAGACCTGGCGACAAAAGTGACTCGAGTAATTCGACTGCAACACTTTTAGATATCATACAGGGTGAGTCAAAAACAAAGAAACCCAAATGTCGGGACCATTGTTTTAGTGAAGTTCAGCATGTAGCACTTTCAAAATCTAGGTTATGAAAGCCCAATTCATAAGCTTTTCTTTTAGTACAAAAAATCATTTACATCACGTATGTACTTTTCAATTTACGAAGTTTTAAACACAACCACCATTTTAAAGTTCTGTCCACAGATCACAACAAAAGTGTGCGTTCTTTCAGCAAAACGAAAACAATTCACACACATCCTTATGTGATTTGTTTTCGTTTTGCTGAAAGAACACTGAATTGTTTTTATTTATTTTTTTGAAATAACAACACCAACTACACGATATAAATCCATTACTTACCAATTGCTGTATCGAATCAGGATACAGGAAGAAAGGTTCCTATGCAGGGCTTACTATTGGAAACGAGGTTGGAAATAAACTAAGCACTGGGGACGAGGTTGGGAATAGTCAGAATCGTTTGGTCTGGCCACGAGCATGCAATGACTGATCCGGATGAGCCCCGAGTATGACGTCAGAGCTAATCGAACGGCACGGGGCCGACCCCGTGTCGGCCCGGCCGGGTGAGCTAAACGAACGCACCCAATAATAATGTCTATATAGGGTCTCAAAAGTGGTAAAAACTCGCCTTCTTTTGTTGGCGCATGGAGCCCATAGACTGACGAACAAACTTCTCTCTGAAGGGAATCAACAATCGCATTTCGTGTTGGCATAAATTTAACTAAATTCCAACCCAACCCTCATCTCTGTATTTTTTCCCCAGCGGGCTCGACTGATATCGAAGATCCTTGCGAAGGCCTACTTCACGAAATCGAAATGACTCACTGCGCACCGAATTGTGGCAATGAATATTTCGTCGAGGGCGGCCCGAGGATGAACTGTCAATGCGACACCAATTGTGTCGTGTATGGTGACTGCTGCATTGACTACTCGGACCACTGCGCCAACGGCTCAGATCCATGGGCAAACCGCTATGATTTCTCGCCTCATTTGGTTTGCGTTTCCCCTTACGACCCAGACAATGCGATCCGCTATCTGGCCGTTGGACGGTGCCCATTGGATTGGCCAATGGACGACATCAGACAAAACTGCGAGAATGAGACATTGGCCCGCTCTCAGAGATTCCTCACTCTTCTAGTAAATGGGCCAGATGAAATTGTCTTCAAGAACGTCTATTGCGCTATCTGTCACCACGTCACTGATCCGGTACCCTGGCGTCTCAGACTGTGGGACTGTGAACCTGCGGAAGGTGGGACCGACTCCGTCCTCTATGGCAAGCCCAAGTTTGATGCCTGCGAGGGCATTGAGGCAACTCCCCCGACATCCATGCTAACTAACCCACATCGCTGTTTTCAAAATTTCATCGACAGCTGCCCGGAAACCACCAATGTCACAGAATCCCAGATCGCACTTTGTGGCAACTATACGTCCCTTCGATTCCATTTCGACTTCACTCATGATGTGATCACAGCCTACAAGAATGTCTACTGTGCATATTGCAGTGGCGCGTCTTTCCGGATAATAACTTCTGATGATGCCCTCTGGTGCCGGTTAGACGGAAAAGGGTTTACATTTAATCCCTTAATTTCATTCCAGCTTCTTTTTGATTTCACTTCGCATTCGGTCAATACCGTTGAACAGCTGGGGGATTTTGGCGACGGGGACCCAGAGGTGGTAGGCAAATGTAGTCTCCTGCAGCAATACGATCCGTTTATTGGCGTGTGCAGAAACCTGACTTGCCCAGTCGGTCGAGTGTTACAGATGGGTCAGTGTGTTGAATCTTACGATCAGATCATCACCCAAGAGCCATCAGGCGACTGTTGGCAGCAACTGTTATCCTCACTCATTGGTCTTGAGAATATTTCGAGTCACATCTTAAAGGGTAACGTGTACGGCCAAGCCAGTGTCTATGTAGATTTGTCCGTAGCAGCACGAATCCAAGGCGCCTTAGACCAGTTCTTCTCCAGAAACCTGACCTTCCCCTGCAATGCAACAACATCTCTGCTTCTAGTTGCATCGCGACCTGCCATGAATGCATCCAGGAGGTTTGTCTGTGAGGGGTTCACCCAACACAATGTGGACGTGAACGAGATTGCATACGCTGGTGGTGTTTTCCATGTCAACATTAGCGGCCTTATGTACGAGGAGACCGAATTCGTGCACATTACTAAGTATGAGTTCACGAATGAAACTCGGTCAAAGAACGGGGACTTGATTTTATGCGACCCGTTCATTGGGACCGGCGGCTGCCCCGTTATCGCTTTCGACCGAAGTGAATTTCTTATCTCGGGCGTTGGCGCAGAAGTCGTTTTTGTTCATAAGGCTTCAGGGAACTCCTTCGACGCAGGTGATGTCTGGCAGTTACCCGATGGCACCCTGCGGATGTGCAACTTTCTCCTCGGGACACACACCGTTACATATCCAGCCTGGCTCACAACCCTCTCGGACGTAAGTTTTGCCGGCAGTGTGTGCTCGATTGTCGTGTTGGTCCTTACGTTCATAACCTACATGAGATTCTCAGTTTTACGAAACGTACCCGGTAAAATTGTTCTGAATCTTATCGTTGCCTTAATCCTAGCCCATGTGTCTCTGGTGGTTGATACGACATCAGCTCCCTGGTTGTGCGTGGCACGGGCGTTAGTGCTGCACTTTTCCTGGCTGGCTGTATTCACTTGGATGAGCATTTTGGCAGGTAATTTAGCTATCCGCATGCGGTCAATGAGGCCTCCTTCCATACAGGAGGGCAGTGGTGGGCACAAAGTCGCGAAGGTCTGTGTTTTGGCCTGGGGCTTGCCCGCCTTCTTTGTGGCTGTCTGTTTCTTCGTGTCGAAGTTGGGTAGAGAGCAATCGTCTTTTGGACTCGAGTATGGTGGCAGTCAGTGCTGGATTGTTGACCCAGCCCATGCGTTGTTGGTGTTCGGCGTCCCGTTGTCTTTTCTTCTTCTCGTCAACTGCTTGTTTCTTGTGGTCATGATCTACACAGTGATTGCAAATCGAAGAAGGATGACTGCTGCAAGAATGCCAACGAATGGCAAAACCGATATTCTACTCTGCGCTAAGGTAAGAAACCTAAAAATGCAGAATCTTTATGAAATAATAGTAAGCAAAATATTTACTTCACCCCAAAGGTGCATGAAATTAGGAATTGGGAATTCGAACAGGGGCAGTCTTGAAGGCACGTAGTATGTAGCTACGGATTCAACGATAACAACCTTTGCTCAAATTGAAAATAGGATTGGTTCACAGAGTCTGATATGTAATATAGCTCTCGGACTGGTATTAAATAATTCATTTTCAAGGGTTTTGTTCGTGCCTTTTTTGTTCTTATTTCCATATGCATGAGCAAAACTGTGACGTCACTCCGAGCAGAAACCTCAATGCTACAGTATTTCAGCACAAAAAAAGTTGCTAGAATTTTGGATATTTTGCTGTCGTAAATTTTCTTTTCTTTGGTGAATCGTTGTTGTGCCAGTACCTGTCAGTAAAGCCAATGAGCAAACCTTTCTCACAAAATGTTTTCAATGAGCGAATTTTGATGGCAAAATAATTGGCAATCGTTGAGTTTGCTGCCACCAAGTGACATGGCAGGGCAGTTCTTGCTACACCTTTCTCTTCTAAACGTCCCCGTACAGCTGGTGGTGGTGACTGGAGCGACTTGGTCCCTCTTCCTTGCAGCCAACTTGATCGACGTCGCCATCGTCTGGTACCTCTCCGTCGTCGTCAACTCCCTGCAGGGCGCCCTCATTGGTCTGACGTTCCTCCTGAAGGACAACGTGAGGGCGCTGTGGCGGCAGCAATTTTGGCTGATGTTCTGTGGCTGCCAGGCCCACTGCCGCTGCCTTTTCGGTCGACTCACGAAGATTGCTCGAGAACAGTCCGCCGCAGACAGCTCCTCTGCACGAGGCACATCTCCCACAAAGGCAGGAAGCAGTGAAGAGGGGGATTCGCCCTGCGAACGGCAAGAGAACCTCAACAGCATCGACACAAAACTGTGAATCCGAAGTCATTTGCAGTCATTTTTAACAGTGGCGTAACTGATGAGGTCCTATTTGCGGGGGGGGGGGGGACACTTGGGCGTTCACTAAGGGGACCCTGAATGGGTGTTGAACAATAACAACTTTTGATTGTTTTTCTTGTATCCTGAGCGGAGGTACCGTGGGGACACACTCGACACAGAGCTCAAGAGGGTGGGGTGGGGACATGGGCAACTCCAAGATGGGGCAAGCCGACCACTGTTGGAAAAACCTAATTATTTTTCAGCTGCTGCTCCAAATTTACCATTTTTTTTCAGTCCAAATTTTGTTTGCTATTGGTTACATGTTCATGAATGGATGCAGGCCAGTTAGACTGGTTGCATTACCTTACAATTTTCCGGCATCTATAAATTGATCCATTTCATCTTTAGTGGAGTCAGGGAACCAGACTACTTGAACATTTTTGTGTTTCTTGGTTTTTCCAGCATTTTCGAACACAAAACTTCAAACATGTCAATAACAATATGTGATCTGTTAAACTAACCCCTCAAAATAGTTCATTTCTAAAAAATTACAGCAAAAGCCAATGGTGTACATAATTCCCTTTAACTTGCACTGCACTTGAGTGTATTTAATACAGTGGTGGGAAACACTTACATTGTGGATTGTTATTATCTCGTGCGGTCACACGTGATTTAGTAGTAAGTAAACGTGATTTAGTATTAGTAATTAGTTGTGATTTAGTATTTATTGCCATAGTGGTCGTTGATATAGTGGTATGTTAACGTGTAGGGTATACCATTCTTTTAATGTGTTTAGAAATTGGGAGGCCTACATGGACAACAATCAGTGGCGTAACTCTGGTCCAATTTGCAGGGGCAAGGGGGGGGGGGTCTTTTCTGGAAGTGGTTCTCAGTGGCTTTTAAACAATAGAGGGCTCAATTTTCCTGTACCTTCATGTTCTGAGCCGGGGTGGCACAGGTCTCGAGCCGGGGGGGGGGGCGTTTTGCGTGTGTGTACATGTATATAGAGTTGTTATTAAAATAATAATAATACATTATTGTAAAATAAATGGCTAGAATTTAACCATTATAGGTGTTTAAAAGTATGAAATTGCTGCACAATTTACAAAGTTCTCTATGAAAATCCAGTTTTATTATGTGCGAGCTGGGACACAATGTGACCTACGACAAATTGGGAATATTGACCGGAGGGCGAGACGTAAAATTGTGGACGCGAATTTTGACGTCAATATTTGCGTCCGCGGAGAGCGAGGCGTGAAATTCAGTGGCGCACCCCAGGGGGTAGGGGGGTGTTCGGGGGGGGGGGCTTCCCCCCCCCAAGAATTTGTTTGTTTGTTTGTTGGTTTGTTTGTTTTTTGTTTGTTTGTTTTTAGTCCCACGATTTTACCTTGGTGATATGTGTGTGGCCTATTTTCGAGTAGTATATTATCCTGGGTGCGCCATTGGTGAAATTGTTGACGCGAATACTGACGTCAGTATTTGCAATTGGATAGCGAGACGTGAGATGATTTCCGATGTCCCTGAATTATGTTTGAAAGAGTTCGGCTATTGCGTTTTGCAACTTGAGCCGACAGTGAGTAAATGAGTGACGTAGTCAAGACAATAGCGGATATAAAACTGATGGTGCATTGAGCGCGCGGAGCATGAGCCTAATGAGCGATTTTTCTATAGGTTTTACCCATAAGATCTTTAAAGGCGGATGGGGGGGGGGGGACAACGAGAGCACAAGTGTCCTTTTATAAGACATTGTCCGGAGGAGAAGTGAAGACGAACATTGTTAAAAACCGAAGCTACTCATCCCCTTTCCCTATTCTGTTGAGTATTATAAAAAATAAAAAAAAGAGAATGTAAAGGAAATACTCCCATTGTTGCGGCGGTCACGTCTAATCAAATTACATGACCTTAGGCCTATAAGCACCATTTTATTTCCCCCGCAACCTTCAAGTTTAATGGTTGCTGCAATATAAATGCAGCTCGCTCTTAATTACATTGTAATATGATAAGGGTTATGTTAAAGAACCAATTAAATGATAATAGTGGAGCCTTGTCAGCCGCTTTAACAGGAAGAATGAAATTTGTAACAACTTGGAGAAACCATAGCTATGTAGCTATGAAATGCCTGGAGACAATTATCAAGGAGGTTTTGCTTGTCCAGACAAAAGATTTTGTTGACCCATTTCAATTTGCTTTTTGTCCAAAACGTAGTGTAGATGATGCTGTTTTAACATTTATGCATGCTATTTATGAACATCTAGATAGACCCAAAAAGTATGTTAGGAATAGGACTCTTTTTGTAGATTTTTCATCTGCATTTAATACGATTCAACCAGATGTTTTGATTAAGAAACTACAGGGTATGAACGTCAATCCACAGATTTCTTTGTGGATTAGCAGATTTTTGTCAGATCGTGTACAGAGAGATAAGTTCTCGAATTTACAATTAGCATAAGTACTGGAGCTCCTCAAGGCTGTGTGCTTTCCCCTGTTTTGTTTTCTCTCTACACAAGTGATTATATAGGAGTGGTAACATGACTTGCCCGGTGATTAAGTATGCTGATGACACTGCACTTAAAATCTCTTCAAATGATGAAACTTTTATCGTTGTGAAATTGATATTTTTTGTAATTGTTGTAGTCAGAATTTTCTAGTTCTTAATGTAGAAAAGACCAAAGAAGTTGTATTTGATTTTCGGAAGACTGAGAGTAACATCGAACCAATTTTTATCCATGGCCAAGAAATTGAGAGAGTGACAGAATACAAATACCTTGGAACGATTATAGACAACCAATTAAACTGGAATGGAAACACTCACAAAATAGTCTCTAAAGCTAATCAGCGGATGTTTTTTATCAGAAAGCTCAAATCCAGAGAACTCATTACTTCATCTGTTTTATCAGAGTGTGATTCAATCTGTAATGACATTTTGTATATGTGTGTGGTATGGCTCCCTAACTGTTAGAAATGCATATAGGCTCGAACGTGTAACCAAAACAGCTGCTAAGGTGATTGGTATGGATGTTGGAGACCTTCGTGTCATCTTTCAGGAGGTAACATTGAAAAAAACTCAATTCGATCATGCAGGACCCCACCCATCCAATCCATCACCTGGTAACTGTGCAAAAATCTGGGAGAGTCAGGCCTCCACGCACAAATACACAACGTTTTAGAAGATCATTCTTGCCCAACTCATGCCCCCTTTTTAATTCCACTTTTAAAAGATGATTTTATCTTTTTAAATAAATCATGCCTCCACGTACAAATACACAGCGCTTTAAAAGGGATCTACTTGCTTAACTAATACCACATTTTAATTTCACTTTTACAAGATGATTTTATCATTTTCAATAAGACTGTATAATGGTGTACTCGTTTGTATTCATATTGTGTTTGATGTGATTGTAGGCTGTTTTGATTAATTGTTGTGGATTTGTTCTTGTCTTTTAAACTGTTTTTAACACACGGGGTGTTGATTTTCATGTTTTTAATCATGATGGTTAATAATAAATTGAATTGAATTGAATTGAAATTGAATTGAAGTGAACCATGTTCAGATGCTGAAAGATGCTTGAACATTTAATTATAAATTCAAAGACAACAGTTCACTACAAAGGCCATCTTTGAGAACAATAACCCACTTTGACAGTGGGGCTGCAATGTCGATTATTTCCATATACATTTTATGTATATTATTTCAACTTTTCGCAATGTTGCTTTTCGAAGTCAATCCAAATACAGCGAAATATATAACTCAGAAATCTTGCGCAATGATCTTACGTTCACATAATTGACCATAAACCCACTGGGAAAAAAGTGGAGTTACCCGACCAAAGGCCACCTAGCTCGCCCCAGATTTAATCCGTTTTAAGCCCGTCAAGGACTAATGAAAATGCAAGATCCTAGAAAGTCCAATCATCATTGACAGATATAAGAGGTCGTGCTTTGGTGGTGAATGGCGGTTTATATAACTATTTCACTTTTCTCAGCATGTTTTTATTCCAATAAGATCTCGGCAGGATATCGACGAACAAACATGTGCTTTCAAAACAACTTGCCTACAGATTTTGCCAAAATTTGTCATTTGTTTGTGCACTCCCCCCCCCCCCAAAAAAAAGAAATCGTTAGAGGTCATGTTACCATGGAATTCGTTACACGTCACGTGCCTTAAATTCATAATGTTTTACATACCGCAAACACCCACAAATATTAATAGAAGCCACATAACGTTCAAATAGGGTTCAATATTTAATTTTTTTAATGAAAATTATAATTTCTAACTGTAGATTTTAACACTACGCTATCTTTTCATATACCATAACAAAGAAGAGCTTTACAGAAGATACAAAAAAAGTTTTAATTGATATTACGTAATTAGCTTGTTAACCATCATCGGTGCGCCTAAAGATGTCAACGAATCTTGTCGGAAACGATTGATCCTCGCTTTTTGTTAACCTCCAAACATAATATTCACTCAAAAAACCTGCAAATCTATCATGAAAAGGCAATAAAGTGTCGGATCAAAAACGGAATACGGGGTACCAGACTATGACCTCGTTACTTTTTGTCGCACACGGTGCAGAGGTTGACGACGACCATCGGGTTGTACTCGCCGCGGGGAACGATCTTGTCGAATTTCACCTTGCACAGCCCCCCACGGATATTGAAAGTCTCGGACTCAAATGGACCAAAGTCCGCCAAACCAGGCCAAGTTCGGGCAAGGACCATTAGTCGACTAGTGGTTGATTTGTGACGTACCTTACGCCTGCGCGCTAATAGCAAAGTGCGAACGTCTCTAGTCGAACGCTGGTCAAAATGTCATTACAAAACGTCTGGATCCTGGCTCCCTGCTGTACGTTATGAACGCGCGCGGCTATGGTTACCAGCGATGCAACCAGCCCCAGTAGGCTGGTTCCAAATAGTCGACTAGCGTAGTCAACCACCGTCGACTAGACAGAGTTCGGGCAAACGTTAGTTAACCATTGGTCAACTATAGTCCTTGCGCGAACTTGGCAGATGTCGTCACTGTGAAGTTAATCAAGAAAGAAAAACAATAAGAAAGCGCTTATTTCATTGGTGGTTTACAATGTTCAGAGAAACAGGCAAATATTTTGGATCATTTGTATTTATCTCAAAAGTAACCTACCGAATTATAATTATCAAAAAGCTGACTTGAGTTAAAGATCGTACTGGTACTAAACACCCCGAGGAATTATTCTGTCTGGTTTGCTGTCATTTAGAAGAAATCAAGAAATGTATAGCTGATTTCCAATGATCGGCCAACTGACTGATTTTTGGAAATGAAAAGTTATATATACGAAAACAAAAGTCGTGTGTCGTGATCAAATTTCAGTTGCATTTTTTCACTGTTTTCTAGAAAAGTTTAATATCCAGTGCGCTGAAACGTCAACAGGTTATGTTTCGACATTCGCCTTGAACAATATGCATGACCAAAAGCCTTAAACTTTGAAACTATTTCTCTTTGGCGGCAAGAATTTTCCCCCGATTTTCAAACCACCATCTCTTACCTCCATCTTTCTTGAAGTTAAGCGTGAGATTACCGTCATCGTCTTCAATTTGAACGGACAAACTTTGCTTAATATCATCGTACTCGACGTAACCGTCTATGAGAGGATTGAAATGGAAACAAATGTCAAGAAGGAATATTACGTAAAAAGATCTGCACGGAAGGGGAAAAATGACCAAAAACGAACCTCCTAACTCACCCATAAATCTGCTAGTACAAAATTATAACTGTTCAATAAAAAGGCAAATAACATGCATTAAATACTTCAAATTATAGGTTTTGCCCTTCACCGACGTTTAAACACTGTATACTCAGTGTGTGACCTCTCGAGTGAAAGTTGGAAAAAATCACTCGGGTGGGACTCGAACCCACGACCTCCTGCTTTCTAGTGCAGATGTCTCACCACTCGACCACCGAGCTAACGGGATCGGTTGGCTGGTTCGAATCTGATGTACATAGCAGCGGGTACCGCATAAACTATTATAAGATGGAATTTTTTTAATTTGATTTATCACCCCCCGACGCAAACAATTCCATCTTATAATATACATTAAATACTTGACAAAAAATTGTAACAATTCGTGACGTTGTTTATGAACATTTTGTACATGGAGGCAAAATAATGTGGTTTGGTTTATAGTCGTAATGCGATAGGAACTTAAGGGGTTTCCACACCTGGCCCCTAGCTGTGACTATAAACTCGATTGCAATTCCCTCACCCTTCAGTTTTATGAAAATATGAATAAAGAGATAGCGTCAAATGAGGTCTGGTAACCAGTTTAATTTGCACGCCTTAGAGACAGAGTGGACTATAGTCTGACCCCTCTGGGATCAGCCAAAAACCCTTCAACCCTAAGGTACAAGTCTTGTTAAATCAACATAGTTCTTTATTATTAACACTCCATCTCAGAAGCAAGAAATATAGATGTGAGGCCAGTAAATCGGTCCGAAATTGCCTACGCCGGCCAAATTACGATTTTCATGCCCTCTAATTCTCCGGTATAAGAACATTTTGAGGACCGTGAACTTGATGAGTTGTAAAATAAAGAAAGGTGGAAGTCGTGTAGAGGACTGCAAGCTCGTACTTATAGGCATGGGCGTCGCCAGGATTTTTTCTAGAGGGGGGCAAAACAAAATTTTGCCCAAAAATGCTTGTATTTTTCAACACATTCTCGATTTATCAGTTTTAGAGGGGGGCAGGGACATTTTGCCCCCCCCCCCAACTCATTAAATTTACACCACTTTGTCTTTGCGCTTCTTTTCTTTTCTTTTCTTTTTCTTTTCTTCCTTTTTTTTTTTTTTTTTTTTTTTGGCTTTTCCAGGGGGGGGGGGGCAAGTGCCCCCCCTTGCCCCCCCCCCTCGCGACGCCCATGTTTACAAGATTATACTTAAAGTGAAATTTTGATGAAATTAGGCCCCTTAAATGGCTCTATTTTGCAATGAGTCGTAGGTGTCCATTTTCAAAATGGCGATGGGCTTCAGGACTGCTTTTAGGAGTGATCATCTTTGGATGGAATTTTCTCCCAAAAGTCATTGATTAACCCCCAAAAAATTGAGCGGAAAATGAAAGGTGATGAAATAAGCTTTAATTTGATGCATGTCTTGAACACGTCAGAGAGTCGTGAGTATTTTTAATATTTTTTGGAAGTGCACGTAATTACCACTAAGGTCTATGGCAGTTTATTTACTGGGTCTGCAACCATAGAGGCATCATCAAAACTATTAATTTACGCTCCGTTGATCAACAAAGCAATAAGGGACGATCTCAACGCCTCTCAAAGCTCCGGTCCGATCCGGGCTCGGGCAACTTCACCGGCTGGTCTGTGTGTCAAAATAGGCAAGTCGTCCGTTGAGACAAGTCGTCCGTTGAGACAAGTCGTCCGTTGAGACAAGTCGTCCGTTGAGACAAGTCGTCCGCTGAGACAAGTCGTCCGATCCCCTGGAAGACAAGTCGTTGAAACAAGTCGTCCGCTGGGAGACGAGTCGTCCGTTGAGACAAGTCGACCCGCAAAATAAGGGGGCAACCCGTTCGGAGCTGAGGTAACGAACCGTGAGATCGTGAAACTGTTCTCCATCCATTAAATTCGAGTCCAGTTGTCTTCTTTCAATATTTTTTTTTTCAAGTTGGAGAAACACATCATTCATTCGCTCGCCCGAAACACAAAATTTGATCAAGTATTTTAATCAAGATAATTAATTAATCGATGAATAATACTCACAATATCCTTCCAAATCTCCAGCAAATTCAAAGTAATAGTTCCCGCCGATACAGAGAGCGGGCTTTCGACAAACTGCACGAGGAAAATGAAACATGGTATGAATTATTTATGAGCTGTTTATCTGCACGTGAGAAATATATTCTCTTTGAGGAAATATTATGATGGAAAATACGCTAGTCCACATGACAATAATCCAGACGCCTCTTTAGTGGTATATAAAGTATAGGCCTACATGGGAATGTGAAAATAACACCTTTTTTTTTACAAAATTGGAAATCAATCGCAAATTCTTGTTTTTTCAACCCAAAATTCATCAGTTCTACTATCCTTGTAAAACATGTTTATAATAAAGGCCTTATATGGCGATTTTTTTTGGGGGGGGGGGTGGCCTTAGGCTTATCCTTTCCAAACAAACCTAATATTGCTTGTATTCCTACCTGTGCTCAATGGATTCTCGTCTTCAAGAAGACGCGCAAGTAATTCTTCAAGTAAGTCAGTTGTCCCACGCCTTTTTTCGTTCTGTGATTTGACAAAAACAAAACCATGATAAACATCTCATTATCTGCATGGAAATTGTAATCTCGTAGCATCCAGACGCCACTTCTTTGGTTGTGTATAAAGTCTATGGAGAGTTGAGTATTTTCTATGAAAAAATTGAAATGTTTCTCAGTTCCAGATTCATCTGTTCAACATTTTTGCAATGACCGACCTTCATTGAGATACTATGATGGAAAAAAGTGGCGTCAGGATGCAACATTCTTTCCAACTTGAGACAACATTTTGCAAAATATCTTCGGCCTTGTATAAGTCATCTTATAAGTCATCTTTTGTCATCTTAGGATCTTGGCCTAAAGCTCATAACCAACATGACCTGTAATAGCAAAACGTAAAATGAATGCCAATTACCCCGTATATGATTTGCCGTAACACTCGACGTTTGGCTCCGCGAATGTGAGATGCGTGGCAAAGAGTCCAAGAACCAACGCGACGGCAGAGAAACGGAACATCTTCATTACTTGAACTGGGAGAAACGTCTACGGAGAAAACGAAATATAAGACAAGCTCGCGAGCTGAATCACAACACGATATAGGCCTAGCTACGCAGGGGATTCGTGAGCAGTTATTTATATGCAAAACTCTGCGTGGTTTGCGCGATCATAGTGAAAAGCCGTTCTTGAAAATGCTTTTGTGAATAAATCCCTCTTGGACCTAAAGCTGAGAATTTTGTGGATCATCGTCCTTTGTCAGAGTTTACAAGCTTCGCGGATGATCGGTTTGAGCTCGTCGAGTGGCCTAATGTCCTCCATCCAATCAAGGCCTATTTTGCCATATTGAGGAGGGATCATTTTTCAAGATGGCTACTTTTCCGCTTTGGGGAAAATAGGGGTCGTCTTCTTTGGGTGAGAATATCTCGAAAAGTCAATGGTCAGCCCACCAAAAAATGAGAAGAAAATGAAAGATGACACATTGATCATCATTTTTCTGTGCAGCTTGAATACCTGTGAGAATTCTGAGTATTTTTAAAAGAATTTTGAAGTATGCACATTTAGCACTAGTGTCTATGGGAAGTTTTTGCAGGGTTGTACCCCTAGCAGATAATGGAGGCCTGGAATGGCGTCACGCACGAAACTTGGTGCAGATGATCAGTGCATGGACGCATGAATGAAAAAAAAGGTTCTTTTAGGTTGGAATGTACTAGTTGAAAATTTTTAAGGGCGAAAAAAAATCGAATTTATTGAAGAGCAAGGATTTTGCAACTTTAAACGGTTTATTTGAGACCGAATAAGCGAGAAAGAGAATAGCTAATGACTTCCGAAAGTTTTTTTTTTTAAGGTATAAGGGTACACACCTGTAAATCGATCCGCCAAGCTCATGAATAAAAGTTATACCCTCAAAATATTCTATATTAGAGAGTTCTGAGCGCCGTAAAATTGGGGAATTGAAGAGATATGGTAGTGAACCTCTAGCCCGGACTTGGGGCTTCCAATTCTGAGCATTTTGGATGCTATTGGGCTCGAAAGTGGCGCTATTTTGCCATGTTGTGGAGGGATCGTTTTTCAAGATGGCTACTTTTCCGCTTTGGGGAAAATAGGGGTCGTCTTCTTTGCGTGAAAATATCTCGAAAAGTCAATGGTCAACCCACCATAAATTGAAAAGAAAATGAAAGATGACACATTGATCATCATTTTTCTGTGCAGCTTGAATACCTGTGAGAGTTTTGAGTATTTTTAAAAGAATTTTGAAGTACGGGCATTTAGCACTAGTGTCTATGGGAGTTTATTTGCAGGTATGCACCCTATAAAGAATCACAAAGATGGCCGTTTCGCGCATGCGCTGTGCCGCGGCAGTGGTCTTTTCAGTGGGCGGAACCTACGGGGAGGGGGAAAAAGTGTTTTAAAGGTATCAACAAGGGTTTTTTGCCGTAACGGATGCTTCCAAATCATTAGGGAGCAGTAGGCTATCACCCGATTACAACAATTGATACTTGAAAAGGGGGGGGGGGGCATTTTGAGCTTAAAAGTAGCTGGAACTCAATTTATTGTCGCTGGGGGCGCTCTACGGCTTAGCAGGGGCAAAACAATCACTATTTTCGGGCTTAATATCTACCTCGGATAATATTTTTCTTTCATTTTTTTTTTCAAAATATTGACTTTGGAGATATTCTGCTTGTCCTGAATGTGATTTTGTGTTCAAATTTAAAAGTTGCCTGCTATTATAGGGTACACACCTGTAAATCGATCCGCCAAGCTCATGAATAAAAGTTATACCCTCAAAATATTCTATATTAGAGAGTTCTGAGCGCCGTAAAATTGGGGAATTGAAGAGATATGGTAGTGAACCTCTAGCCCGGACTTGGGGCTTCCAATTCTGAGCATTTTGGATGCTATTGGGCTCGAAAGTGGCGCTATTTTGCCATGTTGTGGAGGGATCGTTTTTCAAGATGGCTACTTTTCCGCTTTGGGGAAAATAGGGGTCGTCTTCTTTGCGTGAAAATATCTCGAAAAGTCAATGGTCAACCCACCATAAATTGAAAAGAAAATGAAAGATGACACATTGATCATCATTTTTCTGTGCAGCTTGAATACCTGTGAGAGTTTTGAGTATTTTTAAAAGAATTTTGAAGTACGGGCATTTAGCACTAGTGTCTATGGGAGTTTATTTGCAGGTATGCACCCTATAAAGAATCACAAAGATGGCCGTTTCGCGCATGCGCTGTGCCGCGGCAGTGGTCTTTTCAGTGGGCGGAACCTACGGGGAGGGGGAAAAAGTGTTTTAAAGGTATCAACAAGGGTTTTTTGCCGTAACGGATGCTTCCAAATCATTAGGGAGCAGTAGGCTATCACCCGATTACAACAATTGATACTTGAAAAGGGGGGGGGGGGGGCATTTTGAGCTTAAAAGTAGCTGGAACTCAATTTATTGTCGCTGGGGGCGCTCTACGGCTTAGCAGGGGCAAAACAATCACTATTTTCGGGCTTAATATCTACCTCGGATAATATTTTTCTTTCATTTTTTTTTTCAAAATATTGACTTTGGAGATATTCTGCTTGTCCTGAATGTGATTTTGTGTTCAAATTTAAAAGTTGCCTGCTATTATAGGGTACACACCTGTAAATCGATCCGCCAAGCTCATGAATAAAAGTTATACCCTCAAAATATTCTATATTAGAGAGTTCTGAGCGCCGTAAAATTGGGGAATTGAAGAGATATGGTAGTGAACCTCTAGCCCGGACTTGGGGCTTCCAATTCTGAGCATTTTGGATGCTATTGGGCTCGAAAGTGGCGCTATTTTGCCATGTTGTGGAGGGATCGTTTTTCAAGATGGCTACTTTTCCGCTTTGGGGAAAATAGGGGTCGTCTTCTTTGCGTGAAAATATCTCGAAAAGTCAATGGTCAACCCACCATAAATTGAAAAGAAAATGAAAGATGACACATTGATCATCATTTTTCTGTGCAGCTTGAATACCTGTGAGAGTTTTGAGTATTTTTAAAAGAATTTTGAAGTACGGGCATTTAGCACTAGTGTCTATGGGAGTTTATTTGCAGGTATGCACCCTATAAAGAATCACAAAGATGGCCGTTTCGCGCATGCGCTGTGCCGCGGCAGTGGTCTTTTCAGTGGGCGGAACCTACGGGGAGGGGGAAAAAGTGTTTTAAAGGTATCAACAAGGGTTTTTTGCCGTAACGGATGCTTCCAAATCATTAGGGAGCAGTAGGCTATCACCCGATTACAACAATTGATACTTGAAAAGGGGGGGGGGGGGCATTTTGAGCTTAAAAGTAGCTGGAACTCAATTTATTGTCGCTGGGGGCGCTCTACGGCTTAGCAGGGGCAAAACAATCACTATTTTCGGGCTTAATATCTACCTCGGATAATATTTTTCTTTCATTTTTTTTTTCAAAATATTGACTTTGGAGATATTCTGCTTGTCCTGAATGTGATTTTGTGTTCAAATTTAAAAGTTGCCTGCTATTATAGGGTACACACCTGTAAATCGATCCGCCAAGCTCATGAATAAAAGTTATACCCTCAAAATATTCTATATTAGAGAGTTCTGAGCGCCGTAAAATTGGGGAATTGAAGAGATATGGTAGTGAACCTCTAGCCCGGACTTGGGGCTTCCAATTCTGAGCATTTTGGATGCTATTGGGCTCGAAAGTGGCGCTATTTTGCCATGTTGTGGAGGGATCGTTTTTCAAGATGGCTACTTTTCCGCTTTGGGGAAAATAGGGGTCGTCTTCTTTGCGTGAAAATATCTCGAAAAGTCAATGGTCAACCCACCATAAATTGAAAAGAAAATGAAAGATGACACATTGATCATCATTTTTCTGTGCAGCTTGAATACCTGTGAGAGTTTTGAGTATTTTTAAAAGAATTTTGAAGTACGGGCATTTAGCACTAGTGTCTATGGGAGTTTATTTGCAGGTATGCACCCTATAAAGAATCACAAAGATGGCCGTTTCGCGCATGCGCTGTGCCGCGGCAGTGGTCTTTTCAGTGGGCGGAACCTACGGGGAGGGGAAAAAGTGTTTTAAAGGTATCAACAAGGGTTTTTTGCCGTAACGGATGCTTCCAAATCATTAGGGAGCAGTAGGCTATCACCCGATTACAACAATTGATACTTGAAAAGGGGGGGGGGGGGCATTTTGAGCTTAAAAGTAGCTGGAACTCAATTTATTGTCGCTGGGGGCGCTCTACGGCTTAGCAGGGGCAAAACAATCACTATTTTCGGGCTTAATATCTACCTCGGATAATATTTTTCTTTCATTTTTTTTTCAAAATATTGACTTTGGAGATATTCTGCTTGTCCTGAATGTGATTTTGTGTTCAAATTTAAAAGTTGCCTGCTATTATAGGGTACACACCTGTAAATCGATCCGCCAAGCTCATGAATAAAAGTTATACCCTCAAAATATTCTATATTAGAGAGTTCTGAGCGCCGTAAAATTGGGGAATTGAAGAGATATGGTAGTGAACCTCTAGCCCGGACTTGGGGCTTCCAATTCTGAGCATTTTGGATGCTATTGGGCTCGAAAGTGGCGCTATTTTGCCATGTTGTGGAGGGATCGTTTTTCAAGATGGCTACTTTTCCGCTTTGGGGAAAATAGGGGTCGTCTTCTTTGCGTGAAAATATCTCGAAAAGTCAATGGTCAACCCACCATAAATTGAAAAGAAAATGAAAGATGACACATTGATCATCATTTTTCTGTGCAGCTTGAATACCTGTGAGAGTTTTGAGTATTTTTAAAAGAATTTTGAAGTACGGGCATTTAGCACTAGTGTCTATGGGAGTTTATTTGCAGGTATGCACCCTATAAAGAATCACAAAGATGGCCGTTTCGCGCATGCGCTGTGCCGCGGCAGTGGTCTTTTCAGTGGGCGGAACCTACGGGGAGGGGGAAAAAGTGTTTTAAAGGTATCAACAAGGGTTTTTTGCCGTAACGGATGCTTCCAAATCATTAGGGAGCAGTAGGCTATCACCCGATTACAACAATTGATACTTGAAAAGGGGGGGGGGGGGCATTTTGAGCTTAAAAGTAGCTGGAACTCAATTTATTGTCGCTGGGGGCGCTCTACGGCTTAGCAGGGGCAAAAACAATCACTATTTTCGGGCTTAATATCTACCTCGGATAATATTTTTCTTTCATTTTTTTTTTCAAAATATTGACTTTGGAGATATTCTGCTTGTCCTGAATGTGATTTTGTGTTCAAATTTAAAAGTTGCCTGCTATTATAGGGTACACACCTGTAAATCGATCCGCCAAGCTCATGAATAAAAGTTATACCCTCAAAATATTCTATATTAGAGAGTTCTGAGCGCCGTAAAATTGGGGAATTGAAGAGATATGGTAGTGAACCTCTAGCCCGGACTTGGGGCTTCCAATTCTGAGCATTTTGGATGCTATTGGGCTCGAAAGTGGCGCTATTTTGCCATGTTGTGGAGGGATCGTTTTTCAAGATGGCTACTTTTCCGCTTTGGGGAAAATAGGGGTCGTCTTCTTTGCGTGAAAATATCTCGAAAAGTCAATGGTCAACCCACCATAAATTGAAAAGAAAATGAAAGATGACACATTGATCATCATTTTTCTGTGCAGCTTGAATACCTGTGAGAGTTTTGAGTATTTTTAAAAGAATTTTGAAGTACGGGCATTTAGCACTAGTGTCTATGGGAGTTTATTTGCAGGTATGCACCCTATAAAGAATCACAAAGATGGCCGTTTCGCGCATGCGCTGTGCCGCGGCAGTGGTCTTTTCAGTGGGCGGAACCTACGGGGAGGGGGAAAAAGTGTTTTAAAGGTATCAACAAGGGTTTTTTGCCGTAACGGATGCTTCCAAATCATTAGGGAGCAGTAGGCTATCACCCGATTACAACAATTGATACTTGAAAAGGGGGGGGGGGGCATTTTGAGCTTAAAAGTAGCTGGAACTCAATTTATTGTCGCTGGGGGCGCTCTACGGCTTAGCAGGGGCAAAACAATCACTATTTTCGGGCTTAATATCTACCTCGGATAATATTTTTCTTTCATTTTTTTTTTCAAAATATTGACTTTGGAGATATTCTGCTTGTCCTGAATGTGATTTTGTGTTCAAATTTAAAAGTTGCCTGCTATTATAGGGTACACACCTGTAAATCGATCCGCCAAGCTCATGAATAAAAGTTATACCCTCAAAATATTCTATATTAGAGAGTTCTGAGCGCCGTAAAATTGGGGAATTGAAGAGATATGGTAGTGAACCTCTAGCCCGGACTTGGGGCTTCCAATTCTGAGCATTTTGGATGCTATTGGGCTCGAAAGTGGCGCTATTTTGCCATGTTGTGGAGGGATCGTTTTTCAAGATGGCTACTTTTCCGCTTTGGGGAAAATAGGGGTCGTCTTCTTTGCGTGAAAATATCTCGAAAAGTCAATGGTCAACCCACCATAAATTGAAAAGAAAATGAAAGATGACACATTGATCATCATTTTTCTGTGCAGCTTGAATACCTGTGAGAGTTTTGAGTATTTTTAAAAGAATTTTGAAGTACGGGCATTTAGCACTAGTGTCTATGGGAGTTTATTTGCAGGTATGCACCCTATAAAGAATCACAAAGATGGCCGTTTCGCGCATGCGCTGTGCCGCGGCAGTGGTCTTTTCAGTGGGCGGAACCTACGGGGAGGGGGAAAAAGTGTTTTAAAGGTATCAACAAGGGTTTTTTGCCGTAACGGATGCTTCCAAATCATTAGGGAGCAGTAGGCTATCACCCGATTACAACAATTGATACTTGAAAAGGGGGGGGGGGGCATTTTGAGCTTAAAAGTAGCTGGAACTCAATTTATTGTCGCTGGGGGCGCTCTACGGCTTAGCAGGGGCAAAACAATCACTATTTTCGGGCTTAATATCTACCTCGGATAATATTTTTCTTTCATTTTTTTTTCAAAATATTGACTTTGGAGATATTCTGCTTGTCCTGAATGTGATTTTGTGTTCAAATTTAAAAGTTGCCTGCTATTATAGGGTACACACCTGTAAATCGATCCGCCAAGCTCATGAATAAAAGTTATACCCTCAAAATATTCTATATTAGAGAGTTCTGAGCGCCGTAAAATTGGGGAATTGAAGAGATATGGTAGTGAACCTCTAGCCCGGACTTGGGGCTTCCAATTCTGAGCATTTTGGATGCTATTGGGCTCGAAAGTGGCGCTATTTTGCCATGTTGTGGAGGGATCGTTTTTCAAGATGGCTACTTTTCCGCTTTGGGGAAAATAGGGGTCGTCTTCTTTGCGTGAAAATATCTCGAAAAGTCAATGGTCAACCCACCATAAATTGAAAAGAAAATGAAAGATGACACATTGATCATCATTTTTCTGTGCAGCTTGAATACCTGTGAGAGTTTTGAGTATTTTTAAAAGAATTTTGAAGTACGGGCATTTAGCACTAGTGTCTATGGGAGTTTATTTGCAGGTATGCACCCTATAAAGAATCACAAAGATGGCCGTTTCGCGCATGCGCTGTGCCGCGGCAGTGGTCTTTTCAGTGGGCGGAACCTACGGGGAGGGGGAAAAAGTGTTTTAAAGGTATCAACAAGGGTTTTTTGCCGTAACGGATGCTTCCAAATCATTAGGGAGCAGTAGGCTATCACCCGATTACAACAATTGATACTTGAAAAGGGGGGGGGGGGGGCATTTTGAGCTTAAAAGTAGCTGGAACTCAATTTATTGTCGCTGGGGGCGCTCTACGGCTTAGCAGGGGCAAAACAATCACTATTTTCGGGCTTAATATCTACCTCGGATAATATTTTTCTTTCATTTTTTTTTTCAAAATATTGACTTTGGAGATATTCTGCTTGTCCTGAATGTGATTTTGTGTTCAAATTTAAAAGTTGCCTGCTATTATAGGGTACACACCTGTAAATCGATCCGCCAAGCTCATGAATAAAAGTTATACCCTCAAAATATTCTATATTAGAGAGTTCTGAGCGCCGTAAAATTGGGGAATTGAAGAGATATGGTAGTGAACCTCTAGCCCGGACTTGGGGCTTCCAATTCTGAGCATTTTGGATGCTATTGGGCTCGAAAGTGGCGCTATTTTGCCATGTTGTGGAGGGATCGTTTTTCAAGATGGCTACTTTTCCGCTTTGGGGAAAATAGGGGTCGTCTTCTTTGCGTGAAAATATCTCGAAAAGTCAATGGTCAACCCACCATAAATTGAAAAGAAAATGAAAGATGACACATTGATCATCATTTTTCTGTGCAGCTTGAATACCTGTGAGAGTTTTGAGTATTTTTAAAAGAATTTTGAAGTACGGGCATTTAGCACTAGTGTCTATGGGAGTTTATTTGCAGGTATGCACCCTATAAAGAATCACAAAGATGGCCGTTTCGCGCATGCGCTGTGCCGCGGCAGTGGTCTTTTCAGTGGGCGGAACCTACGGGGAGGGGGAAAAAGTGTTTTAAAGGTATCAACAAGGGTTTTTTGCCGTAACGGATGCTTCCAAATCATTAGGGAGCAGTAGGCTATCACCCGATTACAACAATTGATACTTGAAAAGGGGGGGGGGGGCATTTTGAGCTTAAAAGTAGCTGGAACTCAATTTATTGTCGCTGGGGGCGCTCTACGGCTTAGCAGGGGCAAAACAATCACTATTTTCGGGCTTAATATCTACCTCGGATAATATTTTTCTTTCATTTTTTTTTTCAAAATATTGACTTTGGAGATATTCTGCTTGTCCTGAATGTGATTTTGTGTTCAAATTTAAAAGTTGCCTGCTATTATAGGGTACACACCTGTAAATCGATCCGCCAAGCTCATGAATAAAAGTTATACCCTCAAAATATTCTATATTAGAGAGTTCTGAGCGCCGTAAAATTGGGGAATTGAAGAGATATGGTAGTGAACCTCTAGCCCGGACTTGGGGCTTCCAATTCTGAGCATTTTGGATGCTATTGGGCTCGAAAGTGGCGCTATTTTGCCATGTTGTGGAGGGATCGTTTTTCAAGATGGCTACTTTTCCGCTTTGGGGAAAATAGGGGTCGTCTTCTTTGCGTGAAAATATCTCGAAAAGTCAATGGTCAACCCACCATAAATTGAAAAGAAAATGAAAGATGACACATTGATCATCATTTTTCTGTGCAGCTTGAATACCTGTGAGAGTTTTGAGTATTTTTAAAAGAATTTTGAAGTACGGGCATTTAGCACTAGTGTCTATGGGAGTTTATTTGCAGGTATGCACCCATAAGGTAAATTCAACAACAGAGGGCGCCATCTTAAACAACAATGACCAACTCCAACTACTCGTTCAAAATCAAGTACTCTGAGTCATGCATTGAGTATGTGTGTGAAGATTGCTGGGGTTTTGGGTCTTAATTTCGGAGTTTTTAGAAACGTGAATTTTCCCAGTTGCTAAAAGAACATGGCAGCAAACGTCGTGAGACCAGGGAGGAATGAAAATGGAGTCGTCGTGACAGAACCCGCAGCCAAAGTGAATGAGAGTAAGTTCATTTCGAATATTTCATTGACACACATAATTGATTTTCCAAATGATTGTGCCTCAATTTACGTACAAATGTACAAACCGGAAGTGTGTTGTTGTTGTGCGCTTTCTTGAAAATCACGCATTCTTAAGAATGCGCATGCACATGCTTATGATTGTGCAACTGGATCCTTGCGCAATCCTCGCAAAAAATAACTCTTCCAGATTGAGCGCACATTCTTAAGAATGCGCGACAAGATAACGGTCTTGTCGATACCGAGCACCTGCTGCACTTGGCAAGTCTAGCTGCATCCTCGTTCACGGATTCTTAATAATTATGGTAATCCTTACTTTTAGGACACCTCTATTTTTTACGAGTTCTGCTCAAAACTGACTTTTGCAGATGTCTGTCCAGTACCAAAGTAGTCCGAGTAACTTGGACCCAACTTATCGCCTTTTTAACATTCGGACATGGTCTGGCGATAGTAAGGTCCAAGCTAATAGTGCGAGCTGGACAACATCATCCTGTCACTGTCCCAGAAACCAACATTTTCCAACAAAAAACATCAGATTTCACCTTCAAAACGGCCTCCAAATTGCTAGATATGCCACCTGAGGTACAAGTAGACATCGATGATTAAGATGGTTGTACTGAAGTTTACTTACGATCCGGAAGAAAAGTGAAATTTCCCGTTCAATTCTGAGAGCTCCCCTCGCGATCGTGAACACGTTAAATTTCCGACTCGTGTTAACGTTTGAACGACGCAATTTCTTCTTCATGCCCAGCGTACATTCGATGGTCCCCGTATCCCGAGTGCGATTCCGTTACCGAGCGCGCGCGATGCATCGATTATGATAATGAGTAGACTGGATCACGTTTGTAAACACAAGTGCATTTCGAACGATAATAGGGAGTCGGGAACTAGCGCAGCTTTTATGGCGGATACCAGTTCAAGCTGGTTCCCGATTCCCTTTTACCGTTCGAAATGCACTTGTGTTTACAAATGTGACTCATTATCATAATCGATGCATCGCGCGCGCTTGGTAACGGAATCGCACTCGGGATACGGGGACCATCGAATGTACGCTGGGCATGAAGAAGAAATCGCGTCGTTCAAATGTTAACATGAGTTGGAAATTTAACGTGATCAAGATCGCGAGGGGAGCTCTCAGAATTGAACGGGAAATTTCACTTTTCTTCCGGATCGTAAGTAAACTTCAGTACAACCATCTTAATCATCGATGTCTACTTGTAGCTCAGGTGGCATATCTAGTAATTTGGAGGCTGTTTTGAAGGTGAAATCTGATGTTTTTTGTTGGAAAATGTTGGTTTTTGGGACTGTGACAGGGCTATGTTGTCCAGCTCGCACTATTAGCTTGGACCTTACTATCACCAGACCATGTCCGAATGTTAAAAAGGCGATAAGTTGGGTCCAAGTTACTCGGACTAGTACCAAAGTGACTTTTGCAGGCTAAAGAAGTCTTTTTTTTCATATAAACTCATGTTAGTTATAATTTTGAAAGCACTTTTCAAGAAAATTTGTGACTTTCCTACCTTTTTTGCAGTCAAACGTGCATGTTGTAGTTCTCACAACACCAGTGAAAGCCCTACATAATCAAAGCCCAATGCTGATTGGCTGCTAAAAAAAATAAATAATATATTTATTTTTTATCAGCCAATCAGCATCGAGATTTCATTGCATTGAGCTTTCACGTTTGCCATGTTGGTTTTTTAAGTCTGTGTTCTGGTTGTCATCGTCGTCTTTTACCCCTTAATTTCCCTCATAAATCAGAGCCCTGCCCTCTTTCCACAAATTGAACCTGCTGATCAGTGATATTCAAGAAGGTGTCATTGCCAATTGTTCAGATGTGTCAAGAAATATCAGAATGTCACTTTTGAGTGTCATTTAGTAAACTGTTTTGGTGAGTCTTTCCCTTCCTATATAGGAACGGGGTCCTAAAAGTAAGGATTACCATAAAGTGAATTAGGCCTATGTTTTGTTTTTCCATGTAGCCTGGCTTTCATTTTGAAAATTCCCACAAACGCCATTCACAACCTTTCTTTATCACTGTCTGAGAAGCCACTATTAAAGTTACATGTGTAAAATGGGTTATAGGTACCCAATCCCATAATCTGGAACCGATTCCTGACATTAATGGTCGGGTACTCGGGTACCCGGTTCCCCGGTTCCAATGCACATCCCTATTGTTATGGCGTGTACATGTATGATCTAAGGAAATTCGCACGTACACAAGTGCAAATTTTCACATCGGCATGATTATAGTGCAAATTGCTATTGTGTTATTCTGTTTCTGTGCACAGTCGTTACTGTCATTGATTTTAAAAATATGTATTGATTGTGGAATGTTGAAAGAATAAACCAATGTGTGGAATATGGTAAGAGTTGGGTAAAATAAATTTACAATGTAAATTTTATATATTGGGGGAGAAAAGATTAAGAACAAAAACCATTACTTTTCAGAGAACGTGCACAAATCAGAATGTTTTTCAATGAAATTTACTGACTGTCATGACTGTTCGTGAATAATGTTCCATTATACAGTGTTATGGTAAGGAAGATTATTTATAAAGCACCCTGACCCTCCTTAATCTTCCAAAGTCCTCTGGGCGGTTTTGGAGGATTTTGGATTTTGCGAAAGTGTCGGTTGAATTTGGAGGGTGTATTGTGATGAGTTCGTAGGTTGTACCCTGTAGGCCTATTGTTTATGTCCAGCCATGCATAATTGAGCCCTGCATTATGCTCGATATCATCCGCACTGCTTCTGAATGTCATCGGCACTGCATCAACCCATAACAGTGATTGTTAAAAGATTTTGAAGGATTGAGGCAATGGTCACCCCTCCTGAACAAATTCAATAAATAACGGATAATTTGGTAGAATTTATGCTGTATTAAATTTGTACACGATGGCAACTGGAGGATTTTGCAGGATTGAGGATGGTTCCTAGCCAATAGGGTTCGGGCGTTAGGGTTAAATCAAGCCTTGTTTTGTGGTTCACATTTGGATTTGTACAGAGCAGTCTATAGTGTTTGTCATTAATATTCCATCCTTGGATTCAATGCTGTGTTGACATGCTTTGAAGGTCATATGAAAGAATCTGAAAGAATAACCTTGGGTAGGGATTGTGTTGTATATTTATCGTGGATCGTCATGCATGGGCACAATAATGTATGTAGCTTGCAACGTTGACTTGTTTGTGACCCATGCAAGCAAATATCCATAGTTTTTAATTTTGTTTTGGGTTGAAAGACATTTGTACCTGTAGCTGGTTTTTGTTCTCATATTTTTTTGTACCAGAATGTTTAGTGTGTACTTCATGATACCATTTGACTAGGTTGAAAAAGGTGGGGGGAAAGTCTGGTAACACAACTGGCAATTAATATTTCTGCAAGTTTCTTTAATTATTTTTTTCAAAAAAATTCACCAGATTTGCAAAATAAAGGATGGAATATATATTCCAGCTTTATATTGCATAAATTGCAAAATTTTTGTTGTTGAAGATTTGTTACATTTGAATGTTTGAATATCTGTTGCATATGCAACAAATACTCATACAACATGTCCAATTAAATACCTCTAAGTATTTATGGAAGTATTGATATGCAAATGTGTATGCCTGTCCGTCTTTCACAGAGGTACCCCCTCATGGGTTGAAAAGAGAGAGTCTGATGGGAAGCCGTTAAATCGGCTTCAATCAGGCATCTTCTTGCTGTGCATGCAATGCGTGTGTGAATAAGCAAAGTTCATATCCCACCAAAGACAGGCATCGTTGCTAGGCAAATTGCGCTCTCTCTCGGTCACGCACGGAGCTCACATCCAGCATTGAAAAAATATTTATAAATGGTTCTAAAAAACCTAAAACTACCACTGTAATGTTCTCTTTTGGGAAGTGTTACTCCAGAGATGTGACTTTTTTTTTTGTCTTTCATTTTTCAGTCAAGAAAGAATGGTCTGTCATTGAAGATGGCGCCCTCGCTCACAAACTACAAGAGGAAGAGAGTAAGTAGCCATTTGTGAAACATCGGACATCCCAGACTTTGGCTTTGCCTCCAGCCTCGGAACTTTTCAATATTCGCACCAAATGAAAAACTCCCTTTGTTGGCTTCACGGAAAAATAAGTTGATTTTCTTTCAGCAAAAGAAAAGAGGAGAAATCTACGTCAGGCACGTACACAGACAGACAGTCGTGTTCACACCGTTGATCATGGACCTCCTCCTGTCCCTCTTTTGTTTGTACTAACTTTTTAGGAAGACTCCTACATGTATATGTTTTGTACACGACCCTAATCGCGGACGTATGTTGGGAATCGTGGACGATATTGTTCTCTGGTATTTTTCGCCCACGGTTTGAGTAGATGAACACACCCATACATGTACATACATGTTACCTGGTACATTCACGCAGTTGGTGCCTGAAACCTAAGTCAGAGATGCAGCCAAAATGTGGGAAATTGCCTGTGACAAATTTGGATGTAGGTTGGTCAATTTGACCATAAACTGTGCATTTTATTAATGAAGATTTGTTAGTAGTAGTAGAAACATTTATTTCAATGTTGCCATTTCCACACAATAAAATGTTACAATGCCGTGTAAACATATTATACAGAGCAAAATGCAATGAATTATGTAATTGTGTATAATAATGTACATGGGTCAATACTAGAACAAATTTACGACAACATTAGGTATAAGGTGAAGCGTCACGCTTTTGTACCTTAATTAACCTATCGACAGACAAGTGGACATGACCGAGAAAAACAGAGACAATGACAAAGGACAAAATAAACAACAGTGTGACACACAAAGACACAACCTAGAAAAACACAAACTGGTATGAGACGAGGGCATACATCTAGATTCATACATTATAACTAGTTATTCGAATAAACGTAGAAAAACACAAACTGGTATGTGACGAGAGCATACATCTAGATTCATAAATTATAACTAGTTGTTCGAGTAAGAATTGAGTGGATGTGATCTAAGGTTTTTAACAAAGACAGAGAAGGAAGGTGCTGATTTTAAGAAGTCATCTAGACTATTCCAGTATGATGTACCACGTTGAATAACGCTATTTTTAGACAATGTTGTTCTGTTGAATTGGACATATAAATTTCTCCTACTAGTGCTTCGGGTATTATACAAAATGGATATCAGATGTGAGCATAAAGAAGGGGTTGAAACAAGTAGGTAATGCATTGTTATTTGGCTTTATGTAATACTCTCGATTGTGCGTACAATGTTCGGGTTGTCTGCGTACAATGTTCGGGTTGTCAGCATTATAATTTATAAGGATACATGCAACGCTGTGTAATATCAATGTTGGGCAAGTTCCTGTTAAATTTAACTTATTTCGAATGAATTACGTTCATGTACTGCACATATGAGTCATTCTGCAAATTTAGGGTCCAAAGTTTGGCATTCATCTCGTCCTCTTAACCTCTGAACGTTGTAATTTGCCATTCAAGTATCATTAAAACTGACTTCAAATGATCGTTTATTTGTTGGGTAGGTAGTTTGTAGTTTGCTATTCATATACATGTGTAATCACTCTTGGAAATTGACTACATCAAGTAGTGCATCAGAATTATTAAAGCATAGATGTCAGACATGACAGGGACAGGGAATATGTGAATGATGTAGGCTATGGAGCAACCACATGCCCTATGCAAACTCTAATGCGAGTAATATATTGCATGCGTTCACCCATATCAATGTCAACTATATTTTTGTGCAAACTTTTATTTTTTAGAACTACACATGTAACGTCACAACAGGATAAGTCAGCTTTTGTGGGGATTTTTCTGAAGACATGCATGACCAATCAGCTTAAATAGAATTCAGTTCCCATAGAAAAAATGGCCGTGGGATGATTTTTTTTGGGGGGGGGGGCTGATTTGAGTACGTGTCAACTTAATACTCGACTGATAATGTGCAATACTAGCACCGTGATTATTTGTCACATTTTGAGGACTTTTTTCAAAAATAAATCATGTTATGGGCAATTCCACGGTTACTCATGTTACATTTTTGATGTACTTTTGAGTTTCCTTGGGCTGTAATTATCTTACTGAAAAGGTTTAATAACTGTTATCCCCATGGTAGATACAGTAGACCTAGACCTACCTAAGCACCAAAGATGACATCCAGAAAAATGTGTTATGTTTGATAAACAAGACCCACAAAATCGGTTTCTCACGTTACGAAAATGTAACGTGAGTAACCATGGAATTGCCCTTATGCGGAAGTCTGAATTGTATACTTTCATGCTGTTTATCAGGAAAGCTTGAGGCCTTCAAAAACGAGGAAATTAATTTCAATAAGTAACTATTCATGTTACTAAAAAAAGTCACTTCAACATGAGCATGAGTCACCAAAGGGCCTCAATAAATTTAACTGTTGCTTTCACTTCTTGTATTGGTTGTTTAACCCGTGGTTGGTTTGCGCTGAGGACCGTCTTCAAACTGGAGATTAGGCTGGTTCAACTTGTATTTAAACTGATAGTTTTAATCTAGATTTCTCACTAGAGAAACTGAAATATTCTCAGGATAACTGTGCAATGAAGGAAGAATATATGGTTGGTACCGGTAGAAAATAAAACACCCCAAAATTATTGCCTCATAAATCAGGCATGCAACTTTTCCTCGGATCAGCTGATTTCCTCTTTTTTTTATTCCCATTTCTGTCATTCAAAATAGAAAAACACTGTACAAAGTCTTCTGAATTTTGGAATTTCCTCTTTTTTGTGTGAATGTACAGTTGCATGCCTGATAAATACAATCAGTATTTATTTTTGAGAAGATCACTGCAAAAATTCCATTTCAAAATTCACACCTGTGATTTTGAAGTATTTTCGGAAAAATTGTGGGTCTTGTTTTCAAGCTCAGTTTGAAATAAAAAAGCAAAAATCAGGCTCCTTCGAAGTGCAGCATGGATTGAGAAGGGTTTATACATGTACATGTACATGTACATGTAGCCAAAATGCCCAGTGTCGGTAGGGTTGAGAAATTTATGGAAATTGAATGAATGACAACAGGGCATTTTTTTTTAACAACTGTGAGGCGTTCGTGCAAAATGAGACAGAACTGGGTAGATGCCATTTTGCAGAAAAGAAAAAAAATAGGGGTGATTTTTTCAATTTTCAGATTTATTCATATTTGTCATCTTTGATATACCTGCTAAACATATTTTAAAGAAATAGTATAAAAATCCCGAAATAAAATTGTTTTTAAGGGAAAAAACTATTGGCATATATTTCATTTTCACAACTACAAAACCCAAAACTTTAAAGGCCTTTTTGTCAGTATTTTACATTTTTGACCTGTCAATAAATGCAAACTTAAAAACAGATACACTGGTACATGTAGCTTGTCAAAAGAATGTCCAATTGAAGAGCAACAGACTGTTAAGGAGCAAATATCCTAATACCCGAAAAACTCTGAAGTCGACCTCTGCCCAGTTTTGTCTCATTTTGCCAAAAAGCCTCACATGTTTGCTAAACACAGTTAATATTGACAATAATAACCTGCCGTTTCTTTTTGACATCACAGACACAACCCATTATTCTGGTAACATCAGCCGACGACGGACGGTCAGATCGGACATCAGGACAGCCAAATCCGCAGCCGATGAAGAGGCTCTGCAGGCGTTCAAAGAAGAACATGATATCGCCGAAAAAAATCGACAGAGGTAAGACAAATCCTGTACTCTACAGACCCATACTTCGACAGTTCCACTCAACCAGCTGTTCCATGAGAGGAGTTCCATCAAACTGTGGTTCCATGCATACACAGTTCCATGCATGCACAATTCTATGCACACATAGTTCTGTGAACATGTTTGTAAACTTCCATGCACTTACAGCTCTGTGCACCTACAATTCCATTCATCTTCAGTTCCATTCACGTATGGTTCCATTCACCTTCAGTTCCATTCACCGATGGTTCCATTCATCTACAGTTCCATTCACCTATGGTTCCTTTCACCTTCAGTTCCATTCACCTTCAGTTCCATTCACCTTCAGTTCCATTCACCTTCAGTTCCATTCACCTTCAGTTCCATTCACCTTCAGTTCCATTCACCTTCAGTTCCATTCACCTACGTTTCCATTCACCTACATGTACATGGTTCCCATTCACCTATGGTTCCATGCACCTGCAATGCCATGCACTCCAACTAGCACCTCCAAAGGTTTGTCTGAGACAAATAATCTAAGAAAAAGAACTTGTCAAACACAAGTCATGTCTGTGAAAACTCAAGTCTGAAACACGCACACAAATTATAAAAAAAGTCATATTTTTAGTAAGGATTTCAGATGACCGTTTTAAATTGATGTTTCTCAAAAAGTGCTCGTCCCCTTTCCCTTATAGGTTTGTCAAATAAGAAAAAGAGAGAAAAAAAGATCATAGACGCAACCCCCCCCCCCCTCCCCAACCAGTTCTCTGAATCTGCCCTCGGACTGACTGAGTTTTAAATAACTGTAAGGGGTCATCGCGCGAACACGTTATATCTGATTTTGAGTTCCGAGTCCTCAGGTTGAATTTGCAGCATCATCCATTCATGAGTAACCTCCGTCCATATTTTTCTACCCCTACCTTCACAGGGAGCTGGAAGATGCAGAGGCGGCCAAGAAACTCCTCCAGGATATGATGGAGGAGGAGAAACAGAAGATCAGAGAGCTGCGCCAACGAGAGAAGTAAGCCAATCCAACTATTTTGTTTTTTAAAACTTTACATCACATGCATAAATTGGAATAGAAATTATGTTGCTGCATAATTATCAACTAAGAGTTAAAGATGAACTTTGACCTGATTGAACTTTGATTGACCTTTGACCCTTGACAGTGAGGAGAGGGATCGGGAGGCTGCCAAGGAGCTCTACCAACAAATGATGGAAGACGAGAAGCGCAAACACAGGCAGCAGAGGTCGTTTCAAGAAACTGACGAGGTACGTTATCAAAACTGACTGTAACCAGCCTATCCCACGAGAACCATGAGGGGCCACCTTTCATTTTGAAAGTAATGAGTCTATCGATTCATTAACTGAACATGGGCCCAATTTTCTTTTGTTCAGTCATTTGTTTTATAAAAAATTGGAATTTATAAAAGGAATGTATTTTTTGGGGATGAAAATCAAAAATAGCATGGGGAGTGTTACTTTTAAACTCTGCAAATTGTCCATGGGATACTTGTCTGTAATGGTTGTTTCCTTGTGTGTCACAAATCATGTTTGTGAAATCTCCAAAATCTCAGTGCTTTCTATTAACTTTTTTCAGTTTGTTTAACCACTTCGCACCGGGATTATTTTGACATTGACCGGACCCAGGCACAGGATTGTTTTCATGAACCTCGATGCCAGACGGGTTCAGGCCGTCAGCTGCGGGTAGCACACCACGATATTTCTGGCCTCGCTTGCTGTGAGCAGGTTGCAGACAGATATTTCTGGCCTCGCTCATTGCGTGTTTATCCGTCATCTGTTCTGAATACCGCAAAACCTTTGCGTGTATACACGTCGTCAGACGTGAACTGGTTAACACTTAAATTCTGCAGTAATTGTGATAATTGCATTTTGCTGCGTCTGCAGAATAAGAGTGCTTGTACATTTCTGGCAAAATTCTGTTAATTTGTCAGAAGTTACTGTGAAAATTTTTTTTTTCAAAAACACGTTTTTCAAAGCCAATACTAAGGATGCAGGTTTGTTGCTCAACTTACAAGATCATTTCTGTTGTTTTGGGTGAATCCTTCCTGAAGGAGTTAGCCCTACGTCTTCAAGCTCACGAGGAGAGGAAACAGCGCATCTTGAGTCAGAAGCATCACTCTCTGGATCAAGAGATGGAGAGTGAACGCTTGGCTCATCATCTAGCCAGAGAAGAGAAGATGAGAAGTCGGTCCCAGCGTGAGCGAGCTCAGTACGACCCGACAGACGACGGCAGTAAGTGAACCCATTGGAGAGTAGGAATGAATTATAGATACTTGTGACATCCAGAAAAATATGTAACGTATCCGTATATGTATGACTATGGCTGATAAGCTTTGGTGAGGTTGCGAATCTGTGTATCCGTATTCCTTCTGAGGAAACCAAGTCCAATTGCTAAGCTACGGTTCGCTTAAAGCATTTCTGTACCCTACAGTTTTGTAGGGATAGTTTGCATGATTTCCATACACCTGTCAAGGACTGGCATTGTAGAGTCACGCTAAACCACTTTGGCAATTTGCGCTCTATAGTTAACAATTATTGACAGCTGTGATGTGGGATATGATGTTTTGAAAACCTGTTTTGATATCATCCTTGGATTCGCCTCGGGTGCTATGCACCCTCAGGTGTTCAAAACGTCATATTAGCCTCGGAGCAGTCAACAACTGTTGTGTTATACCTCCGTCTTGGATTCTTTGGATTTTGATGTAAAAATCACGAAAACAAACCAGTAAATACAACAATCATAACAATCAAACGCCAACTCACATGCATGTCGCATGCTTGAAACAGCTGATCGTCTGCTAGTTCACTGCTCCTACTCATGTTTGAAAACATGGTGAAAATAGCGCGGGTGCCAACGATACAAGCGTTTCACACCGTAAGTACTGTACCGTACGTACCATAAAGTCATAGCACACTCCCTGTGGTATATCACATACTGTACGTATGTGCCATGAATTTTTATAAACTTAAAAAGTGATCATTCTAGGCCAATGAAAATACAGTATTCAAGACAGAGGTACAATGTTCAACAAATCCTGTTATTATTTATTAATAATAAATCTTCTCCACACAAATTGATTTTGGTTTCAAACAGGCAAACCAGACGCAGGAGTGGTTCCTTATGACCTCAACAGTTGATAGTTTGAATATTAAATATATGTGATTGTCCCTAATTGTTTCAAGCATCAATTTATTTCAAATTATTAGTTAAGAATAATTAGGAGTAACAGGACTCTTAAATGCCAGTCCAAAATGGATGTTCTACTTGCAAATAGTGTCTGCGGAATCTCCTCAAATTCTTTTTAACCTTGTAACTCATTGCCAGCTTAAAAAAAAGCACAGTTTTAAGTTGTTCTTTAAAAAAAAAAAAAAAAGAAGCAATGTCGGTGTGCTAGAAAGTTAAAGCAAACAACCTTCTCGTGTGTCTAATAACCCTTCCAAACTGTCTGACCTTACCTGTCATCGCCAACAAGTAACTTGACTAACTTTTTCTCTCGTCCTATCCCTGCTGAGCATGTTTACGTTTGAGGCAGAACAATGAGAAAGGAATTGCTCTTTTTTGTTCAAATTTACTAACCAAGCTGTCCCTTATTATTTCCTTTTCTTTGCACGTATACCTTTAACCGCTCTTTAACCGCTTCCTACCTAACCCAAGTACGGCATCATCGACGTAAGCACGACGACAAGCATTCAGAATCGAGGGTTCGTAGGGACGGGCCAGAGCCAACTGATCATAGGACCCATAAACACAAACAAAGACAGGCTGAGCCACTGCAAGCAGACAGACAGAGGCCCCCAGAATCCAGAGGACAAACAGGCACACCACAACACAAACAGAGACAGGCTGAGCAACAGCAAACAGATAGACAGAGGCTGTCAGAGTCCAGAGGACAAACAGGCACGCCACAACACAAAGAAAGACAGGCTGAGCAACAGCAAACAGATAGACAGAGGCTGTCAGAGTCCAGAGGACAAACGGGCACACCACAACACAAACAAAAACAGGCAGAGCCACAGCAAACGGACAGACAGAGGTCACCAGAGTCCAGAAGACAAACAGGCACGCCACAACACGCAACCGACCCTTGGGAGTATCTATACAAGCCGAGACAAAAAGAGGAAAAAAAGCAACAAAAAGAGGGAAAAAAGCAAAAACGGACGGAAATAACAGAACATAGAGATGTGGAGAAACCACTGGAGCCTCCGGAACGAAGGAAGAAGCAAAGATCACCGGAGCGGAGAGAACAAACAAGCAAGCCACCAACGACTGACAGCTTAGAGTCTCAAGATAAATCAAGAAAATCAGAGCCCACAGAGCATAGAGATCCACAAACACCAATGGAGCCTGTGCAGCAAAAGCCGCTTGAACCTCCAGAACGTCGGAAAAAACACAGGCCACCAGAGCCAAGCGAACCTAAAGATAAGCACGGAGAGAAAGGTACTCACTGGTCATCACACTTCAATAGCCCACTCAGATATAGTGTCAGAGAACAGACATTGCAATGTTGTCCCCATGACCTCTAGCATGGGGTCAAGCTAATTTGAATATTGACTAGCATCACAAATAGGCACTGTATGGTGTGAGTCAAAAAAAGCGTAACCCACATGTCGGGACCATTGTTTCAGTGAAGTTCTGCATGTAGCCCTTTCAAAATCTAGGATATGAAAGCCCAATTCATAGGCTTTCTTTTAGTACGAGAATCATTCAAATCACTCATGGACTTTTCAAGTTACAGAATTTTGAACACAACCACCGTTTTGAAGTTCTGTCCACGGATCACAAGAAGGTAAGTGTTCTTTCAGCAAAACGAAAACAAATCACACAGGGATTCACGTGAATTGTTTTCGTTTTGCTGAAAGAACGCACACCTTTTTTTGGGATCCGTGGACAGAAATTTATATCGGTGGTTGTGTTTCAAATTCAGTAACTTGAAAAGTACATGAGTGATTTGAAAGATTCTTGTACTAAAAGAAAGCTTATGAATTGGGCTTTCATATCCTAGATTTTCAAAGTGCTACATGCAGAACTTCACTAAAACAATAGTCCCAACATTTGGGTTTCGGTTTTTTTTACTCGCCCTGTATGTTATTAGCAAGCTTACCTTAGAACTGGGCCAATTGGACCGCAAGGTAGCTAGCATTGACAAGGCACAGATATACAAATTCAGATCTTTTGCGGGCATTGCATAGCCTCATGTACTTGTGTGATATCAGGTCAGTTATCTATGAAAATCTTAACACCTGTTTTTTTGGTCTTGAAACCTAACACCACTTTTTCGTTTCTTTTATGTTGAACTTCTCAAGAAATATTGCTACTAACTGTGCATGCTAAGCTGAGCAAGTTTGAAGCCATTGCAAGGCTAACACTTAAATTTGCTGAAGTGAATGCTGTTCAAAATAATAAACTGATAAAATATGTGGCCCACTTGCCAACCATAATTGGGTTCGTTGGGTTGTTGGTTCACTAACTCGTGTTTCATACATAAATGTGAATGTTTTCTGCAAGCTCTTGGGCAGCACTAGTTACACATTGTTATGATATTTGGGGTGAGATTTGCTAGTATTATTCCTGATTTTGGAACGTTTTTGTCAGGATTTCCTGATTTTCAAGGATTTTTAAAGAATCCTTTTTCAAATCTGGAATTCAAAAGATTTTACGGAACGGCATACTTCCACTACCTTGAGACTCAAACCACCTGAACCAATTGATGGAGCATCCTTTTAGAAGAATTATGATACCAAAATATCCCGATTCGGTCCAGTATTTTTTTTGCTGCAGAGCCTATTTTGTGAAGCACACTTCTTTCATGTGGGTATTATTACATAACAATCCCTCTATCAATTACAATGTAAGTCAAACTCCCGGGCGCGGTTTAGTAATTCATCAGGACAAAAATGGCCCCCACCTTGCTTCACAAAATAGGCTGTAGAACAAAAACGACTGGACCGAATCGGGCGATCTTGGTTTCATTTTTCTTCTAAAAAGATTGTCCATGCATTGATGTATGTGGTTGGAGTCTCAGGTTAGTGGAAGTATGCGAATCCGGTTTTGTTGGACCACCCTGTATGGAACAAAAGAAATTAATTTTAAGGGGTAATTCAGACAAATTCAAACCAAAGATCCTACGTTGCTCTGGGGTCGTCAGCAACCTTCAAATCCTCTCCCGATTATTTCTTGAATTTTTTTGTATTTTCATTTTCACTGAAATTAAAAAAAAAAGAATTCCAAAATCTCACCCCTGATAATTTTGTTGATGAAGGACAAACCCAATGTTAGGTTGTGGTTTTCCTTCTAATGATATTTCTCCAATCTGCAGACTATCTGATGCCAAACGTTGCCGGCCTGAAGGTTGCGATAGATGAGGAAACGGTGCCGGAACTTCCTGCGAGAAAACACAAACCGAAGCGAGTGCCACGACAGCACAGCGCGCCGGCGTACACTGGATACCCGCAGAGCGACAGTGACGAAGAGACGGACGTCATCGCCCTAATCCAGGATGACGAGGTATTCTTTAGAAGAAAAAAAATTATCAACAAAAAGTGTTAGTATGCCAAAGTATATGAAGAGTTTGTATCCAAAACGTGATATGTCCAATTAAAAAAATTAGTGAAAAATGTGCATGTGTATAATAATAGTACGTATTTAAAAGCACATATATCCACCAGTATTGGTGTTCAAGGCGCTACATCATTATTACCCTGCTCATTGGGCCAATGAAACGTTCCAAAGACAATCTCAACTCCCTTCGGAATGCTGCCATTTCGGTGCAAAGCAGCTAAAATCAACCACAATCTCACAGGTCCTCACAGGAAAACCAGGTATATCTGCCCTCACAGGTACCCATTTTCTCCTGGGTGGGGAGAAGCAATGAGTGACAAAGTGCCTCGCCCAAGGGCACACGCACCATAACCCCTGGCTGGACTTGAACCCACAACCTGCAGAATTACCTACAGGCCATGAATCCAATTCTCCAGACCACGAGGCCGCGGCACTCCACAAAGTTGAAAGAATATACATTGTAAACAGTATAATAGCTGTTGCTAAACTAATTTTTTGCTTTATTGTCTTTATAAATTGTGTTTAACTACTGAAAACCTGTCCAAACCCACTTTCCGAAGCCAGGAGTGGGATTCAAAAAGGTAATAAAATGGCATTTATCGCATTTGGATATAAACTCTTCATATGATCTTGACATTAACAAAAGGGAATTCAGAAAACCGGTAAAATTAAAAAAAAAAAATTTTTAAAATATGACGAGAATTATATACTTGGGCACATGATATGACTATTGATTTTAATATTTTTCACAGAAATTTCTAAAATATCTTGGCTCAATTATTTTTGTAGCAACAAAATGCAGCAAAAGGTGGAAAACAGAAGGTATATTGGATTTTTTTATTGAGAAAACTTCAACGGTTGGTGTTGAGGAATTTTTTCGTCAGCTTTCGTGCAAAATCCCCCTCCCCTATTCCATATTGCTTATTCTCTGTTTTAGTCTGCATTCGAGAGGTGGCTTTGTCTTTCTGTCATATCCAGCATTTTTGGCAAATCTTTGCCATTTTTGCTCAAAGCCAAGATTTGATTTTCAAAGCAGGAATATAGTAGCTACATGCATGACATTGTTGAACAATTTCTTCATTTTGACCTGTTTTTACACCAACCTTAAAGGGAATGTACGTCATTGGCTTTTCCTGTAATTTTTCAGAAATGAACTATTTGAGGGGTTGCACTGACATGTTTGAAGTTTTGTGTTCGAAAATGCTGAAAAACCAAGAAAAACACAAATGGTGGAGTAGTCTGGTTCCCTGACTCCACTAAAGATCAAATGGATTAATTTATAGATGCTGGAAAATTGTGAGGTAAGGGAACCAGTCTACCTGGCCTGCACCCGTTCATAAACATGTAACCAATAGCAAACAAAATTTGGACTGAACAAAATGGTGAATTTGGAGGAGAAGTTGAAAAATAGTTAGGTTTTCCAACGGTGGTCGGCCGACCACCGTTGGAAATTTATACAAAAATACCATTTTCTTGAAAATGACTTCACACCAGGTGCCATAATTTTACAGGATGCTTTAGACTGTCATTTTCCAACATCCTAGTAAGGTATTTCGTAAAAATTTGGCAGTTTTATTTCTCGATGTTTGCAAATGTTGTATATTCCCTTTAACTGCCTGGTAATATCTTGTGGTTCCTACTTTGGCAGAAATTCTGGTTGCATACTTTCGATGGTCACATGTATTCTGTATTTTCATTTATATTCTTATTTATTGTATAAAAACTGAACAGCTAAATGAGATTTTATAAATATTTACAAATTCTTAAAAAATATTTTAAAAAGTGCAGAAATGTCATTCAGCAAAATGAATGTTGTAAACTGAAGCTACACAAAAGGATAGGTTTTTGTGGGTACACCATGGAACCATGGAATTTCTCTTCTTTCTCTTCTGTAAAGAACCGGAGAATTGTTCTCAATGCTTTGAACAGTTACTGTGTCTGTTGTTTAAAGGATCCATGAGATGAATTTTTCCTAGGAACACATTTTGTGCAACTTTCTACTCCTTTTAAATGTATAAAAACTATTTGACATCCCTTTTGGTTAATTTTATTGAAAAGTGCACTTCTTTGAACATTTAAAATTGTCCATCCTTTTTCGGACAACTGAGGGCGAGGTTGCTGTGATGTCATTTCAGGAAGACACTGTTCAGTCTAGAGGTTTTCTGTTCGAATTGCAAACCCAAAATTTGCTCATTGAAAACATTTGTGAGAAAAGTTTGTTCATTGGCTTACTGCCATTTATGACAGCAAAATATCCAAAATTCTGGCAACTGTTGGTGCTGAAATAGATGTAACATTGAAGTGTCTGCCTGAAATGACATCACACCTTTGCTTATGAATATGGAAATTAGCATTAGCATAAAAAACAAATTTTCACAAGATGTGGAGTCATCAGTGCGGAGACCAATTCTATTTTTTTTTGTATTCCCTCAAATCTCAGGAGTTGGCAAGAAGGCTACAAAGAGAAGAGATACAGAGGTCTAGAGCCCCGTCTCAAAAAACTGAACAACAAAGGAAGCAACTCATACATGACCAGGTACAGACTATTTGTTTGTCCTCCCCCAAACAGAAAGAACTTAAGTATATTTCTCTTGCATCTTTCTCTTTTTCCAAGAGATATGCTGGACTATGCCTTACATACTGAATCCTTTGATAACATTTTGTCGGTAGAAAATTGCAATCAAGATGCAGCATGAAGAAGTGATGTTTTCCAAGAAGAAAACGTATGATAACTACATGGGGAAGGTGAAGGATGAAATCGCCGACCCAGAGGTGAGTGGTTTTGCTCTGTTTTGGATTTGGAGGGATGGGTTATAGTATTAAAGTTGTCACAGGTAGATATTCAGTTCTGCTGGTTTGGTCTGGGATGATCTGGGTTGGGCAGGGTTTGGGTTGGGTTTGTCTGGGTTGCCCTGGGATGGGCTGGGTTGGTTTGGGGTAGGCAGGGTTGGGCTGGGCTGGTTTGGGATAGGCTGGGCTGGGCTGGGTTGGTTTGGGATAGGCTGGGATGGGCTGGGTTGGTTTGGGGTAGGCAGGGCTGGGCTGGGTTGGTTTGGGATAGGCTGGGCTGGGTTGGTTTGGGATGGGCTGGGTTGGTTTGGGGTAGGCAGGGCTGGGCTGGGTTGGGATGGCTGTGCTGGGTTGGTTTGGGATAGGCTGGGCTGGGTTGGTTTGGGATAGGCTGGGTTGGTTTGGGCAGGGCTGGGTTGGGTTGGGCTGTGCTGGGTTGGTTTGGGATAGGCTGGGCTGTGCTGGGTTGGTTTGGGATAGGCTGGGCTGGGCAGGGTTGGTTTGGGATAGGCTGGGTTGGGCTGGGCTGGCTAGACTGGACTAGGCAGGGTTGGTTTGGGATAGGCTAGGTTGGACTGGGCTGGGTTTGGCTGGACTGGGCTGGGCCAGGTGTGGCTGGGCTGGGCTCAAGATTTTGGATTGTAGTGGGGTAACAGACAGAAAGAGATAAACAACAATTGATCTCATCCTAAGTTCCGTGGAGATTCTGTCCTTGGGGTTTTAAGTCATATTTTTCTCCATTATCACCAGCCTATGGTCCATGTCAGTCGCCAAAACAAAACAGCAGTTCCTGTAGATGCCAAGTACGCAGAGGGAGTGCAGCTAACCGACTACACAGCCGCGGTAAGCACATAACTACAAACAAACACTCCTTGCTGTTTTCTTTATTCATCCGTGATTCCGCTTCTTAAGGATAATATCTTCCAAAACCAACAAACTTTGAAGACTAGACTTTCTCTTTCGGTAAAAATAAAATACAGAGACAAAAGCAGAAATATTTTGTCCTGATTCAGGGGCCACCTTTTTATTACTGGCTTGTCTTAGACACTTCTCAGTGGTGTTTAAACAGTGGTTTAGGTCCACTCACGTGACGGGCTCTCAACCAATAGGAATAGGTAAACTGTCTCAGGTATTTATCAAAATCACACAAAAAATCAAGTGAACATTTTTGCGATGGATTAAATGTTATCTTTTTTCTGAATACAGGAGGTAGCTCAACAGCGCCGCACCAGTGGGAGTGGCCAAGCTGGTGTGGGGGCGGAGGGTAACATCATGGCCACCATTGATCCGACGTTCAACAAGCCTGATCCTGGCAACGTTGTCCTGCTCAAGAAGACGTCGCTGAATGAGGAGCCACCACCACCACCCCCAGGTATGACCCAAAGGAAAACTGACTCAGCTTCGGTGTGCATTGGTGATAAAATTCAAGGCTGTGAATGTTAAAATTTAACTGTCCATGTTCTTCAACGAATTCAAATTTTGCCTCCTAACATATTTTTGATTAGTATATGTGAGGCATTCTGGCAAACTGAGATGGAAGAAATATATGTAAAAAAAAAAAAGAATGGGGGTGATTTTTTTTTCAGATTTATTAATATTTGTAATCTGATATGAATTTTGATATGTCTACTACACATATTTTAAAGAAATATAGGTTTTCTCGGTCAATTTCGGCAAATGAGCAGCCAATTTAATTTCCGTGCGTTCGAATTGAAGCTATTTTGCCTCTCCAGTTGTTACTGCGTTTCAAATTCAGAATTCGGCCATTCAATTTCGTTTTGAGGCATTCAAATTCCTTTAGCACTGTGTTCAATTTAGCATATCGTCATTCTTTTTCGTGACACACAATCATCATTCAATTTAGCAAAGCTGGTTCGGCTGGAGATTTTACTGATTTAATTTTTTTCAATTTCGTAAAGAGGCAATCAATTTCACTTAAAGAGATTTCAAATAAGTATGACTAAAGAAATACGAATAAACAGATAAACTGTACTAGGCAACTGTTTCGTATCTTCACTTTAATTCAGGCAAACCTTGTTTTCTTTATTTATGCTTCCAGTAGACTTTACATGGGGCCAATGAGGTTTTTTCTTCTTCTTTGTTTTCTTCTTCATTCTTTTTTTGGGGGGGGGGGATCTTTATTGGTTAACTGACCAAGACCTAATTTTGTATTGTGTTTGAATGGGGTGTTTCTTTATGTTTTTCCTGGTTTTTATTGTTTATGTTGTTTCTTCCTCAACCATCAATCTGTTGGCGTGCCAGACATCTTGGCATATATGTTTGGGTACGGTTGTACCACTGCATGCACTTCACTTGGGTGATGACATCAACGCTCTGGATGGCTGCTTGTTGAAGGAGATCGCACCTCCACTGCTGCATGTTCATTCCTGCTTGCTGGGCAGCCTGTCTGTCTCCGACACGTTGTTGCCACTCAGGTAACCCAAGGATGCGTTTAACTGCAGCCTTGAATGCAGAGTGTGCCATCTCCGTGCTGTTCAGGAATGGGGAGTAGGGAGGGAGGCGCTTCAGCTGGATCATTGGGTTGGCACCTTCAGGGAGTTGGGCTCGCACGTGAGGCCTCGCATTGTCGTATATGAGGTAAATGGGTTCGTCGTCTGGGAAAACTGCATCACACTCTTGAATTGTGTCCGCAAGAAACTCCTCGAATCTCTCTCGCGTCACAGTTTCGAATGCGATTCGGTGGTGCACCAAGCCTACATGTACTTCACTAGAAACAGCGAAGGTGACATTGCAATTTCTCCCTCGTTGTCTGTCGACGGCTCGTCTTGCAGCGATCCTTCGCGGAGCTCTACCCTGGGAGCGTCGAGTCCAGACGTTATAACCTGTCTCGTCAATGAAGACTAGATGGGCCAGAACACCATGCTGCAGGAACCACTCACCATACTGGACGCGTTGATCAAGAACTTCAAGGGAATTTCTTGCATCAGGGACGTCCTCCACTAGTTTCAGTGTAATCATCATCCCATCCAAGGCCCTGGCTATGGTGGCAGTAGAAACCTGGGGCTTCTCTGGCAGATGCTCACTCAAACTAGCCTTCATTTGTTGAAGTGTCAAGACAGGATTAGCGTCAAGGATGCCTTGCAGATGGTTTCGCATGTCATCATCCATCTTGCTGTGGGTTGCTCCTCCTCTTGCCAGCGTCTCTCGCCTTCCAGTCCTCAAATATGTTGCAACAATTGATCTGGCTGTGGACTTGTTGATGTTCAAATTGACCGCAAGCTGAAGGTAGTCTTGCTCGTTTCCCTCGAAGGCCTCAATCAACCTTTCTCGATCTACCTGGGCCACTCTAGCGTAGCGACCACGAGCTGCCATTTCTAGAAATATGCGTGTAAAACTGTAGCGAAAGCTCGTCTTCGAAGTACAACGGCAAAGTGAATCAAGTGCCAAAAAGTGAACCGTATTTATGCCTTCAACATTCTTAAGGAAACAAAAATTTAACAAAGCGTTTTTTAGATGGCACAAATTCCAGAAATGACTGCCCACAAATGAATTTGAATGACTAAACACACGCCTCAAAAAGCTCCTGCGAATTTGAATGCTGCTTTGTTGAATTGTTAAATTGCATGATTATTTTGTTAAATCGAATGACGCAACAGTACATTTGACTGGTCATAAAACGAAATCAAATGACCCTTTTCAGTAGCATTTGATTTCGCGCGAAATAGAATAGCGTAGTGGTTAAATTGGCTGCTCATTTGCCGAAATTGACCGAGAAAACCTATAGTATAAAAATCATGGAATAAAAGTGTTTTTAAGGAAAAACGAATGGCATCTTCATGTTAAAAGACTACAAAACTTGAAACTTTAAATGTCTTTTTCTCAGTATTTTACTTTTTGACATGTCGATAAATGTGAAATTTAAACAGCCATAACTTGTCAACGGAATGTCCCATTGAAGTGCAACAAACAGTTTTGTAAGGAGAAGTTTATTCTCTTTCCTAATACCAGCAAACCCTCATTTCGACCTCTGCCCAGTTCTGTCTCATTTTGCCAGAACGCATCACATATTTCATTATACTGAAGAAAAAAATGGTATCTAAAACCTGCTAAGAAAGAGGATTATATTTGCACATCTAATGCCCAAAAGATACAACTTAATAATTATTGTAAGGTTGCAAACAGTATAGAAATTTTCCATGTTTTTCTGGACAACTGAGGGCACTGTTGCTGTGATGTCATGTCGGGAAGACACCGATCAGTTTAGGGGTTTCTGTTCAAACCCATAAACTGAACCCAAATATTTGCTCATTGAAAATATTTGTGAGAAAAGTTTGCTCATTGACTTTACTGCCATTGTACTGAAACAGTGAATTACCAAAGAACAGAAAATGTTCAGCAGCAAAATATCAAAAATTCTGGCAACTTTTGGTGCTGAAATAACTCTAACATTGAGGTTTCCGCCTGAAATGACATCACACTTTTGCTTATGAATATGGAAATTTGCATCAGTATAAAAACCAAAAAGGCACCGAAATACCTTTGAAAATGGCAAAGCGAAAATTGAAAATAAGGTTAAATGCGACACAAAGGTGCATTTTCAAGGACTGCATTAAAAAAATTACATTGCATGAGCCATTTTAAATTATGGGTTAAACCGTTTAGAAACAAGAAATATACTTACCCTGTAAGTAAAAAAAAAAACCTACTGTATGATGTCCTCTGACACGAGGATAATTTCCATGCAAATAAATCACCTTTATCTCATGATTTTTCTCCTTTTTTGTCTCTTTTTTGTTTTAATTCCTAGGGGATGACGGTGCTTTCAACGCCGTCCCAGGATCCAAACGCAAGGATTCCAAGGATAAAGGCAAGAGGAGCAGTATATTCTCCAAGCTCAAGAAGAAGTAATAAGTAATATCGTTTGCCTTCCATTTTCAATTTCTTTTTCCTTGATACAAAATTGGAATTTGGAGCTCAATACTAAGATCTCCTAGAAGTTGATAATAATATCATTTATTAAAAAAACAACAACGGATTGGGACTTTGAAGAGCTGGGACATTTATGTATTGTGAATTTGAATATTTTATGTTTTCAAAATCCATGGACTTTCTCCCTTTTTTTGCATGAAATATTTGTGACCAAACATAAATAAAAGTATTCTTATCAGTTGGAATCAGAGAAATGTCACTAGGCTTCGTATGTAGGTCCATGCTTACATTTCTCAATTTTTTTATTTATTTATTTTAATGCTATGGACATTTTTGCAAGACTTTTTTCCTGTATCCTGCCAAATCCACCTCTTTGCTGGAACCTTACCTTGCGAGGGATATCAAGCCCCATGTAAAATAAAAATTGTTTGGATCTGCTTCCCTCAATCCTATGAAATCCTTCAAAATGTTTTGGTAGATTTCAAAGGATCCAGGGAGGGGGAAGGACCACCATATAAACTTGACTTTCAATGAGGAAGTGAGTGTTATGAGAGAAAAAATAATAAACCTAAAAAAAAAATTGTGTTATTCCCCATAGGTTTAACTGTAAGCCATGTTTGGTAATTAGGTATTCAATAATCAAATAATGAATTTAAATATTATGAATATTCATTGCACTATTGCTATGCTAATTTCATATGCAAACTGAAATGACAGAATGCTGTTCCACAAAGCAATTCGTGTAAAACGCAACAATGTGAGCAGTTCTGAGGCTGAATAGTTTTTTTTTTTTTACAATTTAAGATTTTCTATAGTTGTGCGCTGAAAATGAAGCTTTAACCACAAAATCCAACAAAAATAAAGTCTTTCTGAATTTAGTTTAGGCTGAAAGAAAAATTAATATTTGTAACGAAGATTTTTTTTTATCCATAACATACATATACCTACTTATATTTTTAATTAGTATTTGTATAAACAAATTCAAATTGTAGAAAAGAAAAAAACTATTTGAATGCATTTAAAATATACAGCAATACATCATTTATCACTGTAGATACTGAAACTTGTATGAAATCAGCATAAAGCAATATAAACTGTGTAGCAAATGTTTATTGTCTTTGAAAAGGAGGGGATTTTTTAATGTAAAGAAGGTACAGATCTAAGATTAGAGGGCCAGTTATATGGTATATATGGAAACAAATACTTTGATAGTGTGACATCAACGATTTTACAAAATGTTAGTTTGAAATTGCTTGCTTCAGTTTTTCCACTTTTACTACAGGGTAATGGTGTAAGAGTGTAAGAAACAATGTATTTACCAATGTGCCATATTCCCTTGTTTATGTTTTTTTACAAATGTTAAAAGCTAAAAGCACCAATTTCTTGGAAATAGTAGGCAGATATCACATAGCATGTGATTGTGGAGTGGCCTCATGGTCTGGAGAATTGAATTCGTGGTCTGCGGGTAATTCTGCAGGTTGTGGGTTCGAGTCCAGCCTGGGGTTATGGTGCGTATGCCCTTGGGCAAGGCACTTTGCCACTCATTGCTTCTCTCCACCCAGCAGTAAATGGGTACCTGTGAGGGCAGAGATGGTTATGTGTTTGATTTAGCTGGTTGTGCCGAAATGGCAGCATGGAGTTGTATACTCCCCAGGGAGCTGAGATGGTATTTGGAATGTTTCATTGGCCATATGGGCAGGGGTAATATAAAATAATGTCCTAATGTCCATGAGATTCTGTTTGGTTGATATGTGGGATATATAAATCCATAAGCAGCAAAGATCAACTAAAAACCAGTCACTTTTAATTAACCGTTCATTGAAATGTCAACTAGATTTCAGATTTTGAACGGAGATCGGTAGTGGCATAGAATTGTTTTAGGAAAAATTATATTGGTTTTCGGGAAAGCTCTGAAGAACTATTTTTTGGAAAATATGCTTCTGGCCTCATCTATGTGATAAAAAGCCTAGCTGACTTTTGTGAAAATAATCTGAATCTCATTTGGATGTTTTTTTTTTTCTCCCAGAATAAAAAAATTATGATTTTAATTTGTAGTTTTTCAAAAAGATCGGAAGTTGGGTGATATGCGTTTCTATGATATGATTTTTCTTCCCCGTAGTTGGCATGACATTGTATAATTTGAAACAATTGCTTTCTTTGTTTAATTTCATATAGCCTTAAAGCTTGACTTATGATTTTTTTTTTTTCAATTGAAGAGGCAATGTTTTCAAATGTCAAATTGTTTTCGTTTCAGAGCATAACATGTGGAGTGGACTTAATGGGATGAACATGTAGCTTAATTGTATTCTACTTAGAATTCAAAAGCATTAATTTAACCAGAAATTGTACAAACGATTTATCCAAATTTATGTGAATGTAGTTACGATTACTGAGTGAGTATTGGCTTTTTGTAACATAAAGCTGATGTACTTCATGATTTATTCTTCACAATTTCAGATTTTGTTACTTTTTCACTTTTTTCTTCTGTTTTGCACACCCCTTTGCTTATATTTAAAATCTCAAAATTCAGTGTTAAATGCCTTACCTTTGACAGTCCAAGTCGAGTGAATCTCTTCACTTTGGATTGTGCTTTTTTTTTTCTTTTTTTTTTTTTTCTTTTTAATAGATATTTTTATTTCAAGCAGAACATCACAAGTAAGTTTCCAGTAATTTAAACCAATGTGTAAGAAACCATGTAAGGAAAACTGTAGCATGAAAGAATGTCTTATTAATAATTGCTTCATTTTTGTTGAAATTTGCATTATTCCCGAAAGACATTTCATCTACGTCATACCAGACCGTAGCATTTCTCTTCATTCCTAAAGTGTTGCTAGCACTGTAAAGTTCGCTAGATGTTTGTATAAAATGTCAACAAAATTGGAAGAAAATGCCCAATTTCTGCCTGCACAGCTTTAACAAATTAACAAATAAAACCATTCAGAACTTTAAAACACAGTAAGAAAACGCATTCATTTTTCGTGTTGGTAATTATATGGCTGTGACAAACTGACAATGTTACCTTCGAAGTACAAACATGCAGTCGAATTAAGTTTGCACGATTCATAGGTTGGCTTATTATTGTTGCTATAAACCTGCTTATCTTGTAAATATTTCTAGAAAATAATTGCTGACTTTTAAAGGGGCGCACTGTAATACATTTCCAAAATGTTTCCTTTTGTGGTTAATTTCAATGGTTCTTTTGTAATCTTTATATAGGCCTATTTTTTCCCGGAATAAAGTATTTTATCATTAAGCCATTTGGAGAAGTGCAGTCATTTCATTTAAGGATAAATTCTGGAGAAAACTTAAAAAACAGAACTCATAAATTTCCCAATTCCGGGGAAGTTTTGAGAGGGACAGTTTTACTTAATGATATGAATAAAGCGTTGGTTTTGTTTCGGTAAGCCGTTGGACAGTGTCGTGTTTTCTTAATTGCCATTTTGCAAGATCTTAGTGTCGTTCTAGCGCCCTCTTGTGGTTTTCTTCTCAAAACAGTCACTTTTTAGACCCAACGTTATTTCGAAAATTTTCCAAATCGTATACCAAGTATTTTTAAAAATAAGAACCTTACACTGTTCGTAACATCCGATATGGTAACTTTGGACCTCATTTGGGTTCTCTCTTTGTTGGAGGGGGGGGGGGTGGCGGGGTACAAGCGGGTGGCACATAGGCTTTTAGCTCAGGGATGGGCCGGGATTAAGCTTCGAAGAAGTTTGGACGACCCACCCCAAATTCGATATATTTTTTTTAAACTGTACAATAATTATATCGGTTGCTCTGACATAGCCTAACTTCTTACTGATATATAGGCTAGCTTGCTGATGATTATTAAAATTGCAAGACTTTCGTTTTAAAGTATGCAAAAAGTCCAGCAGAAAAAAAAATAGTCCACTTTTTGTGAAAAAAAGACCCTCCCATCACAGACGGGTTGCACAGGCCTCGGTTCCACGTACCCGTGCCCAACCCCTTCCCCCGCCCCTCAGTTACGCCCCTGTGATATAATATTCTCCATTACACCGCTCTCACGCGTAGATACCTTATAGGCCTACTAAGTTACAGCACAATGCATGTTAAGTGTTCCCAAAAGAACATCGATTATTGATTTCTTGTCTTCACAGTAATCCTTCAGTTTGGAGTTATCTATTGCAGTAGCTTTATCGCAACCTAAGGTGTTAAAAATAAATTATTTACAGCGCAACCATCTACCTTTGTGATGAGCTGTTTGCCGAATAAGGGGCGGTTCTATATTTTATTGTTTTTTGTAGTGAGAACACTGCAGGATATCTCCAAAAACAAATAGCAGTCAATCCATAAATATTAAAAATACTAGCACTCTCTTTTTGCAAAATTATCTATAGAGTCTGAAGGTGTAGTAAATTCTCTACACCATGGTCTTTATCCCATCTCATTTGGACACCCCAGTCCAGAGATACAGCTCATTAAATGAAAGGACTTGAATTCCAAGTTGGGCCACTTGGTATCCAATGCAATTTACATATATACCAAGAAGGTGAAGAAAGTGGCCCAAGCAGATTTTGACAGTCTTTACAAGCTTTGCCGTAACTTTTAAACAAATGGTCCAAATCACACAGAACAAAAACCCTGTCAAGGGTAAAAAAAACACTCTATCATCTCATGGTATTTTTTTTCCAAAAACGGTTTAGTTTTCTCAGAAAAAAATGTTTGACTGCTACATTTTTTAGACGCCCTTGTAGGCCTACATCAAAGTTTAGTTCCTTCCTTCCGTAAAGTGCAGACCTCTACGATGAGAAGAACAACGCACCACGTCTCATTCTGGTACAACAGGAAGTTTTCCAGTACCCAATTAAAAAGATCTCAATATTGCAGAACGAGACTTATTGCCTCAGTCCCTGCTACTAATTTAGGCATTTACAGACGTGGCCCCCTGAAACACAATGAATTTAAATTAGACAGCTCTATCCACTTTATAACTACGTCACTGTCACCATGCCAAAAATGGCTTATTGATCCACTATTTAAGCTCCAAACTACTCTATTATGTACTACCAAGGACATGCATTTCGGGCCAACTGGATGGCATATACCCTCAACGCCCCATCCCACCCACTCCCCCCCCCCCCCCCCCCCCAAAAAAAACCCTCTATCGCAATACGCGCCGTATAACCTTCATAAAATCCGGAGAAATCTATTTCACCTTCGGTGGTTTTGTTGTTGTTGTTATTTTTTTTTTCCTGTCAACTTTCAACCACAACACTGTTACCCAATTAAGTTGGATCATTGGCCGTTCAGCATGGCCCATTTTCCCGGCTGAATGCAGAAACAGAATCAAGATAACCAATCAATTATCAACCTGTTCCTTTCATCCCCGGATACGTACCTAAACAAGTGTTGTGTAACGCGCCTAAGTGGGCTCTTTATACCATCGACTTGCGCTATTTCCCCCGTGCATGTTGGGCTTGTTTTGGGCGCCTAGTTACAAGTGAAGCCATGCCATTAGCGTTGCAAGTGTGTCGCTGAAGCAGTACGTCAACTTTTTCGCCTGTCAAAAAAACCGTTACATTCTGCCGTATTTCCCGTGGATCTTACGGTCGTACTGGGGGAGGGGAAACCTAGGAGGATATTCCAGGTACCATGTCGACCAAAGTGATCTATTTCACGGTGGATGACAGGCAAGAACAAGCGGAATTCCGTTCCGATTTTCCGGCGGATGATATCAAAGGTAGGTGTGAGGACCGCGATGGTGTGTGTTTACCGCGCCGTGTGTGTACGGCCAGTTGTGCTGGAACGTTGCGCTGTGTATTGTCCATGGTTTGTTTTCATCGTGCAACACTACACTAGCTAGTTTTTGTTTATTAGGCATACCTGGAGCAGTTATTCCCCCCCCCCCCCCCGAAACCATTACGAATTCCAACCTTCCTCTATTGATAACATTTCCAGAAGGGGGAATGAAGTAATTGCCAATTCGTTGAGTGAAAATTAGTGTGATTTGCTTTTAATTTTTAAAAAAGAAAGTCAATGCGTTCGCGGTGTGGCTTTTTCATCGAATTGACTAGATTTATTCACAATTACTTGTGTTGTTGACATTGCTCTCTTTTTATTTTGTAAGAATTGCTGCCATTTTTAATTGTATGACGATTGCAATTACTATGTTATATGATTTAAAACATTTTTATTGACTCTATAATGACCCTCAGGCTCTATTTGCCAAAAATCAAATTCAAAGTACAAATGTTAAGTTTCAGGACACATCTTGGAAAGATTTCCATATAAGAAGTTCGCTAATTTTCCTCTGTATTGACTAACAAGCCCCCAGATAGCAATTTCATGTCATCAAAGTCAATTTGAGCAGTGAGAAAATACAAGCATTTTCTTAGAAAACACTTAGAATTTTTCAGTCCAATCTCATAGGGTTTGTACACAGGGTGTTGAGTGGAAATGGAAATCTTTCCCACATCTCTGCACTTTCAGTTAGGATATTACGTTCAGCAATATCCAAATTTCTTATATCTTTGTCTGTTGGGCAGTCATTGTCATAATTGGCCTCTCTCAAATGACGTCATTTCCTACAGATCAGCCACATGCATTGGCATTTTGTGCGTCAACTTGCATTTCACGCATCGGTTGCCTCATATTTCGAGCACATTTCGAGCAAAAGCGCGCTTGTTTGGAACATTTTCAACACTGCGCAAGGCGTACTTGATTGCTTAAAATACGCATTTGCAGTTCTCCTACAGAGATGGCTGGCTTTGAAAGAGACCTATTTATCTGACCAAAACAAAGGCTGCAACTTATGGTTTAAACCTGATATTTTGAATTGCAATTTATAGGCCTAACCCTATAGGCCATAATTATTAAATCATCCTAGAAAACTGGAGTGAGTTTAAAACATTCGCTTTTATCTTCAATCATTGTAGGAAAATTTCTCAAATATTGGATACCATTTATTTCTGAACAGAACTACATGTACTTTTAACCATAGGCATAGGCCTAGTTCTAGTTTTAGAGCCAGCGTTACCACTAAATGCGTTGAGGTTAGCTGTTCATTTTTGGCCGTGTTTCACTCCATTCAAATAGAACTGAATGGAACAAATTTTGCCTCCTGAGTATGTTGTGAGTGTTGCCTAGCACCTTGTGCTGAACCTGTTATCAGTTACAGTTTACAGACTTTGATAAGACTAGAAACGTGTCCTCTGTCCACTGATTTGTAAATTTTGGTCATTGTGCACTATTATGTAATATTACAGAATCAAGCGTGTTATCAAAGTCGTGTATAAAAAAGGAGCAAATTTCTTTCCCACCCTCAACCAGCGCACTTTAACGCAAAAATTCAACACCTGTTGTTGACTTTTGCACTTGTTTTTAAATAGAATACAAAATATCCGGATTGGTTCAACAAAGATGTAGCCCCCCCCCTCCAAATGCATCCCCAAACTCTTGCCCCACCCCCTCATCCCCAACCCCCCTCCCCCACCCCCGTCATGACATTTTTAGCACTTTTTTATTTTTAATTGTTTAGAAATTCAAATACTTTTTTGGATTGTTTTTCTCCATCAAAATGGCAAAACCCAATCCAGTATTGGGTTTTCGTTTGGTTGTTTTGCCTTCTAAAAACATAATTTCATTTGTGATATTTGAGATCCACGTCAGATTTATTTCCAGTTTTCAAACAACACGTTGTGTCCTTGAAAGTACAGTTTCTTTTCCTGGGATATTGCTGATATCGCCGCCTTTGAAGTTTGCAACACCTGGCCAGTGTCATTGACCTGAAACGCGGTAATTGATTGACTGAAACATCTGCACTTGTAGTAAGCAGGATGTCACAACTTTTCTTCCTGCATTTAAAAAGCCTTTTTTTTTTTACTGTCTGGCAATCAGTTAAAAGCAAATTATCACAACATCCGGGAAGTCATTCATTTCAAACACCTTTTTAAAACCCACACCAGCTGTTTTATGCTCTTAAAACGTTTCTCTTCTATGAAATGTGTGAAAAAAATCAAACAACTAAAAAAAAAGGACAAATACCTGTGAAAAATTGCGTGTCTCGTTCCTGCAACTGAGTTTATTATTCTGTCATTATGTCGAGGAATATTGATCGATAAATTGCTGCGTTTGCGTGAGGGCATACAGGTGAAGCTAACACTCAGATCGCCTCCAGGCTCAAGTGTGGTTGGCATGGCAATTGGCAAAATGAAATCGTATTTTCACTGGTTTGCTTAGAAGGTATGTTTTTCACATTTTGTTGTTGTTGGCAGATTTAGCACGCACTCACTTTTTGGTGGTTAAAAGTGAGTGATCGATTACTTGAATATGACGCCAGTTGAATTTGTTTATGTACCTGTAACCTCTTCAACATTTGTTCTCTTCAAAGGTGCATGTATTCTGTGAAATATAAAACAACTAGGCCTAAATATTGACTGATCAGTGATTAAGAGCTGCTTTTAGTTTAAGCAACACGCTATCGTTGTGTCCGTTATGCATCATACCTGTACGTGCTTATCAACTATCTCTACATGTATTTGCTCAGCACCGATTGACAACCCAGCCTTGATAAACCAGCCAGCACAATGCACAAAATTCACCAGTCGAAATTTCAAATCAGAGCACAAATTTGCTGTTTGCGGCAGTTTATGAATTTTGTCACTAGCTCTGCAACTTGTATTGTGTCGTGTTTACATTGGAAGTGTACTAAAAATGTGGGAATACATTTGACATGCTTTAAAGCTGCCATGTCATACTTCCGCTGTAGTGTTTGTATACTGTTGCTGTTACTACTTAACCACCAGCGTTCCGTGTTTACCGATATCTTTCAGATCCCTAGTTGGCTGTTTACATGGGCCTGATGCAAAGTGCTGGATATGGTATTGCGGACTTCTAAAGTTTTTTTTCCCTTCGTATTTGTATTTGAGATCAAGCAAAGGCTCATTGCAATTGAAACGGAGATCTGTCAAAACAGAAGTCGTGCCGAGATTTTTCCTCGTCGGATCACGAACGTTACATGTTTGTTATTCCCAGTGTGTGTAATGTAGCTGTTTACATATAGGCTGTGCAGGAATCTGAGAGTTTAGGTAAAAGATTACGGAATGTAGAACGAGAGTTTCACCCAGGCTATCCATTGAATGTGGATGCTAGTAAACTTTGTAATTTTGTTTCAATCAAATCTTGTTGTATCCATTTCTAGAAACATAGACCATGTGCCCTGTGATTATGCTGACAGGCAACCGCCAGGCAACTTAAACATTTTTAACCCAAACGTACCTGAATCCATCAAAATCCGAGCCCCTGTTTTGGAGAATTTTGGTGGATTTAGGATACCTCCATATTGAAAAAGTTGGGGGATTTTGATGGATTCAGGACAGTAAGCCTACAGGATTTCGATGGATTCGAGATGCCTCCATATTGAGCAGTTGGGGGACTTTGATAGATTCAGGATCTCAACAATTTAACTCCTTGGCTATAGGGCCTATATGTTTGGTGTGTACGAGGTTTATGTACTACACTGGTAGATTCTGATGGACTCACTGGTGGATTCTGATGGACTCAGGACTCCAACATTTTGTTGCATGACAAAATTGGTGGATTTTGGCGGATTCAGGATACTTTCTAGTAAAACTGCTCAAGGGGTTAGCGTTAAAAGCATCTTTTGCATAGTACTTGGCCCCAATTAAAAAAGTATAAAATCAACACTTTTAAACCAAATTCATATTTTCAAGAGTTTCAAATAATGTGCAGAACATAATCGTTCGCTGAAAGGTGGCGTCACGTGACCACAACATCCAGATTTGTAAACCAATGTTACATGGTCTATCGTTTATGAGATAGCTAGTTACTTCTTAACAGTGATATGAAAAAAGTGTGCTTTAAATTCCTTCGGGTTTTTATTCATAACAAACACGCCTTTTAATAACAGCCAATGTGCTCTTGAATATCACTCAGGAAAACCTACACATCTCCTCTCCTGGCATGCCTGTCTTATTTCCACTCTTTTAAATAAGTGGGTCACGAGTCCTCGTGCCACCGAAGTACTGTAACATCATTGGCAAGTCATTAATTTGAATTCTACTAGTACTATCGAAGCCTGGTTTAGGAATTTGGACTTTACATTATGTTTATATTATGAATTGATGATGTACTTTTTCGGCCTGCATTTTTTTGTACACATCATGTAGATCTTCGCTTGTCATGTTTGCGTAAGCTGTCAGTCTGTACAGCGTGTTAGCGATTCATTTTAATTCATCATCAAGATGAGTAGGCTTGTCTTGTCACTGTCACACCTCGTCCTCTGAATTATTCCGGGTTTACCAGTCCAGCTTTCCAAAATGAGAAAGGTTTCTTGCCTTGTTATTCCTAGCTGGCAGTAGTGACGGCCGGTCGGCCTGGCCGGGTGGAGATCAGGTTACTCCAGGCTGCCATTAGGGCGCCACGAGGGAAGCCACTCAATTTAGTGGGTTTTATCATTCTTTCTCATCCTCGAAGTAAAGTGGGCCACGGAACGCCATCTCTGAAACGCAGTGGGCCGTGTGGGATTACATAAATTGTTAATTCTGTCCAGATCGGCACATCAGTTTAAATTTACGCTCGCAAAACGTGGAGGATCATGCATAGATGGCATCTGTAGTGCCAGTTAAAACATTGTGACAAGACGGAGTTCGTGTGTTTCACCAAATTCTTGAATTTGATAAGTGCGGGATTTTCTGAACATTCCAGAATTTAACCATTAAA